TACTGACTTGACTGCTGGATGGACAGAGCCTGCAGGAGGATTTAAGAAGCCTGCACCGTTGTTTCAGCTGCTGCCGCAAGGAGATGGAACCAGCAATCTCTGGGTTGCAAGTCCGGTGTGCTAACCGTTCCACCACGGCTCTCTTCGTGATCAACCCCACAACTTAATCTATGTTATAAACTCACCAAAAGCAAGTCACAATAATTGACAATGCCTAAAAATAACAATTACATCGAGGAATTCAGCCAACTGAAACATCAGTTTTACGTTTAAATCAATCAGCAATTGGAAACTCTGTAGAAGTAGGCTCGCTATTGCGTAGAATGTTTAAACGTTTCAAGGGCCCATTGTGTTTGCCAAACCAAGTTCTGGCCACATGACACGGGTCACTTGGTCAGTGCAAGGTCACGCGCTATCCGACGCAACGCAGGTCCAAGTTCAATCCATTTGCTATTTCAACAAAATATATAACGGACAACACGAAGCGGAAATGCTAACGCAGCTGTAGGGGGTTTGGCACTGGCGGTGGGCATTAGTGGTCATGGGCAGAGGGCTATGGTTTGGGATAGTGGTTTGGCTTCCGTGGTGGTCATGGCTCAGTGGCTTGGTGGTTTATAGAAGTCATGGCTTGGGGTCTGTGTGTCGCACACAATCTCTTGCACAGCGTGGTAATAATGAAATATATATATATACGTCTGAATACCCCAGTGAGGTTAGCCTGGCCACACGCGAATCTCAAGGGGTGACAGACGACACACTGATTGATGGCGTGCGGTGGATAATCAGCATGTCGGTGGCCGTGTGGGCTGCCAGTGTGCGGCCTAATGACTCAATCAAGAACAATGGGCCAGGGTCACTCTGGTTTAGACTTTAATCAGAGAGCACTACTGCAGAGTGGAGGCCCCGCTGATAGATATATATAGATGTTTATAAACAAGCGCAAGGCGGAAAAAATATGGCTTTTAACGATCACTCATTTAAAACGGATTCGCCCGGTTTTCAGCGAATAGATTATTCATAATGTTTTACGCAAATATATAACTACTCGTCAATGTCATCATTATAAGTCGTGTGCAATCCACTGCTGGATGAAGGCCTCCCCAAGCCATTACCATCTTCTTCTTGGTTATTTCGGTAAAGTCACGTAGAAGGGAAATAATAAAATAATAAAAATAAAACATAATAAAATATTCTCACGACGTTTCGGCCACAACGCAAGCAGCCGTCCTCAGGTGAAGACCAGGTCTGTCGGGTAGACGCTGTGGCCGAAACGTCATGAGAATTATTTTATAATGTTTTATTTTTATTATTTTATTATTTCCATTCTACGTGACTTTACCGAAAGAACCAAGAAGATTATTTTTAAAGCAAGGTTTATTTAAAACAGAAATTAATATGTAAATAGCAAGTTTTTTGGGTAAATTAATTGGGAGGGTCACAAAACATCTGGACCACCCTGTACTTACCTACATCGCGTCACGGTGTCCAGCAACGGGCCCGATCCGTGCGTGTGCCGTGGCTGGTATCCACGCACCCACTGAGAAGGGTGGTAACCTTTAGGAAAGTTGTGAAGTTGTTGTTTTTAATTATCAAGTTCAGCGTTTCAACATCACCAGGGCCTGCTCGCCGCTGTCCTCGATTTTCCTTCAGCGTAAATTAATAATTTCAGCTGAAGCCAAGTCGCTTAAGTGAACATTGTGACTGTTAATTGGACACAAATGAACTTTTTGTGCGTGTCGGGGACCTATTGTCAACGTGAATCGGTTCATACGGAACGCGTCAACATAATTACAGCAACGTCTTTTACACCTACAAGGTCGCCACAGCCTGAAAGGTCGCCTCAATTAAAATAATTCATGTTATGTTGAACTTCAGAATGTAATCGTCGTGTTCTATGTGCGAGCGTGAAAGCTTCAAAACGGCTAATTCCAGCACTTAGTTTAGAAGCTGAATCAGTGCCGGACTAAGCGAGTGCGGGGCCTGTAGCATATGTTATAAATGACCCTCAAATAAAAAAACACGTAAATATTAAAACACAATTTTTTTTACTTGCATAGTAAAGTAATTTTATTTTTTCATTTGCTATACAGCCAGATCATACGACAAATAGCTAACCTTAAACACCCAGTCGTTCATAAAAGTTAAAGACAGTATAGTACTATAGTAATAGAGCAAGTGCAGAATCACTGAACCGGAATTGATAGCTTGAAAGCATTTAGCGCGGGGCCCTTGAAAGTGCGCGCCCGTAGCTACTGCACGTGTAGCAGCTACTGCACGTGTAGTAGCTACTGCACATGTAACTACTTGTGCTACTAGGATAGTCCGGCACTGAGCTGAATGCTGAAATGCATAAATGCCGCCCTCTATGTATTAAATCATAACCAACCTGACACCATTTTTGGCATCGTTATCCTTCCAAGGCGCGACCGATTGTCCACATTCGAGCCCACTGCCCATTCATGGTCTCATCGCCTCTCGCGTCGCGAGGCTTCGAGTGTTGATTGTCATTGGCACTGGACCCGTGATCAATTACAGCGTCTCATCTCGTGTCCATCTCGTGTCCATCACGCGTCACGCTCCAGGCACGGGCGCATTAATTAATACTCCAATGACAATCAATTAATTCGATTGTTAATGTAATTAAGTTGATTGTCTCGATATATATCTATACGCTATATCGACTAAACACTAAAATACAATGGAGGGTGGTCAAGATCTCTTGTGACCCGCAATCATATGAACCCTAAAAAAAATTGCACTTGCATATTAATTTCTGTTTTAAATAAACCTTACTTGAAAAATATTTTTAGAGAAGTTGGAGTCACAACACATCTGGACCACTCTGTACAATACACCCTAAGCCACTGCTGGATAAAGGAGCATACTGGGGCATGGGTTATTGTTGTTGTTGTTGTTGTTTACCATACTTCACCACGCTGGTCAATACGGGTTGGTGAAGGGGGGCAAGGGACCACGACCGATTCAGATGTCTTTCGCCACTGATGTTAGCCGCTCTCGGGAATGGGATGTGAGTGCAGTGCCGCTAATCACTGCGCCACCACTCGACGACACCACAGAACAGCCCGTGGGTAGGCAGCCTTCTTCCTCCAACAGTGGATGAGAAAATTACTCTAAAAGTTAAATTGATATATCTCACACACGAGCGTGGTGAAGTATGGTCAAACGACCATACCCCCCCCCCCCCACTCCACGGGCGACAAGGTGCAATGGGAGCAAACCTTCATCCAGCAGTGGTTTGACAAAGGGGGGCTGCGAATTACCAAAAGCTATTTATACCCGGTGCCGTTCATCAATATTTGTCACAAGCTGCCGGCTAATGGGTGGCCCTAATGGAAAGCCGTGACACTTCGGGCAGGCTGACGTGACCGCGCCGTCATGCAATGCACGCAGACGCAATGGAGACCTGTCTGAGCTGGGTGAATTTTTGGGTTTGGTTTTTTTTACCCAAAGACCACAAAAGCCCAATCCGGCCACGGGGCCCCCACAATTAATAATCGATGATCGATTACGTGTTGTGTGGGAGTAGGGGAGGGTAGACAGGGCAAGGCTGAGCGGGGAACAGCACTCCTCCCGTCCAGACAGACAGTCGGAGACAGACAGGCAGGCATGCAGGCGAGCTCATCCCTAACTTAATACCCCAGCGAACGCGAAATATGAACCCCCGTCGCTTTAATTTAGACGAATGCAGGGTAATTGCCGAGCTGCTCCAAGCACAGGGCACGACTTGTCCATTGTGTTTTCGTATCCATCTGGCGCCAAACGAAAGCGTACCTAAGACGTGATACAGACTGCACGCTTACACGACACAATTACAGGCAGGATATTGCTGTGCTGTGTTGCTGAGCTGGGAGGAATGCTGCTGACTACAGGCAGACCGGTCCTGATTGATGATGATGCTTATGATGATGAATCTGACGATGAGCGACTCATAAAGACACTGTGCTTTTCAATGATCGATCGTTAATACATGCACTACGTTCATGCTTTTCAATGATCGATCGTTAATAGGATACATGCAATACCTAATTTTATAACTTCATCATTTTAGTTGACAGCGCATTCAGGATGAACTGACCAAGAGCACCGATATGGTTTAATAGTCCTATTCACGTGCACATGTACCGCATGAACTTCAATCCACTGCTGGACGAGGTCTTCCCCACGCCTCGATGGTCAATCTCGTGCGAGTTGGAAAGCATTTATGTTGGAGCGTTGTACGGGAAACCAATGGACGTCTGCACCGCCCTTTGCTGATATAACGTAGCCCTGCACACGCATCTCACACCTCTGTTGCATTGTAGGGTGGTCGCCCATCCAAGCCCATCTCCATCGTCACGTCAGTAGCCCACGGGGTGCCTCCGCACGGCACGCGCGTGTGATGCGAGTTAGTCGACGATGCTTCACCACGCCGGTCAGTGCGGGTTTAAGGCGGAGGGCATTGACGATGGCGCAGAGGGCCGTGCAGCAATGGATTTTGCTGCAGTGGCCTCTGCTCACAAGGTAGCATCGCAGCAGCCGACGACACCTGTCATTCTTATACATGTACTAAGGCGGATTTGTTTAATGGAATATTGGAAAGATGTGGCATTATTTGGCAAATAATTGCAGTGTACTTATCATGTGCACTTAAGTACACGCAGTACACATTAAACATCATCCTTTAAAAAATACATAGATAAGGTATAGATGCAGAACACCACCCAATTTGTCAACTCATTACCAATTAAATGTTGTCTTAATACAGAAAACCATCCATTTAATGATGTAACAACGCACTTTCGCGCTTTAAAATGGATTCTTCGAATTCAATATTGATACGCGTTGCACGAACATGTAGCGACACGCGCGTACGGGCTCATCATTCCCAACACTGGAGAGCGCACGTTACGTCAAATAACGTCCTTCCAACTTCATTGGACTTGGAGTAAGTACCGCGAAGAACATTACACTACGTACAAGTGTCCACAAATGCGCCAAGCTTGATTTTAATAGCAATTTAATAACGGCACCGGCAAACACGAATCACACGTCAGTGAAAGCAGCGCCAAAACAAATTGCCAAGCGCGCTGACCACACACAAGCAGAACGCCACAAGGGCAATGTCATATACTGTACTTTATCCCGACTTCATATTAAAAGTTACACATTGTGATGTACGGTGAACAGCAATGCGTACGATTCAACGGCGAGACCATGTCACGTGCCACGTTTATACAAAGCGTCGCGGGTAACGGGATGCGTGAAAATGCATATTATCTAGCAGTGTGTTAATGTCCGTTTTGGAGACGGAGTGCGCGTCTTTAATTCCCAGGGTGAACATGATTGCATGAACAGCTTGGGAATTTCTGCTTTTATAAATACCGCAGAACATTCGTGGAAAATTTGCAGAATTTGTATGAGGATACATGTTTTCCTTTCGCACAGGAGCACGGTGAGATGCATGCACATTACCAGCCGACGCAATGCAAACGCAGCTGTAAGCAGCGTGGTTAAGGTGGGAGCACTATTCAAATCAAATCAACAAATGAAATTATTTCACTTATGAAAAGCATTACATCCCCATGAACCCCATTGTAAAATAATACTAACTGGCCCAAATATCACCTCTGTATGTACAGCCTGATTGCCAATCCAGTGCAGAGGGCTTCCCCACGCGGCACAGGCGCTGTTTGGCCATCCTCTACGACCCTGGTCGAGTGAAGCATAGACGTTGGAGTACAGTACAACAGAGATGTTCCTGCACTGCCCTCTGCTGGCCACCGTTTAGCCCCGTAACAGCCCAGGCGGGTGACGCACGGCCATCCGTCCCAGCTCAAGACGAGCTCTTCGCTCTCGAGATGTGACGAGGGTGGGTGCATTCACGATGATTTGGCCATATTTGACGCTCGTATTAAAACATCTCCGGTTTCTGGATACAAAATACAGCTTACCAGTTTTAAGAAAATGCTTCCACAACCAAATGTAATGTGCTGGTCTCATAACGTTTGACAGATAGCCATTGCTACTTGTATAAATCCTGATGAAATTTTGCGAGTGGATCAGGGATATGTTGCTTGGGTGATGCGGTCGTATGCACTGTGCCGCCTTCTCTGATCCATCCCATCACTGGCACACTCCATAAACGCTCAGGTGGGATAGATGCACACTGGTAGTGCATGCTGTTCTATTTAAACAAAGCAATACAACTGTCCAAATGTACATTTCTGAAGCTACGTCAACGAAGTTTGTTATAATGAAAAACATAATAGTTCACCATAATTGAATAATATACTGTACCATGACATTAAAAACCTTAGCCACTCTCCCAAAGTTAAAGGTTATCTTTGCTGAAATCATATTTCAGTATTTATTCTGGATACACATTGCAGTGAAGTCTTAAACATCGTTTTTAATGAATTTTCCAAAATTTACAAAAATATAAGCCTACTGTTGCCATTTTATTTAAAAACTACATCACACAAGTTTACACTGTTGGGACCAATGTTAGACAGGCCACAATTAAGATAACATTTTGGGGGAATTGTGCTTTTGCTATAAACCCCCACCAAAGCCACGTGGAATCTCCAACACTGGATAACACCCGATAAAGATAATTTTCAAATACTTGTTTACCCATGGACACACACACACACTTAGTATGGGACGGTGTACTTTGACAAATGTGGACCTAACATCTGTGACTGCAATCGCTTCTTGCACTACCGTTGCGATGATTACTGTGTTCACCTTCATAGAAATTATTATATGACCACAACCCAAATAAAACTGCCTACAATGCATGTATAAATTGGACCAGTGGAAATGTGTGAATATATCCATATTGGCACAAGCGAGGGTGTTTTATTGTACAGCAATATGAAAGCCATGCCACTTCATTGCTAAATGTGAATTCGGTACTTTACAGTAAAAAAAGCCAAAATAAACAATAACAAACTTTTATTTCCCCCAACAATTTATATTGGCTCTGCTCATAATCACATAACTATGGAGTCTACATCAAAACTCTTACATATAAGCTACAGGAAGAAGGGAAAAAACTGTTCTGCAAAGATTAAGTAAAAACGAAAAAGATGCACAGCCTATACAGGACTTGTTTACACAACATGCGAAGCTTCACAGGGAAACTTAATTCAATATTTGAACATGTTTAGATTGTATGAATATAATTACGGAAGCGTTAATGTTGTTTTAATGTTACCAGAGGGTTTTTGTGGTTGCGTTTTAAAGGCAGGAAATAGGCGAGCTGTTGTTAAACACGGATGCACGGGGAGTGGGAAAGTAATACAGTGTGCGGGGTTGGGGTTGTGAGATTAATTATCATTTTCGTTCGTAGTCTCTTTGGACACCAGCGTCTCCTTCTCGAGCATGAGCTCTGCAAAACGGTTCTGCAGCTCCTTCTCGCGCTCCACCTGTCTGCCGACATCCTCACGCAGCGCCTGCACCACCACCACCACACAACCACCCCAAACAACATCAACCGAGTTTATACAAGCAAACAACCTGCTTTGTGTAAACAGTTTGTTCAAGTTAACATGCCTCCTGGTACTAAACTATGCTAATCTGTGCACAAATGACCAGTTTAAGTAAAAAAAATAAACCGAATCAATCTGCTTACCAACTCTCAAAATAAGATGGTGCTTAGAACTGCTTTGTAGATTTGAGCCAGTTGGTGGTAATTCCACATCCCTATAGCCAACGGAATAACAATCTGTAGGGCCACTGCTGATTTCTCAGAGTGATGCCAGTTTTATCATCAACCCTGAGAGGTTGCAAGGCTGAGTCTTCTCTCGACCAGGAGTTAAACTCACAACCTTCCAATCATGTATACCGACTCTAACCCCAGCGCCACCTAACCAGCTACAAATACGCAGTGAATGAAAATACACAAAACATAAGCAAACTACTGCGGCCAACACACAATCATGCGACATGTTCCGTTACATCACGCTAAATATGCGCATGTGCCCACTAACAAATATAGCCCTAATTACGTAATAAGCGGACATTCCCAGCAACCACAATATGGCATTCAGTCCAACAAATGTCATTTGCCTTTGTAATGTTTTTGCAGTAAGACTACAGTATTTACATAATACCATTTATTTTCAGGTTTGTTGCTTCAGTTAACTTCAAAGCAATGTAGAGTTAATGAGAGCCTAAGTCGCGTGTTTCTCTTCGTTCGTAAGTGAAGTGTGAATTGCTGCCCCTGTGTTGCTGGAACAATACCACATCAAGTGACCCCAAGTGCTGCACTAATGCGGGTTGAACATGTTTTCTTAACGGACCTGTCAATAAACGTGATGTCACGTAACCTTCCACATAAATCAATGACTGACATCACTGCTGTGGAAAACAGTCAGTCACTACACTAACCAGGAGACTTGGTGAAAGAAGTGTGGCACGTGCTTGACTTTACGTAACAAAACACACGCAAGTGTTTTAGGCACATGTCAGACTGGTGTGCTTTGCCAGCTGAATATATAAAGAAACATTATTCTTTCAAGCTTGCGTTGTACAGCAATACATTTCACTGGATTAAGTGTGTAAGGTTGCATGTTCTTGTCTAAAAATAAACAAAACAGAAGGTTCAGCCACCTGATCGAAGCAACCTTGGGCTAACCAAAATCCTGCCTTTCCAGATTACAGACACTCTGTCCGCAGGTAAGAGCTTGCAATCTGAGACATGACTCAATAGCTCTGTCAAGCTGCAAAAGTAAATATCTGGAATAAAATGGGGCTGCTACTTCATTAATCATCTCTACCATCTTGATCAAATTTCATATCGCAGATTGAGTCATTTATTGGCAGTGATTCAGAAACTAATAGTGCAGGCAACTATATCAGTTAGTGAACATATTTTAACCCCTTTCACCCCCGTGTGTGACCAAATGATCACATGTTTAGCACTTATTTTTTGAAAGAAAAACCACGTGGTAATATTGAATCACAAATATGAATTCGCAATTTCTACAGTACCTAAACTAGAGTCAAATATGGTTCCACAGAGATGGCAATACAATAATGGTATCAATTCATTTGGACTATGTACTAATCTGATTGTCATCATCAACTTACACATTGCTGGGTAAAAGCCTCCTCGCCACTTTGTTGCCATCCCCGTACTCTCCTGCGCTGCTACAATGAATGTTGCTCCTGCACAGGGGCTGGGTTCATTGCTCCATCTCTGTGGTGGTTGTCCTCTGGGACAACTTCCCTCCTTTGTCTACAATTATATCACTTAGTCTTGTCAATCTATTACTCACGTGAGCCCTCTTGGAGAATATCCTGCCCAATCCCACTTCTCATAATTTGTCAACATTGTGTCTCTAATAATTTACGCTTCTTCTCTAATCCATGTTTTCCTCTTTCTGTCCCTGAGTGTAAGACCGAACTTGCATCGCTCCATGAAAATTACCTACTTTCAGCATGTTCCATTTTTGTTGTCTGTGTCCATTATCCCGATCCATATTTGATAGCAGGCAATATGCCGATTAAAAACTAATTTTCCTTCGGTCACACTCGTTTGTTGATTTGCATTACATATATAAATAACACATTTACATTGATCCCAGAGATCAGAGAAACAAATATTTTACACTATAGAGACCAACCAACCACGTGAGATAGCTGGATTTATAAATTAGCATTGTTCTAACATCGACTACATACGTAACATCAGATTCAAAACAATGTAAATGAATAAAATATAACATTGTTAATGGGAGTTTGTAGATTATTTATAAAAATGGATGCAGTAATTGGACCTCTTACAAACCAAAGCCATGTATTTGTTTTGATCAAAGCCATCTATAAAAATTAAACTACCACAATAAGAATGCAGGAATTAAAAAAACACAAATCAAAACAAGATTCAGGCAAGGAGATAAATCCTCAGCAAGGCTATTCACATCAACAAGGGAAGTTACTTACCAAACTATGGTTTAGAAAACACGAATGGAAAACAACTTAACAAAGAAGGCTGCAAATATGGGAAAAAGATAAAGATAAGAAAAACAATACCAGAAGAGGGGGCCACTCGAGGGTAAATGTATTTGTCGTCGTGTATTTGTCTGACAATAATCACAGATTCCCAGTACAGCTACCTCAAAAAGAGGACAATCCTGAGAAACCGAGATGGGCGTAAAGCCCATATCCGTTTCCCCAGGTGGCAGGCGCAAGCGACAGTATCTGTACGTGAATGAGGCAGCGCCGTTCACTTGCTCGGTATAGCCTGCGGTCATCACCTCGAGGCGCCGGGGAATGGCAATGTCCTCGTGCTTCTTCAGCTCCTGGAAGGTGTGCAGCTCCAGGTGTGCCTGCTCCACCTGGTCCCACAGCTCTCCCAGCTGCTTGGTGAGCGCCATCGTGCGTGACTGGTAGCCACCCGTCAGGATCTTCAGCTTCTTTTCCAACTTTGCAGCTTTCTTCGCCTCTGCCGTCATCTGTGCGCGGTTTATCTACAGTGTACATGCAATAGAGAGAAAACAAACACGCCTTACTATCTCTGCACAATCAACACTTCAAGTGCAGCCTTATTTGCTGCTCACATTCATTTAATGGCAGCACTAATCCTCCATTGATGATCTTAAGCTAAGCAAATAAGACACAAGCCAGTCCATCTAGCATGTTGCTGTTGACATCAGCCTCTCGTACCACAGGTATGAAAAGCTGTGTTGACTGCCAACCGAGATTTGAACTCTAAACCTTTCCAATTTTTTAGTTAACCGATATAACAAGTGTGCCAGCTGGCACACTACAATGCTATAGTCGGTGCTTTACAACATCTGATCAAGTCAGCAATTGTGAAACGCAGCATGTTTGAGATGCAGACTAAGCCACTGTCAGATGGTGCTGAAGCGAGTGAGGCTACGGATGCTGGGGTTGTGCTATGCGTAACCACATGTCACACTTGTCACAATTACAATCATAAGCATGTCCTTCGACCCACAATCATTCATTTGTTTATGCGTGATCGCCAACTCCGGCATATGGCACTGTTGCCATTAAACACAACAACACTGAAAAGATGCACCGCCCTTAGATGAATATGCACACACATTAGGGTCCGCACAACACACAAGCTGATATTGACACATCACAAGAGGTACTCGTTTGAGGTCAAGTAAAATGAAGAAAAAGAGCGTTATAGTTCATCGAATTCCTCCAGTATAAATACATATTGTGATTATAACTCAGAAATTCAGATAGGACTTTATACTAAACGTTAGTTGTAAATTATTGGCACAGTAGTGCTGAAATCTACACGACCATGCCCCAAAGAAACACAACTGGTACATTTCCATGCTGTTACGAGAATCGACAAATTCATACAACACTTTGTATGTATAATCCATTGTGGAAAATACAATGGGAATTAGTATGGTTATATCATTACTGAAATATGCAAAGGCATGAGGATAAATAAACATGAACATTCCAATCATATTCTGGTTACACAATGGAATATTTTTTTCCGAAATGCCCATGACAAAATAGGGTAAAATATTTCCCCTCGGAAGGTTTTGATTTATAAAAAGAAGCATCTTCCCGACCACAATCAAAATTCTTTGCGCGTTTTACCCTGTGAACTAAGGGGTAGTTCTCTTTGAACGTTGCTTGTAGAAATTTCTAAGATGAAAAATATCTGAAATATTTCAAGTTCATCTGTGGGAGTGCTGGACATACCAAATATAATTTCTTGATAAAACCCAAACGTTTAATAAACATACGGTCGCAATTTCCTGAGATGACATTCAGTCCATGGCCAAACTGCTAATTTTCCAGGACGTAAAATGCACACTCTGAGAAAACATACGCATTCTAAACGATAAATCTCACAAGCAATGGATAACCAAGAAATGGGAAATTCCAACCACGGCCTTACACTTCACCACTATCCTTTTGAAAAAAGTATAATTCAAAACATGTTAGACTTTCCCACACTCATCTTGGCAGCATTAGTGTATTCATTTGAATAATGAAAATAGTAACTGCATTTAACCAAGATTATTACTTCTTTACATTTAAGCACATATTAAAAACTAATTCTCAAAAACATTAATATTAATTACGCGATATCACAGAAACAAATGCATATTAATTTTCATCATCATCATGTAGTCTTTTCTATCGGCCATCTTCCCTGGTGATATATCCAGCGCTGCCTTTTCTTGACAGCAGATAGTCACTGATATACATTTGATCCTTATGGCAGTACTCCGGGGTACCAAATAATACAAAATGGCCAAGGCAATTAAATACTTTATTTCTGGGACACTATTTTTCCAGGGGTGTACTTAACTCCGCGACTGGGGTACCAATCAATCCGACATCGATGTCGAAATGCAGCGAGGCGATTGCGCTGGAACCCTGAACGCTCGTACGCACCGTAGTGATGCATCGTGTACAGCTCGTCGAGACGAGTCGATTGCCGCATCGCCAACCATCATCAGACTAGACATGACTGCATCACGGATTTGTTCTGTGATCCACGTATTTCACTTTGTGTCTCTCAGCATAACTTCGAACATGCTTCTTCGGGAATTTTTCAGATTTTGTTATATTCCTTTGTCAGTGTCCATGCATCTGACGTCATAGCTGTTAGTTTGCATTAACTTACTTCTCTTTTCATTGTCATCTACATTTCAATAACATAAATTATCTGCATTATTACTTTCAACTTAAAACACAAGACATTTAAAAGCTAAACTCATTGTTGGTCTCTGGGCATAAATTCACGAGTTCAAGTTCCATAAAAGGGACTTCTGACGGCAAAAAAAACACATCAGTGACTGCACTGCCCCTCAGTGGGGAAGTTAACATTTTGTGGCACATCTTGAGTGCAAATTCCAAACAGGCTCAGTTTTTTCCAGCAGCTGCGTCAAACTAGGCGTGGCTTGTAGGGGGCGGCTTCCGGCCTTCAGCAGCCAGCATGAGGCAGCCTCCATTTTTAACAGCGAGTGTTCGGCTAAAAAAAAAAAAATCAGCCGATTATATTTCGTCAATTGCTAGATTTTATTGACTAATCGTCCCATCTCTAAGTTTAGGTGAGCAGCTACGCACAGCTGTTGTGCTGTGGGGACACCAGAAATAAGGGGGGGGGGGCTGTGAGCACTGTTTTAGCCGTGCCGCTCTTACCTCCAACTTCTTCTCCAGGGACTCGATGCGGTCCTTCTTGCTGGCGAGGTTGGCACGTGTGTAGCGGCCCTGGGATGGCAGGTAGAGCACCTGGCTGTAGCACTCCTCCCACACCTGGTTGTAGGCCTCCAGAGAAAGGTCCCCGTGACCCATGCCCTGCTTCACCACCTCCATTTCCTGTGCCAGCAGCTCACGTGCCTGTGCAGAGAGGTGAGCGAGTTAAAACGACTCCCCGCGCTGAGTGTTCATTTCAATGCATGTGACGATGAAGATGACAATGATCATGATCTGCTCGTGCAGGGTCCTTCAACTAGTTTTTGCCGGCAGACCACGTAATAAAACTAGGAAGTACTGTGGGGCAAATTACATCATGTTACATTTAAAGATGTTTGGTAAGTGGCCATTTCCTGCACAGGTCAACCAGGGACTTCTCACAAAGTAAAATGAATTTGATCGACTATGGAGCTGGCCTCTGACCATAATTTGAACCTGCGTTCTAACTGCAGCTTCACCCAGACAGATGTAATAGTAACACAAATAACTATGAATAACTCCGGATCTTTTTTCCTGAATTATCCAATTGTGGTATTTCATCATGACATGAGAATTAGAATCCAGTTTGCACCATGTCAGAAAATGGCCCGTGAAAGAGATATTGCACAGACTTGTGAACAATCCTTCAAGAGGCTTTTTTTGATCACTTTTCCAAGAGAGATTGTGTGACAGTGAGATATTTATTAATTCCTGGAACTGGAATTTAGCCGAATTAAATGCAAAATACAAAATGTGTTTTTTTCTGTGCAGTCATGGGAGACTGGGCTAAAATCATTGACTCGCTACACTTAAGAACCAGATTTAATGACCCCAGCTGCCCATATCCATACCGAAGATCTCAACGGTACGAAGTTCTTCTGACCGTTGAGCTATCTGGTCAATGCCATGAAATAATATTCAAGCCTGAGATCATCAGCGACGGTTACCTTATGCAGGTCAGCTTCATCGATGGGCTCGTACTGATGCTGCTCCAGGAAGCTGACGTGCGCTGCGTTGTTGGCGCCACCCTTGCCCTTGTGTGCGACGCCATCGTCGGTAGGAGGGTGGTAGAGTCCGTCGTAGTGCATCATGAGGATCATCTCTTGCTTCACCATCTCCTCTGCCAGCTGCAGCTCGGTCAGCGGCGGGTCCACGCCCACAGGCCGTAGGATCGTCTCATTGATCTGCTCCGTCGCACAAACACAAAACACGCGTGCATGGAATTTATTTGTAACCAGATGATAGTGCATTGAGAAAAAAAGTCTTATCAAGGAAAAAAACTCAGAACGCATGCAAGGGAGTGAAATTTGGAAGACAAAACAACATTTAATGGGGCCTCTTCTACCTCCCAAGACACCTATAACAATCCTTTGGGTTTATAAAAATATGCTAGCTCCTTTAACACCTGTCAAGCTATTAACTCAAAGCATCATTACATTTGGTATTCGAATCTTAGGTTTAACCTACAAATGTGCCTGAATAAGTGTTCAACCAGTTCTTATTACCGCTATGAAATATTGATAAGAAGCATGGGCAATGACAAATAACATTTAACCAAAGTTTAATGTTTGCTATGCTACATGCAGCAATGCATCCCGGGAATTACACTAAATTATAAAAAGTGAAACACGTGCATCATGGAAAAAAAGTAAATTCAAAACATTATTTTGAACATTAAGGAAAGTGGGCTTGGGCAACACGCTAAAATAAAAGGATAATGGCCACTGGACAAGGCTGGTAATGAAATGGCAGCCAAAGCAGAGAACATGCCCGAGAAATTGACCATTACAAAGAAGGAATGATCAGATCAGCTTGTCGGCAGAAAGAGATGGATCATGTCATCTCACGAGTATGAAGCGAAAGCAAAGAAAGATCATTCAAAAGTGGTTTGACCACGCCTGATTATAATGACTGCACATGACCACTTATTTTCTCCATTTTTTTCTCCATTTATATTAATTGATTGAACATAACCAACATTCTGACCTCGGTGGGACGTGGCAGGTCGCGCTGCACTGCCTGGTGCCGCCGCTTCAGCTCCCGCTCCCGCTCGGCATGCCGTACCGCCTGCACACACAACAACAAGCAACAACTCCACCGTCAACCGAGGCGTGATCACACCGCCAGTGGACTCGTGCACACGGGCGAGACATTGAGCAAGTTCAGAGAAGAAAATATATACATACTGACAGCGATAACCTTTAAAAGAAACTGTGCACCTGAAATGTTTTAACCTGAGAAAAAACACTAGTCAACACGCCGGTGGTCTTTATCACATGACTAAACAAACAAATCACATTTAAATAATTGCTCCTTACTAAAGAAGCAACTACAACACCACTTTTACCTTGTAGCTACATATCTATGCTGCATATTCCAGGCTTTCTGCATGAGTTTTAGCTTTGGTGTTGAGAATATGAACAATTTGAGGTGAATTTCAGGTACACTCTGTTGGCATCACTGTGGTCATTGCAGTGTCTTTTGATATTTCACTGCAGTGATGGTAAGAGAGCAATTCCCAAAGTCGGTTTTTCTTTTTCTCCCATTAACAAGGTATCAAGTGCATGTCAAAAATCCAGCAAGCAGAACCATGCAACGATGCGTTGATTAATCAATATCCATTCTTAATCCTCACAATCCAATCATGGATGTATGTTTGCACAATGTTTTACACGTGCAATTTGTTGCATGCGGATTCTCGAATCAAATCGCAAACCCCACGTGATGGCGATTTATCAAACTGTGAGGGAGGCGCATTGTGACATGGTCTCTAGGTATATATCGACAATAATTGTTTTGTTCTTTTGCATCATCCTTGAAGGCAGTAACTACTTGCCTTCAATGGGTCGACATAACAGCACTAAACAGAACTCGTGACAGGAACACTCTGGCCTGTCTCCCAGTGTCAAAATATGTTTTTATTCAACTCGTGATGAGAATATTCAGCAACAACGCATTTGTTTTCCTTCAATGATGACGATACGTGCACAAATAACATCAAGCATGACAATGGCGATGACTACCCAAAGACCAAAGCCTGACTATGACAAGACAAAACTAGTCTGAATTAAGATACATTGGTAATGCTATTAGAAACAAAAGTACACTTAAGATGACCAAATGGTAATTGAATATATGCATGTATACAAAGATTTACAATTTCACTGATCAATTGACTGACTGACTGAATAATAATAATAAAGGGGGGAATGTCGCACCCCTCACACCAACATTTAATCACTGCTTTAGTTAACGAGACTAAGAGAATGACTGAGATCCACAAACACTCGACTACAGCCATAAGTTATCGTCGGCGTCGTCTAGACTAAGACCGTTGACGAAAATATTAAAAATGCCGGCTGAATTCAAACTGGTGGCCCGCACCTGCTTGCGAGAGTCCACATCCGAGGCATCCTCCACGAAGCTCTCGGGCGCCTCATCGGGCTCCTGGTCGCCGTCCACGTTCTCGGGCAGCACGATCTCAAAGTCGTTGCGCGGCGTGGGCAGCCCCTGCAGGCCCTTGCGCAGCTGCAGCTGCATCTCTCGCTCCTGCATTCGGCGCGGGGTACAAAGCGACGCCGCTGTGCTACACGGTAGGGATGGCAAAAGTATTGCAGGGCTTGGGGAGTGGCAGCTGATGACAAAGGTGTTTCAGAATCACAATATTTTATTTTATTGGAGGAATCCTACGAGCTATAAAGCTTTTTTCACAGATGTGCAGTAGCAACAGGTCAGAATAATTTAGTATGGCTGTTGCGGTATGATGGTACGACAACACGTCACGTGATATAAGATCCAAGGTAATCCTCTCGTTGAGTTTGCAAAATATAGTTATCATTGGTCATTTTATTCTTCTTGAAACATTTCATTTCCTCATGAAATATTTTTTAAATAAATGCAACATTTTAAGTTGTAAATAAATAGCTAGTATTCATTAAAATAAGCACTTTGAAAAAAAGATTCTGGAGTAGTTGACGGCATGGCAATTACATGCCTCCATTATTTTCGTAGTTAAAATTATTGAATATGTTATTGTGTAACTGGCCGAATGTGCATTATAAGCTTTATAGATTGTAATAATTTGATTTATAGGTGTATTTTAAGTGAACTGCAGTTGAAGAACATTTAAGTACAACAAAGCCCAAAAACAGTACTTTCAAAATTCGAAATACAATTACAAATATATGGGACACTGAAGCTCAATTGTCATATTGTGAAACTTGGAATCGTATATTTTTATGTCAAACTTTTTTCGCACCGTACGTAGCCAACCGTGCTAATCAGAGGTGCGGGACATCGAAGGTGAGATATCGTACCACATCGTGTGGTCCAGTAAAAAAAAAATAATTTAAGAGCCACAAATATGAGACGGTGGTCCTGAATACAAAACGTCATGAAGCAGTTCTAAGAGAGCCACCAAATGCGGCTCCGAGCCGCACGATGTATTTAAAAATGACATGGCGGCAACCCTAGCGTGCACAGCATACCATCTGCTTGGCATAGCGCGGGTCGTCCACTTCCAGGCCAGCTGTCTCAGGGTTGATGCTGAGCTTGTCCCTCACGGGAGTGCGGCCCGGGGTGAGGCCGGTGCCCACTGGGCCCGTCGCCCCCACCGGCCCCGCTGTCACCATCTTGGGGGTCAACCCACCCCTGGGAGTCAGCCCCTCTCCACTTTGAGATGGAGTCCTGAAAATAACAAAGTACGCAACCTCAACATAAAAAATACTGTCAAAGGGAAGAAAACATTACTTGACCAATATGATACCAGAGATTCGAACGTATTTTGTCAAATTATCAATATTAACCAAATTATAACAGCCATGCCTAGAAAGCTCTACACAAATAACCTCCCTTGGGTCCCAATTAATACAGAAATACTTCACTATACTGATGAGACACTTGCTATGAAATCGTCAAGTAATAATGTAAACTGCTCCTCTCATGCAATGCAACTTGAGATTATAATCTGCAGCAGTCTAGCCAAGGAAAGTTGTCGTTTTACAGCACGAGGTGAACACACGACCAGCCTGCAAAAGGGGCATTAGCCTGGCAGTAGACAGCAGAGGTCGCAACCGGGTACCCGATATCCGTACCCTACCCGATACCCGGCTACCCGTACCCAGCCGGGTACGGGTACGGGTACCCGTTTGCGACCCTGGTGCGGCCGGGTACGGGTAGGCCGTGAGTCACTGGTGAGTAACCGTTTGTCACTCATTTCCCATTGTCTCGTCTCTTCTCACAATTCAAGTGCCTAGAATCAAACCACCCGCGCCTGCAACGTGGCTTCATCCTAGAGGTCGCAATCGGGTACCCAATACCCGTACCCTACCCGATACCCGGCTACCCGTACCCGGCCGGGTACGGGTACCTGTTTGCGACCCTGGTGCGGCCGGGTACGGGTACGGGTACCTGTTTGCGACCCTGGTGCGGCCGGGTACGGGTAGGCCGTGAGTCACTGGTGAGTAACCGTTTGTCACTCATTTCCCATTGTCTTGTCTCTTCTCACAATTCAAGTACCTAGAATCAAACCACCCGCGCCTGCAACGTGGCTTCATCCTAGAGGTCGCAATCGGGTACCCAATACCCGTACCCTACCCGATACCCGGCCGGGTAGCCAGGTATCGGATAGGGTACGGGTACGGGTACCTGTTTGCGACCCTGGTGCGGCCGGGTACGGGTACGGGTAAGGAATCAAAACCCGTTTGCGACCTCTGGTAGACAGTGATTTTGTTATTTGGCTTTAATAATTAAGCAATTACATACAGGACTGTCAAGGGAACCTAGGTTTCTGAACCCCGTGTGGAGATGTAGCACCTGAAGGGCGTTCCAAGCACAGTGTTTGGCGTCTGGACAATCTGCCGCTGCGGAGTGACGCTGCTGAAGTCGCTCTCGTGCAGGGGTGTGTTCAGGCCGCCCTTGAGCGGGGTCTCTACATTCGTAAGCGCCATGATGTTTTGTGCCTCCTGCGCACAAAAAATGGGGGAAGGGGAATTCGAAAAAAAAGTTCATGGAAGCATTTATGTTTAAACATAGCGTGAGGATGGTTTATTTAAAGAGGATAATTGCCGTAGATGCTTCCACGTGGCCGACATGGTTCTGTACAGGGTAACTATAATATTATTACACATTGAGATAGTGCAACACAAAACAAAGCACAAAAAATAACTCTATCAAAAGTCATGAAAAGTAAAGTTACATTTAACATTAGTTTAACAAAAACGAAAGTGGAAGCAAACAGGGGGCAGGGAAGATAGAAAACCAGGAGGGGATAAATGCAACAGTAAACGATCTCGAAGATAAAGGACTGAGAGAGAGTAAAGCAGCAATACTGGCGAAATAAAGAGAGCCATGTGGAAATTGGTTTGAACCCATGATCACAAATGAGCTGACGTTAAGGACAGTTGATTATGATGATGAAACAAAAAGCTAATTGGATGGAAGTGTTTTCATGTTTTTGTGACCCCACGAATGTGGTAACAGTGGTGCTTACAAATAATCAGACAGACCAGTAGATTAAACTTATTATTTTCAAAAGCACGTAGAAAAATACACCACATTAATAAATTACCACTTGGAGAGTATGTATGCAGGTGGCGCTGTGTTTGTTGTTGTTTTAGGTGCGAGTGAGCACCTGCAGGATGCGGTCTTGTGCGGCGGGCGTGCGGGGCGTGCGTAGGCCGCCAGGGCTCGGCGTGACGCTGTAGTCGGACAGAAGAGCGCTGGACGCGGCGTTGTTGGTGCCCGACTCCTCGGCAGCCTGGCGCGCGAGCTCACTCGCCTGCCCGATCTTCACCACCTCTTCCAGCTCCGAGTCTGAGATCTGAGCAGCATTGCAATAGCAATAGCCAGATCAAAAGACAATAACGTTATGATATGAGATAGTGACAATCGCATAGGTAGCAAAGCAATGGTTAAAGAAGGCATGGTGGGGGAAGACTGACCAAATAAACAAAAAAACAATTTATTTTTCCAGGTAAGACCCACTGAGCTATGTAGCTCATTTTCAGAAGTGACCTGGCTACAAATAACAGTTCAACTTAGTGGCTTATCATGTGGACATTTATAGCAGCCAAATACTGTAAACGCACAATTCTAAATGTAGAGGGTAAAACCGGGAGGACCAGGACAAAAATACACACAACCGCGGGGAGAAAGCCATGCAAATTCCAAATATACAGGCGTCGGGGTCGGATCCACGACCTCCTGTATACCGGGTGAGGTAGTTAACATCTGGCCACTGCACACAAGCTCTGTGGCCACACACCTGGGGGGCTGGAAGGACGAGCTTGCTGCGCTTCTTGGTGAAGTCAGACACGCGGCAGGTCTGCAGGATCGCCGACGGAAGGTCAGACTCCTTCTTCTTTTTCAGACGCTGCTTGTCCTTGCGTCTCTCGCGCTCCTCCTTGTCACTAGTTAGAGGGGTGTGCATCGGAATTCGGTACAAGTATATGAGGGTAATGTAATATAATTTTTATCGGTGGTCAAGGCCGCCCCCTCATGTCCAAAAGCATTTAATGCACAAAAACCTTTCACCTAGTATATGAAATTAAAACCAGCCTTTTGTAATAAACAAAAATATACAATATTAAATCACAATTTCTAAATCCTCACTTTCAAAACCCGCTTAAGAAGGGCCATCTAGAGCTCCATCTAGTTGAGGCCCTTTTGCCAGCAGTAGCATGAGCAACCGATTATAGGGTTGCACCCTTACCATTATTATTATTTTACTTGCACAACCTCATTGTCTGATCGGTAGAATCATAGAACACTTGGGCTTAACCGTTAACATGTATATGCAGCAACCCACTTGCGCAGCTCTCCGTCAAGGTGCTGCTGCCGCAAGCGCTTGAAGTCTGGCTCGAGCATCTGGTAGTTTTCCTCGGACGTGTCGAAGAAACCTGGCGCCGGCTTCTTCTCGAACGGAATCTCAGCATTGTAGTCAACCCCGCGCTTCTTCTTGCGCTTCTTCTGAATATCGATCCCGGCAGCACGCAGCTCCCGCCTCTTCTGCAGCGCGGCGAGGCGCCTGTGGGCCACGCGCAGGGCGGGGCAAAGCAAAACTCATCGCATCGGCAAGAAACTTCACAAGCAATGTACAAAAGACTAGGTTTGAAACGATGCACCGATTTATGAATAAAAATCGATGACTACATTCACAATACATGCATCAAACAGTGTGGGTAAAGAATCCATTAGTTTAAATTTAAACAAGTTATATGCTGGTGAACGTTTAGGCTCACCGAGCAAACAAAACTATGAAGGTAAAGACAAAACTAAAAGTTAATATATTATTGACTCAAATTGCAACTGCCAATCTTGGCAACTCATAAAATCGCACATCCGCTTAGCACGATTGGCTACGTATGATGCGAAAGAAATTCAACATCCATACAAATCGTTTGAAGTGAACTGTGCCTTCTAAATATGCATCCATTAGTAATATTCTATGGATGTTTGCATATGATCCGAATTTAATAACACACAAGTGGTAATGCAGTAAACGCCAAGCCTGAGAAGGGGAGGGGGGGAGAGGAAAACTGTAACGTGACGTAGCACAACCTAACCAGCACGAAGCAACCAGCCAATCAGCCTCTAGCACGAGCCCATCACCGGCCCATTAATCATAGCCCCACCAATGGTACATGAGCATGCAAGTTTTTAGATTTTGTAATTTTATCCATTTTATTGTTTATCGTACTACTCAATGATGTCAAATTCAGAGTGGCTATCCTATGAAGGCAGTTGCCCCCACAATAAAGATGTGTAACATTATACTACTGGACCACCAAACACATTTTAACGGTGAGAGAGTGACTTTTGATAGTGACTAGGGTTAGTTCAATAACCTCTGCTAAGTGCTCAATTGAAGTGCTGCATGTTAAGTGTAAGGAAAGTTAAGCCACCTCGAGGGTGTGTGCCTCAGATCATGCCACGTAACAACAAAAAACGCCATTTGCCACTAGTGGCTGTGACGTCACCACGGCGCTTGTGCCAGGCGATGTGCACTTTAAGGTCACGTGACGTGTCAAACGCCCGCTGGCTGGAGGTTACGGGACAGACGCAGGTGCCATGGGTTGACTGACAAAGATGACTAACAGATGCACCACCTGTGCCCCCTACTGCGGCAACTACTGCCACCATGTAAGATTCGACTCTCACAAACCTGGCCTCCTCAAGCTGCTTCTCTCGGGCCTTACGCTTTGCCTTCTTGCCCTGAGTGTTGGCAAGTCGGGCACGCGCCTCGGACAGCATCTCCAGCTCATCTGGTGGTGCACAAGAAAAACAACATTAGCAAATTTTTCAACTGTTATTGCACAAAATGTAGCAGGCTACCAACAGTACATTTTGTCAAGGCTGGTTAATTTAAAGTCATCATTGTCATGAGCCTCCCCAAAGGCATCGCCATTTCTCACGGTCCTGTGATGTAACACTCCACCAAGCACCTGCACAAGAGCCGATTGAATTGCTCCATCTTGACAATGGATGCCCTCTTGGGTGTCACTCTTGTTATTAGTCTCGACCACGACAATCATCCCTTCTAGCAACGTGTCCTGCCCAAGTGGACTCTTCTTATATATTTGAATAACTGCTCGAATAACTCAATGAACACTCCATTAAAAAATTGTAATAGCTAAGCATAGAGCTCCTGTAATTCGAAGAAAAAGAACATTACTACTTTTACTTTTTTGGAACCAAAAAGTAATTCCTGCAGTCACGAAAGCTCAAAATCTAGTTTATTACTGCTTTTGCATAAAATAGCTTTGCAAACAATTACTTTCATTATTGTTAAAAATATAGAACAAGATTACCTTTATTGAAGAACAGGGAATGGCCCATTGAGACCAGGAGTCTCTTTCGTAAAAACTTCCATGTCTACAAACTTGAATAATAAAATCAAATGAATAGGTTTAAATGAACTAGGAGAAGACCCCGGGGCCGGCCCAGGACATGCTGGCGGGACGATGTTGCTCAGCTGGACTGGGAACGCCTGGGAATTCCCCAGGAAGCGCTAGAGTCTGTCACCAGCGAAAGGGAGGTCTGGATCGCCCTACTCAAAATGATGCTGCCGCGACTCTCACCAGGACAAGCGGATTCCGAAATAAACAAACGAATAAGCCTTACACCCATCTAAATATCTGAACAATTTTGGCAGTCAACGAAACTCACTAAACTCAAATCCCACACCGACATAACTATCATTCTTTGCAACATCCATGACTTTACCGGGTCTGTCATGAAAGGTCGTATATTAAGACTTCACCACATGTCAGTGAGGCATATAGTTTTGCATTAAGCTATGGGTGGACAATGAGTTGTGGTCCTCACCTTCATCCATGTCCACTGGGTCAGGTCGTGCAGGTTTGGTCTCTGGATTTGGGTCAATCTCTCCAGGCTTCAGCTTACGAGGGTCATCTCCTTGCTCCTCCTCATTGTCTTTCTGTGCTGCCTTGTCCCTGTGCAGTTCACACACACACGCACAAAGACAGAGATTCTTCCATGTAGCCTACAGATTGAGCGGTGCTGTTAGTGAGCACCTATTAAGTCCGGCATGGCGCAGGAGAGGGTGGTGTGGCCAGTGCTGATATTTAGACTCCGCTAGGTACTCATTCAAGGCCTAGAGCAGGCCCAGGACCAGTTCTGATATTACTCATCACTGATGATAGCTAAGGCAAAAATCTCAGGTTTCCGGGTTTAGATACCTTATCACTACGCTAACAACAGCCGACATTTGCCACTAAGTGACATCCCTAAACACTTATGCCAGGCTAGGTACACTTCGGGGCCACATGCCCTGTCGAAGGCTCACTGATTGGTCACGGGAAAGACTCAAGTGTGAAGGGTTAACTGATGACTGGTAGATTCACGATTTGTGATCCACACTGTGCTACAGTGGCGGCGCAGCGGAGGCACTACCACTAGGCCGCAAGTACACACGCATACACAAACATGCACACAAGGTGATTGTGATGGTCACACAGAGGTTGGGGCAGTGCCTTCGAGGGCTGGCTCATACTGCAATGCTTACAGGAGGTACTCGTAGTGCTCCAAGCACTGTGCAGCAGTCCGGCCCACGATGGGTGCGATGGTTCGCCACTGTGTCGGCATGAGCTTTGCCAAATGCAGGAGCTTCTCTTCCTCCTCTCTCGACCACTCTGTCTTCTTGATGCTGGGGTCCAGCCACTCGAACCTGCACGAGGAGCAAAGAGCCACACAAAGATCAGCATGTGAGAATGGTCAAACCGGTCTACGTGCTCAATTCAGATTATGATGTGTATTATTGTTGGGATGTATCAATTAATAGTTTCAACTTAAATGTGTATGCTCACAATATATCCATCAATTTATTGTGTGTATCAACGGATACATTTTGAATCATATTTGTTGTATGCAATTGGTTCATTGAAACCCTGCAATCACTATATCTTCAACAGTGACACATACATAATCGATTTGTGGTTCAAATGATGAAAGTGATTTAAATGTGAATAGCAAAAAACCTGGTGTGGGGAGGCCTTAGGCAGTAGACTGCCAAAGCGCTGCAAATGTTTTTTTTTATCACAAGCCTAATTTTAACAGCTCAACAAAGGTTCAGTAATGTTAAACATACAGAAAGCGAGGTGTTAAGGTATCAGAAGGAAGGGATAAACAAGGATTATCCCTGGACTGCCACCACTGACAGTAAAAAAAGCCTTCTCAGTCCATAAACGGAATGAGGGCAACTCACCATCGTGCCTTGCACTGCTTGGCTGATTTTCGATGCAGCAGGGATGCAATTCGTGACCATTGGTTTTTCCCATATTTCATAACAGCCGCTTTGAGGATTTCATCCTACAACGGAATAACACAGCAATTTTGTTAAGAAAATCAGCAGCAGTATGTAGTTTCGATACGGAAAGTCATATTTGTCAACAATAATCACAGAGGAAAACTATGAGCATTGTTCCAAGTCATTAAAGCACGAGTAAAGGGCAAAAGCGGTAACTTGCTGACTCCCACACAACTTTATAGAGCGTGTGCCCCATAATTACATCCTCAGTTCTCAAAAACGTTGATACCCGATGTGAACTAAAGAAATTACCTAGGCTCGTGTGGGTACTTCAATGGTAGTCTGGCTGTCATTTTCTTACGACAGAGAACAATTAATCAATCCACTGAACGATACGTCGGATTACCCCAGTGGAAATAAAGATTCTGAATCTGTCTTGACGATCCAATTCATGACAATCGGGCTGGATATTAACTCACAATTATTTAAGCATTTAAGCACTTAAGCACTGCAGCTTCACCAAAGGAGCTGCAATGTCAACAATATCTGCACACATATAAAGCCCTTTCATCAAACCAATGCTGGATGAGGGCCGATCCACGCCGCGAGGATTATTTGACCGCACTTCGCCACACTGGTTATTGATCAACGTGGGGAGCATAGACATTGAAGCGTAGAACAGCACAGTACAGTACAACAATGTTACTGTGCTCTACTGCCCACCACGTAACACCATTGCCTAAAACAACTTGCTATATTCTAGATTTGAAGCTTTCGTGACTGCAAGGATTCATATTCTTAGGTTTTTTCGGTAAAGTCACGTAGGTAAAACATCAAAATTAATAAAAATAAAATAAAACAAAAATCACGACGTTTCGGAGGCAACTTGCTATATGCATGGCCGTCTCCGATCCACGAACTGACATTGTCATCCATAGCGGTGGCCCCATGACGACTGTTAATCAGTGCGAATAATATAACGAGAATGAGTCTAAATTATAAATAAAAACACGAAGTTTCATTTGTAAACGTGTTCACGCCACTGGCTGCGCGTTGGGACTAGTTGCTGCTTGCTAGGCCGCGGGGTAAAGAATGCGAATAAAAACATTAAAGTTTACCTCGGTGTTTCTCCAAACGCCACCTTTAATCATAATGCGAGGCATGGTTGCTGTTGTTTAACTCTGCACCCGTCGGGGAGGTGTAAGTTTATGAGTAAACGGGTGAATAATCGCGATCTGCAACTCGACGAGGCGAACACACGAGCGCCACACGCACTGAGACACTCTGCAGGGGGCGTGATGGAAACAAATAAAGTTTAACGAATAGCGTTTAAAAATTAGTAAACGCACTACAACGCGAAGTCTATCGCCATTAACATCTTACTACTAAAGCGAGTAATAAAAAAATCCAACATTTAAAGTCGTTTTGTTACAAATTTAAATAACCTCGTGCCTACGTCACGGGGTCAGAGGTCACGGAAATTACGCGGGAAAGCGGCGTTCGGGGGTTCAACGATTTGGGTGCTCATCCTCTGCCTCTGCCTCGTCCGTCTCGACCCGGTACCCTCTCTGCCGTCTCCTCTGGCTGTCGTCTCTGTACTTCACACTCTGCACCGTCTATTCTTGTTTCTTCTGCACCGTCGCCTTCTCCATAGCTCCCTCCTCTCTCTACCGACTCACTGTCAACACCGTCTCGTCTCGTCGGCATTGTCGGTGTCGCGTGTACTGCCTCGTCTTAATTGTCCGTCTCGTTTGTACTGTTGGTGACTTCTGTACGGTCACCCCGTGGCATCGGCCGCTGCCTCGTTTGTAACTGGGTTTATGAAACGAGCCACTTTGCCCTGTGATTTTCTTGTCTACTGTGCATACTATCCGTCTCGTGTGTGTACTGCATTTTCCTGTTCGCCGTCTCCTTCCGACTGTGTTCTGTGCTGCTGGTCTCGTTCTGGCACCACAAAGTCAACACTCGTGCCCTAATTGCAATTCGTGTGAACCAGAACTAATCTACTCTGGTGCCACGCGGCACGTGTCATGGACTTGACCTTCGTCTGATTGCTGACCCGGACATCTGTAGAAAGCAAAGAGCTTCATAGCTCATCGGATTCCTTCCGTCTAAAGAAATATTCTCATCATCAACCTTCGTCTCATCGATTCGTTTGATCGCGCAGAGCTATGGAAGAAAACGTCGCCTACTCCCCGAGCTTTAAGAGACCCCCCGGCACTCTGAAGTTGAAGAGGAGGCTGAGTGGAGTGGCCTCCAGACAAAGTCTCTCGTCCAGTGGCTCTCCAGCCTCGTCCTCCTCCTCCTCGGTCCCCACTTCATCACGCAGCCCGGCCGCTCCATCCGCCAAGAGGCGGAATCCCTTCGCCAGCCTCAACAACAACAACAACGCGCTCGGCCGTGGCTTGGAGCCGGCAAACAAGCGGGCTGCCCTGGCCGGTGACGGCGGTGGGGTCGCTGGGGACGAGGAGCTTCGTAAGGAGCCGAGTGGGGACGACGCGGGGGCGACTCGTGGTGGGGACGAGCGCGCAGCTCCGCGTGGAACTCCTCCGTCGTCGAGGGCGGCTGGAGGAGAAAGGCTCTTGGACGTTCTGAAAGGGCTCAGCGCTGGACAGCAACAACAGCAACAGGTTGACGTGGCATTGTTTGGGGAGAAGTGGGTGATGTGACGGGCACAAGAAGATATTGTTGTTGTTCATGTTCTGGTGATGGTCCTGCTGTTTGATGACTGCGCTTTCTAGATTAGCAGATGTACATGGAAGTATTCAGTAAGTAAATGCCCTGTTAGGTTTTCTCTTTCTGAGAAGGTGATACATATTTTAGATGTCTTTGTGAGTATGACTGCTTCCGTGTACAAATGAGAGCATATTTCTGAATCAATCCTTGTGCTGTTTTATTTCAGAAGGCGGAGCCTGGAGATGGATCCCCGCTGGAGCAAGGCAATGTAACATCACAAGTAGAACAGGACGAGGTACAAGAAATCAGTAATGAATTAGAAACGGTCTTTTCAAAACCGACTTTGTTAGGCAATGGATCTGCGTTAACATATGTAACCATAGATTACGCAAACGCCAATTCTCTCCAAATAAGGTTGAAAAGGTTGATGCATTAACGCCGTCCGTCTGAAATGCAGGAATTGGATTGCCAAATTGATTGAACGATTTCCCAAACCTTGAGATATAAAAAAAAAGTGGTAAAAGTATTCTCCCTGGCAGCCAAGGAGCACGCTTCCTGATGGCGTGCTGTAATTAGGCTTGGCGCAACGTTGTCGTGTGGCTTAAAACTCGGTGTTCTCGTCGATTCTGTAAAATGTTACAGAATCCATCCATATCCATGGCTCTTTTTTTCTTCCTTCGTTAATTGTAAGTTGACGACGTGTCCTTTGTTCGAGCAGGCAGAGCAGACCCGTGGGTGCGAGTCGGGAGAGCGTTTGCCACCGGACTGGAGCATCAAAACGAGGATTCTGTTCACCTCGAGCCTGCCTTTCTCCTGGGTGGAGCACTTCAAGGCCGTTGAGGAGGCCCAAGGCTTGGCTTTTCACCAGCCCAACCCGGCCGCCCAACTCCCACAACACATCGAGGTGACTGGTAATTGCTTGTCCGTAAAGGAATCATCGATCAGCGTGGCGCTGCGGTAGTTAGCGTAGTGCTATGAACCCAGTGACCCGAGTTCAATATTCAGCCACGGCGAGTGATATCTGAACCAGTCCCGAGTGCTCTACCCGCCAAGCCCGCACTGGCCAGCTTGGTGAAGTATGCTCAAACAACCCCATGACCGACACGACTTGTGGAGGCATCTATCCAGCTGTGGATTGACAAAGAGTGTAAACATTTAAAATAACCATCCATTATTAAAGTTTGAGACGTTTGAGCAGGGCTGATAAATCAGCACACGCACTTGGTAGAATGAATATTTTATCTCAAGAGTCTCATCCCTCTAAACCTCCACGTGTCTACCGGAGTGTTGGAAACTGGCATTGTATCGAGGTTTGAGAGAGTCTCTGGTTTTTTAAATGCTGATGGTATGTTGTGTTGAAGATAACTCACGCTTTTTGGTTTTAACAAAGTTAAAAGGAATATGTTGCCGAAATGTAACCAGACATTTAAAACTCCTATCTATATAATTGGGATGTGTCCATCCATCTGTGATGCTCTAGATATCCCAGAGGGTAAGTTGGAGGAAAAAGTGCCTCAAACCAAATAATTTTCTCTTTTAGAGGACATGCCCAGTAAAATGCACAGGCAGTGCTGATGCTCATGATAAATTGGATTAAACCATATTTGTAAGAATTCATTACTTATATTTTATGCTAATGTTATGAAACGCATGTGCCTTGAGGCGTGTAATATCAAACATATGAGAGACCGCATAACCAGCAAGAGAAAGGGATGAGGTATGCAGAGGCAAGTCAGTGGAGGTTCTTGAGACATGGACTGCAATCTTTGAAGGTGATCCTGGATTGGATTGGAAAGCAGTGGAGTGATCGAAATATTGGGTACATGTTCACGTTTACAGGTGTTGGGGAGAAGTCTGGAATTTTGGATCAAATGCAGTGGGGTGATGAGTGGTTTAGGAGGTTATAGAGAATGGAGTTGCATTATATGAGCTGAGATGTGGCGAAGGCATGGATTAGTGTCTCATTGGCAGTAGGGGTCATGAAATAGCGGTCATGGAAGATGTTACACAGATGGATGTAGGAACTCCTAAGGTGTTGAGATGCCTTACTTTTCTGTATCTTTTCACAATTCCACAGTATAGTTCGCCATGCTGGCAGCTTCTTCAGCAACTGAAATAAAGAATTAAATTGTGTAAAAACTTGCAGCACGTGAAACAAAACCTCGGACATCAACCTGAAGTTACGCGGGAGAGTTGAAATGCCTCATCTCTCTTGTCTACCACAACGCAGGATCCAGCAAGGAGCAGCGCACTACGCAGCGCCTTTCTGCGCAGCACCTCGCACTGGGTATGGCCGTCCTTCCCTTGGCTGCCCACGTTCCCCAGGATGGGCAACGATCGTCACATGGCCGGGAAGAGCGCGCCTTGGGCCAGCGATACGGGATTGCAGTCCGTGCTGCTGTCCGAGTGGTGCGTGCGCCCTCAGTTACTTTGTCCTCTTTTGATCTCCCTACTCCGAACTGCTCCCCCATGTGTGTCCCGCGGCATCCTTGTGCCGATATCAGTGTCAGTAGCTCTGATGGATTAGTCATGGTGGGAACAGACAAACTGAAGTATGTGTGTGGGGAGCGGTAGTGTAGTGATTAGCGCGCAGCACTACGAATCCAGCCACCTGAGTTTGATTACCGCTCACAGGCAACACCAGTTACGATAATCTGAACCGGTCTTAGGCCTCCCCTAGGTTAACTCCACCTCAAATGAGTGCCTGGTGCGGTGTGTAAACATCGCCATTGGGGAGGCAAAGGCGGCTGGCCACGGTACTACCGTGCTGGCCTTCATTGTGCTCGTTGACAGCACTTGGCCCTAAGTCTGTTCAGGCTACACGGAGGATCTTTTTCTTCGGAACTCAAATGGATTGTTCTGTGGCTCAACGCACAATTCGCAGATTGTATCGTGGAGCAGGTCGGGGTTATCCTCTTTCAGCGCTCAATAAAATGAGTCCCATAGTGTAGGGAGTCAACACTGGTTGCCCCATGATTATAATGGTCCCCACCACAGTGCAAAATCATTTCTATCACGGACATATTTGAGTGGTAAGTGATATCTGAACCAGTCAGACCTGCACACTGACCAGCATGGTGAAGTATGGTCAAATAACCCCCACTATCTGCAGGGCATGAGGCCTGCATACATCAATGGTTTGTACGAAATGTACATTTACATTTTTTCTGTGGCCCATTTAGCCATTGGGTCTGCATTTACATCGAAACAAACGGGATCTGTACTACCCTTGATGGTCTTGAATGTTGCGTCGTATCGCTCCGGCTTTCGGGTTGTGCCGTGTATTGCTCGACATCGTGCTGGACAACCCACGGTGCAACTCAAAAACACAGAGAGTGTAAAGATAAGTTGTGGTGGCTTGCACCGCAGCGTCGTCGTTGTTTGTGTTGTTGCAGGTCCCGCAGCCTCAGCTCCCTGTACACGCAGCTGCGCTCCGGCCTCTGCCCGTTCTTCTACGTTTGCGCCGCACAATTCTCGGTGCTGTTCCGCGCCGCCGGGCTGGCAGGGAGCGACGTGGTCACCGCCGCCATGGCCCCCACCACCCGGGGCCTCCGCGAAGCCATGAAGAGAGAAGGTGCCGTCGCCGCTCCATCGTCGTCCTCCTCATTCCAAGAGAGTCGTAGGCCGTTGCGTGCCGGGGCCTTAGTCCAAACACGTAGTAATCGTCACCCCCCGACTGGCAGAATTTACACTTGTAGGTCGGTGATGAGAGTCATCTTTTGCCACACAGAGACAGTTTCCACTGGGGAGGGTGGGGGGGGGGTTCCTTTGAATATTTGAAATGAGATGTAATGCAAGGCGCTGTGAGATGCTCAGGCATTTAAGCAGGCTATGAATCCAAAGATTATGATTGTAGATTATTGTCACCGAAATGGTTCTTGTTATCACAATCCTCATCACCATTCTGGATGGGTCAGAGAGCTGGACTCTTGGTATTTGAGTACAAATAGAAATTCTGTACTAAGGTACGACGAGTGGTGCGGACATTTGGAAAGTAACTTGGCCGGTGAGTGCTGTCGTGGTGAAAAGGCAAAAAATGGTTAAACTAAATTAAACTTAGTTTTTATTTTATATAGCACTTTTTCAAAGGCGACCTGGGGACAAATGATAGCTCAACACGCAAACTACAAATATACAGCAGCAGGCGTCAGGGTTGGGATTGAACCCACGACCTCCTGTATACCGGGCGAGGTAGTTAACATCTCATAGCCACTGTAGCACCCCGTGGTTGCACTGGGTAGGAAGTGTGCAGAGTGGGGGAGACAGGCATTGGAGTGGTTTACCTTGGTCCGGTCACCAAATAGGAGACCTAAGATCAGGCGGTGGGGTACTGTTGGGCCACATCATGGAGATCGAGTGGCTGCTGTGTAGAAAGCGGTGGCGAGGTGTGGGGACATTGATGGCTTTGGTCATGATGACATCATCATCATTGTCATGTCATACTTTAGCTGCCAGCCAAAAAGTTGAAAACGGGAGCATTTCAGATGTTTTATTTCTGTCCAGGCACATTGTTCTCTATGTGCAGTTGAAAAATACATAACTGCTCGTTTCTACACTACCCGATGACTATCTCTAGCCCTAGTTTAGGTTCATAATCCATAAAGTAAACATCACTTTAAATAGAACAAAAAACTGTAGAAGGTAATTTAGTGAATAAATATGTTAACTGAAAGGGCTCTATCGGCTATCCACAAAGTTGTGATGATTATGACAATGTTCCCTTGAAGGTTCATCCATGTATCTGCGTTCCCTGCCTTGCGGTGTGTGCAGGGATTGAGTTCTGCATGCCACTGGTGGAAGAGATGCCAGAGAGATGGGGAGATGATGGCGAGGAAATTTGCAAGTGAGCTTGAACTAAGTTTTGGGAGCTGGTGAATAGCATTTGCATGTGTGGACCAACATGAGCGAGCATGTCATTCTAGTTTCCTTTTTGAAATGTAAAAAAAAATGACCGAAAACTGGCAGCACAGGGAGTTATTTCTGTGTCGGAACACTGAGCCAACATTACTGAGATCCCGGATGTCAAGTCTGGGTCTCGCCTATCTGTCATTAAATGGGCTTCTGAAGCATAGTAAGTTGATGGTCTCAGCCTGGTCACCAATGATTTTAAAAAATGTCGCTTGATTTGGCTGTGTTCCAGCTCTGAGAATTGAATATATTGGTACCAATGAACACCCTTTGCAGGACATATAAGAGGGCCAAGCGATGTTGATGCTTATGAAGTGTGACCGTCACATGTGCAGGGAGGAGCAGAGCGAAGAGGACGAGCAACTGATGGGAGGTGCCGAGTGGCTGAAGGAGATCGGCATCAACGAAAAATTTCCCAAGCTCGACCCGGCACAAATAAAGCTGTATCCTTGAGCTGTAGGCATCGCATGCCGCGATGGTGTAATGGTTAGCACACTGGACTTTGAAATCCAGAGATCGCTGATTCAGTCTCAGTATAAATGGGTACACCTCAGTCCATCGACAGGTCATACACAGTGGGATAAAGGGCAAATACTTTGACTTTTTCCAAGATATCTGGTCAGTGTGGAAGTTAAGAGGCCAAAAATACCCTCTGGAAGGGCTCGAGAGCTTGCAAGGTAGTCTTCCTCTAGCAATGGTGTAAGCAAACAAATGCAGTGCTGCACTTTGGACATTTCATTGGTGCCACAATTTTACAAGTAGAGGAATTGAGAGGGCAGTGGAATGGGGGCTGTCGATCGAGGTTGAGGCAATGCTGCGATAGTTTACGGTATGATATCACTAAACAAGGCTATGGTTTATGCCATTGGGCCCAATCTCTGAACACAGCTGTGTCGTGTGTCACCACCAAGCAGCTCGTCCTCACAGTTCCGCTGCTCTCTTTTGAGAACCCTTTACAAGCGGCGTCACAGGCAGCGCAGTGAGGGCATCGCCCGCCTGGATCACAAGGCCGAGTCTCTGGTGCTCGCACGCGGCCCCGATGCTTTTGGCCTCTTCAACTTCCTGCTGGGCAGCCGGGCGGTCGTGAACGGCTCGGGTGTCCAGACCGGGCTGCCCCCAACGCTGCTTGCACCTCTGCCCTTCCGCGGGGCAGCACTGCACACGCTCAGGGTCGGTACACGCACACACGACCATACACTAAAAACGCACAGAGCCTAATTTACGTTCGTTTCACATCATCTGTGTTTTTGTTTTATCTGGGTGACCCCTCCTTTCTTGACTGTACATTTTCATTTCATAATGAGGAACAGCTTGTGGCTTTGTATGAGCGTCATTTCACAGTTCTCCCAAAATGTGCTTCTTTTAATACCGCCAATTCCGCATCTGTGGTCCCACCCACGTGCTCCATCCCCCACATTCTCTCCCATAGGTTCCCTACCAACCCTCCATTTCGGTTACCTACAGCCCTGTCTTTTCCATTGGAACACACACACACACACCACAAATTCAACCATTTTATTGCACACATATAGCTGCGGCCGTCTAGCCACAACAGGAGTGTCCGCGTTGGTTGGGCGAGTGCGCCAACGCGATTCATGCCGCCGTTCCGCCCACAGAGCCGGAGCGGTGTGGTGCGCACGCAGCACGGCACGGGCCTGCGCGAGCGCTACAGCCTGGAGCTGGCGGGGCCCATCCTCCCGCACTGCCTGCACGAGGTGTCCATGCTACTGGGGGCCGCTCAGGGCGGTGACTTCTGCGCCACCATATCGACGCACGAGCCCAGCGCCGCCTTTAACTCCGCTCTTGCGCAGCCATCGCCCTCGTCAGCTCCCAGCCAGGTGACCGCCCCACTCGGCCCCCAGACCGCCAGAGCGATCGCAAATCTCCCTCCGTGTAGCTCTCCGATGCCTTGTTGGCTTGTGCCTCACGTTGGTCTGCGTGATGTCTCATGTGTTGCGACACGTGCTGGAAACGTGCTGGAAACGTGCACCATTGTTTTGACTGCCGCGCCGGGAGTTCAAACCATTACACAATGGCAGTGTCTGCCACTGCATATACAGCATATAGATGTGCAGAGGACACCGAAAGGCGATCCTAATGAATAATTAAATGACAAGTTACTCACGGCTAGCGTACACACGAAGCCATTTGAATTAGTCGTGGGAGTTTCCATTTGGTTGGCCACTTAGCGGGGTTGCCGAATGATTGGGTGCTCGAAGCGGCCAATTACTTCGATGGTCCGATCAGCCAGAGAGCATAGGATTGTCTTGTGGGATCGAAGGGAATGTGGGAAAAGTTTGAAAGTTCAACGGCCCGCGGAAGTTGCTACAATGAGGGGCGGTGGAAGATAAAAGGCAGAGGAGGAGAGCTTTGGGGTCCGTTAGCAAGCTCCCGATGCATGGTGGATGTATTGTTGCCTGTGGTGGACTTCTTTACAGATCCATAATTGAGGTTTTTTAAATAATGATATCCATTGTAATTTATATGACTACATTAACCCCCCCCCCCACCCCCTGGTATTCGCACCTGACTGGCTCACAGGAACCTCATCACATTTACCCCCTCTATTTAAGACCGAAACAGGAGGATTTCTCCACAATTCTGGCTGTCGCCTGATGAGGCTGCTTGTAATTACGGTACTCTTATTTTAAATGTCGTGGGTTTCCTCTCCAACACGACGGTGTGCTGTACTAGTAACGAATTGGCACGTTCTCATTACGTGACAAATCTTACTCATTGGCTGTGTCGGGTTGTTGCGGGTTTAACGACACATTTATATTTACGCGATCTCACCCAAAATACCTCTTATGGATAATATTGGTTGAGACGGCGTACTTCACGGATGCATTCTAACCGGTGCGCCTTGCCTTGCAGGCTGGAGCAGAGTGCGACTTGTCGGGCTTCAATCTGCTGCCCGCCACCTGCTCCCAGCTGCAAGTTCCGCCCTGCCTGGGCAAGCGAGCTGTCCGGGAATTCAGTGCAGAACGTCACACCTACACGTGGAAGCTCTGAGCGCACCGCTGGCACCGGCGTTACAGATATATATACCACGTGGGATGGTTACCTTCCTCATGACTGCAATGCAGGCTGCTGTACAGGCTGAACAGCCCGACTGCAGGTAGCTGCCACATAACACGGGGTGACGGTGACATCACGTCGGTGCTTTGCCAGGTGAAGCGCAGTTAAAGGCTACGTGCTGTGGCAAAGGCTCAATGGAAAGATGTTACGGCACAGCCGCTGACATGGGTTAACAGATTGGTGCAATTTATCACACCTCACAAGCACAACAATAAAATGACAACAGCTGCCTTTAGCCACGAGTGACGGTGATGTCACCACATCTCTTGTGCTGGCTACATGCGATTTGAAGCCACGTGAAGTGTCGAAGGCTCGCTGGAAGTTTACAGGAAAGACCCAGGAGTTAATGGTAAACTGAGTTAACAGGTCTCGCACAGACAACACACATATAATAGTGTAGAAGTTCGAACAAATCTAACACTCGAGCATTGCTTTGAGAGAAATGCACAGAGTTTAAAACTACCTGAAGGGCTCACACATTATACATTGTAGTACACACATGCCCCATTTGCACGACCACTGAGAAATTGGCTTGTCGCCACAGTGACGCTTCTGGGCCATTCCAGCACAGCATGGGTCTTGTTCCCGCTCACTCAAGAGCCGAGCGGATTCATGCACTCGTCCCCTCCTGCCCGAAGCAAGAGCGGATTTACATTTTGTTTTCACTTAGATTACTGTAAGCTTGGTGAGGTTTTACTATCCCAAGCTGAAAACCATTATTTATCATTTTCTGCCATTTATAACTCAGGTACGCCATTGGATACTCATCATATTACCCCGTCACTATTGTTTCCAAGGGTGGCACGGATCAAATTGTGCAACCCTGTTATGAGTTGGAACCGTCCAGCCCAGTTAGGGAAGATGCGATGCGCTGTTTGCATGTGGGTCGATCCCACTTTGCCGGTCTGTGAACCAGCCTGGCTCTAGTCCCAGCGGTCATGGAAACGTGGCAACTTCGCAGTGGCCACGTGGCATTCTCCCCCTTCATGATTTGATGAATTATTACAATTTGGTATAAATTATTTTACCATTATGGTCCTTATAGGATCTTTCATAACCAACGATATAAACGTCTACAAATTTTATTGATTCTTAAACACGATGCCATGCGTGATGCGTATCGTGAGTGTAAGAACGATGAAATTACATGCCTCGTGTATACAGTGCCAGTTATATAACTTATCATCTTGTACAAACATGTTCTTGCTGTTATCCAAGTGAAATGTGTGTGTATTTTTACAGTTGAATATTTATCGGCCAAACCTATTTTAATGTTTTAAACTATTGGAAGTATTAAACTTTGATTGTACTTTTTTACTGAGAAATGTTTGTAAAATTTATCAAAATATGGATTTTTTTTCCACATTAAGTGGATTGAAAAGGAGAATTCTGACAAAGTATGTGAATAATCATGGAGAGTATTAATGCTGAGAATTATCCAGAGGTACACTTGAGACAATACACTTGAGCACCTCCGATGAGCACGGTTGGTGACGCACGGTGCCTAACAAGATTCAGAGTATTTGGCTGCGATAGATATCCACGTGAGGCGCCACTCCGTTGAGCTGTAATCTGTGGCCGGGTGGCTTCTGACAAAGAGCGATGTAGCTCAGTGGGCCTTGCCTGGTAAAATGTTGGAAAACAAATTGGATAGTCAGGCCCACGCCATGCATGCCACGTGCCCTTGTTGTACAGCCGCCAACGGGCCATTTAAAGGGGTGCACGTGCGTCCACACTTATCCTCGCCAACTGGAGCGCATCGACCGTGGCGAGTGGAGGGTTGAGCTGCGGCCAACAGCGCACGTATCTTCTTACCCAGCGCTAGGACTTTTGCAGGGTGGCTGACTGAGCTGCGGTTACTAATTAGCTGTGCCGGGTGGTGGCGGGTTTAACAACACATTTATATTTACACGATATAACCCAAAAAACCAACATTATGGATTTAGAACTGCCTTTTGTATTTAGTTTTCTGTCCTTCCCCCACGCTTCCAATTAGCACGGTTGGCTACAAACTGAGAAAGATCAACATACATAAGTGCTCATCATCTCAACTACCCATCAATCAACACCTCCAACAATGAACCTCGCCGCCATCTCAAGTTCCCACCCCCCATTCTGGGATCTCACCCAGATCCGGAAGAGCGCTCACGAACAGAGTGGAACAGCAAGGCGGACGCGTCCAGGATAAACACCTCATTCGAGACCCAAACATCGCGCACCTCCTGGTCTGGCATTCCTCGAAGACACTGGTGTCACCATCAACTGCATCACAACATCAACAGGCCGATGCACACAACTCCTTCGTGAATGGAAGATTAAAGACAAGCCACAGCAGTGCGGCTGTGGCCACGCAACCCAAACTGGACCATTTAGTCAACCCAATGTCGTCTGCGCTCATCCAATGTAGGAGCAGCAGAACGACACAAACTCTCCTGAAGCCTTCTCACTGCTGGCAGACCTCAACATTGCCATTCAGCTCCTGAACAAGGTGACCCAAAAAAAACGGGCCCCAACTCTAATAGGCCCCGTGTGCACGGGGCCCGTTTTTTTTGGGTCACCCTGGTATACTCTCAGATACCCTACATCCTGGATATTTAATACGATGAGTCTGTATGTTTGTATGACAGAGTTGCAAGTTTTATTGTTTTTAATATTTACAGTTGTGTTCCATCAGTAAAAAGCAAGCAATACAAATAAATACAATTTCTGAAGCATAAGTTATTTTCATACTTACGTCACAAACTGATCAGTCCAACAAGCTTAAAAACATGAAAAGGTTTCCTCCATAACCCGTCACGAGAAATTGTGCCCGTTTAAAAATGTTGTTCAGGGATAGTTAAAAATAACATTTAATTTGGGTTCAGACCTGACGGGCCATCAGAAGGAACCGAACACTGAACATCCAACGCATAAGAGAAAGGTAAATGGTCACATTATGTCCTTGCATTGAGCATCCGTTAGACACCAGCGACAGTGAAGGTAAATTATCAGAAGGAAATGTTGACATTTTGACAATCTGATCCTTTTACAGTCTGCGGCTAGCTGGCACATTGTACGTCTCCAAAGCTGGATCTTTAAAAAAAGTCGATGTAATCGCAACAAGAGGTACCCACGCCGGCGTGCGAAGGCACGAGGAGCATGCACTCAAGTGACTCGAATGTGGGGACACGGTCTGGCGGCAGAGGTTGAACGGTTCGGGTCCAGCAGGCCGCCCTCGTCCATACTGCCAGCGTGTTCAGCACAACAAGCGCGCCGTCTACTTAACAGTGGACGTCACAAAAAGAGATCACGTGACGTGATTTGCACGAATCGGCCATTGCGTGCCGGCGCCACGCTCCACATTTGAAATATTTCCCCACAAACGACTCGATTCAAATTTACGGGGCAATCCCCCCAAATTCCCCCCTCTCCCTACTGAGAAAACTTAGCAGGACCCCCCCCCCCCTACAAAAAGCCATGAAACTCGGCGAGGCTTTTTGAAGTAAACAAAAATGTGTTTTTTTCTCCGTGGCTTTACCGAAGGACCCAACGAATATAAACAAAGATGGTTGTCTGTCGGAGTTGATGACAGCCCCATTCACGAGTTCCTCCCATGAGCATGGTTGACTCCGTACGGTGCGAACACAGTTCTACATACATTATTACGTGTTCAGGAGTCATACGTCATTATTTGTGGCTTGTTTCTGGACTTATTACGTGGGTTCTTCATGCGACTGTGTAGCCCCATTCTGGATCCCGCAAATCGAGAATGGGACGACACGGTCACATGCGACTCGACAGCCACATGGGGCGACAGTCGGCACCGATGAGCGACGAGCGGCTCTTGCGATCCGCTCACTCTCAAAAAGCGTAATCATAAACATGACGTGAACATCAAGGCAGGTTCACACCCGAGCGATCAGTCACACAACCAAATCCGCTCTTGAATTCGTGAAACGTAATCCCTTTGTCCACGTCTGAGCGAGTATTTGCGAAACAACTCTACATCTAATCTAGATTTGTACATCTGGCGCGTGGTGGCTCAAGTGTCCGGCAACGCCCTTTCCAGCATCGCTTCGTCGCTCGCACAGGTCAGGACTGCGACAATGGTGGTTTGCAAATGTGCAAGTTATGAAACACGCCGCTACCAAGTCGCTGAGCAGACCGATTTCACGAGTCCCGTCTTTGCTGTGAGCAAGCGGTTGCACAACTGTTTGCAAAAATGTTTGCAACTGGTTTCAGACATCCGTCTATAAAAGAATGCACTCGCATGCAAACAAGTTGCTCAACTCATCGTTTCGGTGTGGACCCACCGAAAGACACGATTGCAACGTCTTGCTTCCTGTGCTACAGGCAGCCACCGTTACTACTTGCAGTACAGATCCTAAGTTAAATTTGTCGAGTTCAAGTGAAGTCCGACCTCCCCCTCCCCTCCTGGCTCATTTGCTGCCAGTATCAAGGCAGGGGGACGCAAGGCTGAGTGTGAGCAAGTGCAGGCACGAATACTGGGCATCCAACGCATACCACGGAGTCAAACAACACGTGTTACAACTTGACGAAACATTGTCGCTCTACGAATTAACAAAGAAAGAGTCCAAGCAATCTCCTTACTCAACAAGAGTGCCGTGTGGTGCTCGTGTCCATTGCTGGAACCGAGCCAGTGGTGAAAATTCCACATTTTTAAGGTGGAAGCCGGTCTCTCCGTAGGCTAACCATTGCATTGTAAACTTCCCACGTGGTTACCACCCATTACCTCAAACCCACAAAAAAATCGACAGACTTGAGCCAACTGGCACCCTTCCCTTTACGAAGGCTTCGATAAATCACCAACAATGTGGTAATGATTTTAGTAAATACAAAAACACTGAACACAACAATATTAACACCATGACGTTCTTTTTGTTTCCCCCCCCGCCCCCCCCCCAAAAGAAACGAGGTTCACTTTCACAGTTTTCACCGTCATCATTCCCTGCTAGAACGGGGGTCGGCAACCTGCCGCATGCGGCGGCTCTTCAAGGACCGCTTCGTGACGTCATTAATTAAGGGCCACCACGAGCATTGCTGGCTCTTGAAATAGCGTTTTTTTTTTTTACCAAATTCGAAAAGAAATGGCTCTCCTTTGTTATTTTCGTTGCCAACCCCTGCGCTAGAATAACAAAACCGAGACGAGGGCTGAAGTTAAATGGCATCGACGGTGCAGGCAGCCCTCCCCGTGCGGGTGGTGGTGTGCGTGGCCGTGAGGCGTCTAGCTCCCAGGCTTGTTTCGCGGGACGAGCCCCATGGATTGCAGCACCACGGTGGCCGCCATCGCTTTGGCGTGCTTTTTGTTGGGGCTCGCCGTGGTGGGCTGGTACTCGCAGCCGTTCACGATCACCTGTCGGGGATACACGCACGAGCGCACTATCGTTTACACAACAAGAACCGACAAACGTGCACGCAACGTAACAAAGCGTCTCAGTTTCGATTTAAAGCTTTCGTGACTGCAGGGATTCATCTTCTTGATTCTTACGTGACTTTACCGAAAGAACCAAGAATATGAAAGCGTCTCAGGGCGCAGAATTGCACAACGTGTGAAGGAATGGAGGGGTCAAAACGCATGTAGTAGTTTGGCTACGTACGGTGCGAAAGACGTTCGACATACATACGAAAGGTGGCAATTGAGTGAGCCCGAAAGCACGGCTGAAGAGGGAGGATGTGAGGAGAGAAATGGCTGCAGAGAGAAGAGCGAGCGGAGTGGCTTGGTGAGGGAGTTCCTCAGTGAGGGAGCCTCGCGGCTAATAGAATGGCCACTGATGGTGGGGCAGTGGATCTCGTGAGCGAGGCGACCAGGATCCATGGAGCAGCTTCAGTGTTATGGTCGCCTGGCCTCTGATTCTCATGCCTTCATAGTGCAGCATTTCTAATCTTTTACCTTTGAGCAGTCACAAAATCCAAGTGTCGCTATGGTCAACTGGAGCATTTGACTGCTATACATTTCCACATAAGCCACTTCTCCGAGCTATCATTTGCGATCAGGTTGCTTCTGAAAGTGCCATATAGCCCAGTGAGCCTTCCCAGTGGCCCTGAGCCAGTGGTAAAACATTCTCCATCTCTATTGGGGAGTAGCCAGTTTAGCCAGAGCAGCTATTCACATCCCACACAGTGGTACCCGTTTAATCTAGCACTTTGAGATCATGAGCCGAGTCAACCCACGACTTGAATTTAAACTCACGAACATAAAATTACAACCCGATCCCCCTTTGCCACCGGTAAATCCGAGACCGTGTCAGCGTGGGTCACGCGTGGTACTGGTGGGTTTCTACAAGAGCCAGAATCAAACCATGAAACACACAACCCTGGCTTGGGCAAGGACCAGGGCCAGGGTGAATAACTTTCATCATACATGCGGCACGGCTCAGCCTCTGCAGTGGAAAAACGACTTTGCTCCCCGTGATCCGCGCCAGGCTGGTTCAGCATGGCCCAATTATACAACCCCCTCAGATGCAGATGCCTGATGCATGGCCCAGTTATACAACCCCCTCACATGCAGATGCCTGATGCAACAATGTAAAATAAACTCTCCAGTGCGCGACTGTGGTCATCCAGAACAGACCGAGCAACGTATATCGACGCAATGCCCGATCCACAAAAACGACGGTGACATCACGGCGACGCACTCCTTATCTGGCTTGACCCCCGAAATGTGAAATTGGAGTTGTTGCTCTGCATCGACATCAGCCATACGAAAGATAGAAGGCGCTTGAAAATCAACACCCAACCAAGATGCAAGGCACACCTTGAAAAGGAAGTTTTTGCGGTGGTCGGGACCACTGTCGTTTACGACGATGAAGTCAGGTGCCATCCACTTGCGCTTCGTGCAGATCTCCATGAGGGCCGACACTGGGTGCTTGCCTACACACAGACACGCAGCAGTGACTAGGCTGGATTGACATTGATACTAATATAATATTAAAGACAATTATGTATGGACAATTGATATTAGGGTAAAAACCATGATTATCTCAACAGGATGCAGCACCCGTGCCTGGTGGTAACCACATCCTCACAATCATGCATACGAGACGTGCTTGAAAATCCCAATGTAATGATCAATATTCAAATAAGTAATTTTCAGTTATTCTGAGTAGTCTAAAAGTAAAAAAAAACCTCACAGCCCTCACTAGGCATTTTTGCAGAAAAGCAATCCATTTGCTTGTTTGATCTCGCTGTGTGCACTGTGTGAAGTGTGATGGTAGGTGCAGACCAGACAAGTCTTTCATGATGGTCAGGGGCCCAGACTTCTTCTGAGCTTTCTCACCATCCGCCAGCAAGCCTGAAATACAAACAACGAAATCACCAACCCAACCACTGATTGCCCAGTGACTTTTCGTGATTCATTTACTCTCATTTTACACCGCTCTACCCCCGCATATGTATTGTTTGTCCAATTATTATTCTTATAAAGTGTTGTGCATGTAGCGGGTGACTAAAGTGCTAAGATTCAACACAGACAAGGAGACATATGGGACACAGACATTTGATTTAAGCTACAACAAGAACCCAAAGAGCTAAGAAGCTCTTCTACACAGTATCCAGCCCAAGCTGCTCTGCCAACAACAGATTCAAAAGTCTACACCGATGGCTTCATGAACTCACTCGACAAATACTGCCATCTCCCGACGGGACCTGCAGCTCAACACCCGTGTTGGAGTTTCACGAGTCGATGTGATCCACCACCCCTTGCCTCCAAGACGCTGGATCACAGGTACACGTCACCACTTGCTCTGCCTGCCTGCTTGATAACCCCCCCTCCCCTCTCCTAACCTCCAAGGGCCCTCCTCCTCTTTGCCACCGGACGCGCTATTGCCCTTGCCTCGGCGGTCAGTCTTGAAGTCCATAATGATGGGCTCCACGGAGCCGCTGCTGTTCTTGCCCAGGCCCTTGCCCTCGCTCCAGCCCATCTTCCTCATCAGCTGAGCTCCGATGCCACCGTTCACTGGCGCCGCCCTCAGGAACTGATCCTGCAAGGTCGGGGAGGTGGAGCGCGCGCACAACCCCGTGTCAGACGCCAGGGTCCGTGAAGGCGCGGCGGGGAAACGGGGCAAGGTGGGAGCCGGGGTCAATCCGTCCAGGGATCAAAAACGACCGGGCCTGCGAGTGAGCGCACTGCGGCCACGGGCCTGGGACTATGTTGCTCTCGGAGGCGCAATCGCTTTACGTTTTAAAATGCGGCGAGGCGTCAACAGCGCCGCCTTTGTATGCGAGCGCCGTCACGCTAACATTGGTTTCGCCGTCGACCGGCCACCTGCAAATTGGTAGCGGCCACCCTTCGGTGACTACGAGCGCCGCGTCGTGTCCTCCCGTGGCCATACCCCCTCGCCGGGGCCGCAACGTGCCGCTCGCGAGTCGTGCGCCGGGGGAGGCGGTGGATTGCCGCGCTGGTCTGGCCGCTCTGGGTGCAGCTGTCGACTCAAATCGGCCACCGACACTGCTCGCTTCAAAGGGAAGCACGTGTGGGGCGTTGTGCGTTGCGCGACTAACGCTTTGGAGGTATCGTCAGCGCGCGAATGGCATCGACACTTCCCCCGTGACACACACATGCTCGGGATTGAATGATGAATGCCACAAGACCCCACTGGTGTGCAGGGTGCTATAATTCCCGACATCCGAGCGGTCCAGGTATTACAGAGAAATTCTAATAGGGCACGAGATCATTTTCTTAATTTTGCTGTGCCTTTTCCATTAGGTGTGTGTTAGTGATGATATAAGGTTAATGCCCAAGTGTGTTTGTGTGCCACATTAACAAAAAGTCTAGATGGACCTGCGATGTGTATCAAGCGCTATGCGCTCGGGAACGTTTCCCAAAAGATGCGACCCACAACTTGGATTCTACGACGATTAAAAACAGTGACGATCTGCTTGTGAAGGTGTGCAGCCAAGCGAGTGAATTCTCTCAATGTAGCCGGTTGGCTTCCTGCGACTCGTCACGTGTTTACATTAACAGCCACACTGAACACACGTTCGTGTGAGTGGCGAGTAATTTTAGTGTAAATTGCACATTGCAGGCAAATTGTATGCAATCAATACACGTACACATGCATATCTGTGCACAGTCATTGAGAATGGAGGATGAAGGGGTTACAGGTTGAATGGCACCTTTTTAACCAAATTGAGAGGATAGAACGCGTTGGGGGAAAAAGGTCTATTTAAATGTACTCTGCTAAATAAACATTTGTAAATGTGGCGGTGGTGCAAGGGTGACTTTAAATGGCATGACAAGGCACCCTTATTACTTTTATTTGGTTTAATATTTTCACCCCCAAATAAATCATGTGGTCCTCGATAATACAACTCCACTCGAAAATGCTGCAGTGTTTTATCCTCTTAAGTTCACACCACTGGCAGGACTTTAAATAGGTGTCTTAAAACAAGTAGCAATCATGCGATATTAAAGCACAACTGTGGCACTCGAGTTAAGTCTTGTGAAGGCGATTTAAATTAACAATGAATGTGACAAATTCTCAAATTGTGGACACGTCAAACGCTCAGGAAGGAATTATAACACCCTACGTAAAAAACACCTGTGCCGATTGGCTGCTCCTGTGCCTCCGCCAATGACACATAGGCAAAGGTGGCCAATCAGGAGTCTCGATACAAACCGCCACCTCCCGCTGGGCCGGGCTCCTTCCCTCTGGGCTCCTCCGACTGGCTGGTGCGAGTGAGGCAGGCTGTCTGTCTCACTACGGTGCGTCTGTTTGCGCATCAACGGCAAAGATCACGGACAGCCAAGGAGGCCCACGACACCCGCGGCCCACGGAGCAGCACCGCTCGCGCTGTTTGAGTCCCAAGAGAACGAGGTCGGGGCGGCAGCAGCCCGCAATTAAATTAACAGTTATCGTGTAACTCTTCAATTGTGGATGAATACTGCATTAACAATACAGTGTTACGCTGAGCCAGATCGCCACACTCAAAGAATCACGGTGCGGCATCTTTCCTGTAACGTCTTCGAACATACGCATTGGCTGTTTTTTTAATGGACTCCTGACGAGTCCAAACAAGTGTAGGGTGGAGTTAACGAGGCTCGTTAAACGCCACCCCTGCCTCGTTCTCTCATCAACACGCTGCCGAGTGGTGCGGCTCCCTGGCCCGCTCTGCCACACTTGAACTCATCCCAACCCAGCAGCTTCACACAGCCAGCAGAACCCACGGACACAAACTCCACGGCAAAGATATTTTGGGCTTCTATTTCCACTCCACAAAACCAATCACGCGACTATATTCTACGTCAAGAACGTACAGCTTGACCACGATGTGTAGAATGTAATACACGCAGCAAATTACTCGTAGTCCATGGGCCCAGAACAAATATTCTCCTTTTGTGGTACCGCCTCAGATGATGGAAAACTTGAGTTGTACGAAACATCTCTAAATCACCATTAAATATGAATTCTGCAATAAACGTAGGTAAAGTATAATATTGGTAAACTATCACCTATGAATGTATGTATATATAAGTCATTTTGCTCTGTACGGAACCAACCGTGCTAATCGGACGTGTGGGGGAAGGACAATTAACTAAAGACAAAAATAAGTTGGAAAGAAATTAGTTTTCAATCTAGATTTTAAAGTGCATAGCTCCAGTGGCTTCCGAACATCGGAAGAGCGTTCCAGGCAGCCGCAAGAGCGCATCTGAAAGCGCGCGATACAATGTCCGTCTTTGTTCGTGGATAGCCAATATCCCACTGATGCAATGGACATGGACATACGGAAGAGGGAAAACTGGAAGATTCAGAACTAGACGGGAAGATGTATTCGACGCTTGGCACACTGGTATCTAGGAGGAGGCAGAAAATCATTCTGGGAGGTGTAGAGAACCAAGGTCGGTCGTGGTGATACAGCATATACCGCTTGTTGCAGAGGTTCGTGGTTCAAGGCCCACGGCCGCCATGGTTAATACCGCAGGTGCATTACCCGTAAAAACGTGCCGTCTATTTCGCAGTGGACGTTACAAATCCCACGGCGTTATTTTAAAAAGAGCTGGGCAGGTGTGCCGTCGTAATGGTCCAAATTTGCCAAAATTAGTAACGTTGCCCATGCCGTGAAACTCCTGCGAGACTCCGTCTGTGAAACAGCGCCATTGTGATAACCCTGTGCTTTAAGAATGATGCAGAAATGCATAACACTAGCTGATGATTGAAGATGATATCTCATAACCCTATTTTTATTAGCCATATACAGAAACTCGTATCCATACAAATTTTCCACAACCTGCGGTACCGAATTCTAATCTGGACCATGGACTACGATGCCTATGAAGGTACTTCGTTTTGCCTACTTTGCTGAATGTTAAAGCTTTCCCATCACCGGAGCTCTAAATGACAGTGGGTTGAGTTGTGGGCGACTGCCAGCATGAATGAACATTGCTGAGAAAGGTTGACTGCAAGCATTGACCATGAGACATCAGGGCAAGTTACACAACACCTAGATCCCCATAGCTGCACTGGGCTGCAGTGTAAAATCACAGGTGGAATTCACTGGACTGGAGTCGATGAATCAGGCTGTAGAGCGTTGCCCAATCCGGTGCATTCCATTCCTGTTTTACAAAGCAACTACACAATGATCAACTTTTTGTGTGTCATGTAAATCGCCCTTATGAGAACTCTTGCTTTATTTTAGCAGAATAGCGCGGAATTAATCAAGACGGAACTAGTATCATCTATGTGACCTGTAGGTAGAACGGCATTACTGTACTTGCGTGTCGACTTCTTAAATGTTCTGGTGATTGAAATATACATAGAGTGAAAAATCATATTTAAATCAATGTAGGGCAAACGCTAGAGCATAATACACATTTTTACATTTACCATTTCATTATATAGATTGGGTTTTCCTTACGGCAATCGTAATGAGTTCTCATAAGTCCCTGGATCCACAGTAGAGGTTTGTGTGGGTGTTTGACAGGCCTTCCTGGTTGTCTGTCATCTTTGGTTCACGTAAATCCACACAGAGCAGGCGATGAATTAAAACTCGACTCACGTGAGGACAAAACCGGCCGTGCTGTCAAATTGCGCTTGCTTTTCAAAGTAAACGGTTTGCTGAAAGAAAACCATCAATTGGCATATTTGTCCTGGCAACAACTTGATTTGTCTGGCTGAGTTGCGTGGTGTAGGGTGCACAGCTCCCGACATTACGACCACACGACCTCACCCAAAAACCAATTATGAATCAGCCATGCTGGACTTTGCGCAAGCCCCATTGCTGTGCAGAGCGAGTTATTGCCATTAAAGTGAGCCACTCAAAAACACTGACCAGTCTGCGTCTGGCTAAGATAACGACATGTTCAAATTCATCCGGTATGTCTCATTGTTTATTAACATTATCTTTGGATTAATTCACCCCTTGCTCACACATCCATACACCTATACGTCTGCGTCACAGATCACGGGATGGCCGAGTCATTTATAATTAACTCGGCGTCATAGGCCCATGTAAATTGAGATCCAGGTTTACATTTCAAAATGTATCCTGTGATACAACAGGCGGTGCCGTTAACAACTCTAACAGACACCTCGGTGATAAAGGTCCTCCCACAAGAATTTAATATCTACATTGATGTGAAGACTGCATCCAATCCATCCAATTGTCATGCTGTTCGTGAGCAACTCCTGCCCAAAAGCATTTGCCCCAAACATCCTTGAGAAGTATAAACAAATGTGGTACTTGCAGTGCTTGCAAGTACCCGTATCCATAACTGTACTGTATTTAGCTTTAATTGTTTCAACCCAATGTCTCTTGAGTTCCCACCTGGCTAAACAAATACACTTGATTTAATAGTGTTCATTATAGCATAACATCTATGTGAATTTTCTTATGTTATTTAAACGTTTCAAAGTAGCACTTGTTTTTATGTTTTTTTTTTAAAGAAGCCTTCTAAAAATAACAAATAGAATGATACAATCTAAGTGGTAAAACTAATTAAGCAATTTACATGGGTCTATGCTACGAGATCATTATCCAAACATTAATTCATTAGCACCAATCATCACATTCGATCATTGCTCACTTATTGAAAATCTTACTTTCATATTACTGCGGGCTAGTTATATATATAGATGTACGTATACACATATAAGCTGTCTATAGATAGTTCTACCCCTCCGAACACAGTCACACATTATTGTGATCTCTGATAAGTGCCCAAACTTTCCCATCAAAGCAGCTGATATTTCACTTTGGAGACTTCCTCAGATCTTGATACTTAACAAATGTACCGCTCCTTAAAACTACATTAAGATGAGACTATGTATCCTGGTCTCTGGAGATCTCACCTGGTTAAACAAAATAAACTTGAGCATGTGCTCTTAGTCAATGGGCTAGACCAGACGTTACACTCGCCAGAATCAACTTGAGGAGGGCGAAACCATGCTGTGTTTATTTAATTCGTCGATAACCATCGCCGTTATTTAGCCGTGCAAACCACTGAAATAGTGAGCGCATATTAACAGGAAAATAATCCTCTAATTCTGCAGACTTACAGGTCTATGGTCCACATCCACCACGTGCAGTTTGCAATGTAAATTTACAATTGTTATATTCAATGCAAATCTATTTTGCTATGTATTCCTAAATATACATATAAGCACAAACCGCGTTTATATGTATACTGATGTGTACGAAGGGTTTAATAATATTAAAGCCTTTTTTACGATCAACTGCTTGACAAAGGCCTCACACGTCTGTTTATGGGGGTTTGTTAGACGGTACCGAACCACGCTGGTCAGTGCAGGTTGGCGGAGGGTGAGGAAGCCAGACATTGGTGCTCGCAGTAGCCAGGAATAGAGCACCGGCCAATGGGATCAGAGCACAGCGTGCTAACCACTGCACCATGGCTGCCGCCCTACACAATTATTCACTTTTATCGGACAAATAAATTAATTGTAACTACTAAATAATTTTCAGATACAGTGCCATTTTGGCACCAATTTCTGCTCTGGCTGACATTATTTAATAAGCCACCAAGGGGAATACGTTTTGGAATCAAGGCCAACTGCAAAAGCTGCAAGCCAAACACCACATGGCAAAAAATATCTTCAGCTTCAAGCATTATGATTTTTGGGGCATAATATGGTTTTGTGAATATAATGAAATTTTTATAAACGTATTTGATCACTCATGTGCTGTAATATACAATAAGCAGTCAAGTGGCAATGAAGCTGATCAGAAGGGAATGTTTCTATCAGTAGGAAACAGTGTGCTTTATAATTAACAAATTTTGCACACAAACTACATCAGTGGAATGACTAATATCAACGTCACCTCCTACTGGCAGACTAATGCCCAATTGAACGGCGGTGCTCTGTTCACACAGGGACAGCTGCAATTAGGGGGGTCCCCTAGGCTAAAATAAACCAGCCTATGAGAGCGTTTAATTTCGTTATAGGTGCCATAAAAATGCAAGGTGTATTGTTATTAGACCATTTGCGGAAACAGACGGTTTAATGGGAGCAGGTGGAACACTAATGCCCTAAAAAAAACGACACTGACTACTCATCTCCTCCCACTGCTTCAAGATCATTACCTTCCATTTACTCTGCACCGACCACTAAGCCCAAGGGACACCCACGCCTTGTACCTGACCCTGGCTCTCCACCTGTGCAAGGGCAGGAAACGCGTTGCAGTGACAGCAGCGAAACGGAGCGACTCTCGCCGGGGCCCATTACCTTCTTGAGCCAGGCCTGTTGCCCCGTGTTGGCGAGCTCCTGGGGAGACAGAATCTGAACCCCCGTGGACCCCGTGAAGGTGCCAGGCTCTGTGCTGGCCTGAGCCCAAGACTCAATCTGCAAAAACAGCCAAACATGCAACGGTGGGTTTACATCCACACACATGTATATAAAAACACCTTTCAATTTTTGTTCAATTTTATTTCTCAATGCACGTATGTATGTTGAACGATCGCATGTAGCCGCTTTATACACTCGATCCGTATTGCGTTGGCATTGTACGGTGCGCGCGTGGCGATGGAGCGCTGTAAATGTGCCCACCTGTCTCTGTGAGCGGGCTATGAGCAGCATCGCCTCCATGTCAGTGGGGTTCTGTGCCAGCCTCTGCACGGCGACAGCGCGTTTCGTGATGACAGCACCCAGGTCCACTATGTTCTGCGGGACGAGTGTGGAGAGCAAGCACGCACAAACCGGTCACAAGGTCAAGACCCACATCCAAGTAATGTCTGGACGCGTTTTGACCGACTGGGCCTTCTCCAGGAAATATTGAGGTTCAGAGTGATGGTCTTAAATAAACTGGGAAATGTAAGTGCAATTGAGATGACAATAGTTAACCAGCAGCAGTCTGCAAAAGGTGGATATTGTATAAACTTTGTATAATTTACAGCCCTTTGTCAATCCACTGCTTCATGAGGGCCTCCCCTACGTTGTGCGAGTCATGGGGGCTGTTTGACCATACTTCATCACGCTAGCTAGAGGAGTTGTCATCCGTGGTCACAAATCGAACTCAGATTGCCGGGTTCACAGCTGAGTACACTAACCACTGCCACTACCGCTCCAATCGTGTTGTCAGATTAGGTGGAAATTACAATCTCCCGAGACACTAATAAATCCCACTAAATGGCCTCTCTAAAGCTTCCTCTCGAAGAGGACCGACTGCCAAGAGTGGCGCGTGAGCATATATAGCAGTTACAAGGCTGCACCTTCACCACCTTCACCGGTCTCGTCCACATGGCACAGGGGAGGAGGAACACACTGCGGGTTTCCCCGGACGGGATTGGCTCACCCCCACCACCGGCTTGGGGAAGACCTGGTTTTTGTCGTCCATCTCTTCGGTGCCGGTCTTCTCCACGGGCACCCACTGCCCGTACACGCTCTCCTGCTCCTTTTGCCGGTGCTGGTTGCCGGACGACACGGGGAACTCCTTGGAGAGTGTCGCCTGTGGCGGCTTCAGCTGCAGCGGCTTCACCATTAGGTTCTGCCGTGGAATGAGACGGCATGGGATATCCACGTGCGATAGGTCAGACCGTGCGTTTAGTCCATTCGTTCTCAACCTTTTTGAAATAAAAACTTTTAGTTTTATTTTAGCAGGTAAGGCCCAGAGCTGTACAGCTCTTTTTCAGAAGCGACCTGGCCACAATTCATAGCTCAACGAAGTGGCTTATTAAATGGAAATGTATAGAAGCCAAATACTCTAAAAGCATGTTTCTAAATGTGGAGAAAAAAACTGGAGGAGCCGGAGAAAAATCCACATGACCAAGGGGAGAACACACAAACTCGAAATAAATAGGCGTCAGGTTTTGGATCAAATCCACAAGCTCCTGTATAACCAGGCGAGGTAGTTAACATCTCACCACCGTGGTACCCCAATGGAATGCCCCCCCCAACCCCAAGTAAGTCCACTGGTCCCCGCATACTCCCTCCCCTCTGCCCAGATTAATAAGGATGCAGTACACAACGAGATCACCAGTCCACACCACAAGTTAACACAGTGTTCGAAAGGCATTTGTTTCATGTTGTGCTTTAGCGTGTTTCGTGTAAGGCGTTTGCTTCATGCTGTGTATTATTTTCTTGTGCGAAAACTGTTTTGTCGTAACAACGTGGTGCCAACGTTCTCCGTGCACATTCAAAATGTCTTCTGCACGGGATCCATGTTGCAGCCTGTGCCCCCTCACCTATCCGGGTTGGGGGGGGGGAGCTCATCCCACAGGTTGAGAACCACTGCTTTAGTCGGGATTAAATTTTTAAAATGCATTTCTATATTTGTTACCGTCAAATTAAGTCCCATTGTGCTACTGAAGTTAAGCTAAGATGTGAATACGCCTTTGGATCCAAGAACCTGTGGTTAAACAATTGTGATGCTGATGTAGTACATAAGCTGAAAACATTAACAAAAAGTGAACACATCCGTCAAAAACGCTGCTTTAAAGAGGAACAATTATATAACAGGTAACATTTCAGGGCAATGGCCCTCCTTCATAGAAGGCATTGTTGTTGAAGAATGTGTTGAATCTGAGTGGTGTTAGTTTTCGTCCAGGATTGCCATTCTTAGTCTTCCGAGCCACCAGGACCACATGTTGCATTAAAAATTTTTACTGAAAGCAGCTTTCTAGTAAAAGGACAGCTGCAGCGGCAAAATGACGAGTAATCGCCGAGGCAGGATAACATGCACTTTGTTCTCATTGTGGGGTCAAATTTCACTCTGGCACAGCTGTTCATCACCATAAAACATAGCCATGCTACACTACAATACACCGACATTAATGAAGCATGAATTTCGGCCAGCTGTCCTTTTCAACAGTTGTACGTGACTGAACGTGCACTTATTTATTTACTCCCTCCCTCTATTTTTTCTGTACACGCGTGCAGTTAGGAACTGCACACACACGCGCGCACACACGCACGCACGTGCCTCTGCCTGCGGGCATTACTCAATATGGTGGACAAATTGTGTCGTGCAAGTGATACCTTTCATTCAGCAGTCTCTGAAAGTCCTGGGCAGCACCGAAGCAAGTTTACAATGCCATGCGCATGTGCTAGGCATACATAAAAAATTACCCATTACACTGCCAAACAAGTTCTCAACAGCAAACCACGAAACCATCTCTCTGCTAGGAAGAAGAGCCATTTTGTGTGAAACTGTTGCGTGTTATATCATTTTTCCTGTGGAGGGCAGTGTTATAGCCTCATGTGTTGAGTTTGTGTTATTGGTGCCTGTGCACCACTGCCAACTCAGGATCATAATAATCAAATTAACAATAAAAACCAGCATCCACACGTTAGTTCTGCAAAACGCGCAGAAACAATTGTAAATATTTTCCGTGTAGAGTTATTATCCATATTTTCAGCTTGCAAGCGCCTTTCTATCTGATGAGTTTTCCATCGTTTACAGAAATTGTGAGAAATTATTGCAACTACCAAAGCCGCGATTAACGGCAAACCAATAACCATCATGACATGAAACAATAAACACCATCATTCGCAGGCTCGGTCAGCTGGGCGCCACTCACATTTAAGCTGAAAGCGATGGGCTTGGGCTCGTTCAGTTTAAAGGGGTGGTGTATGAACGGAGCCTTCTTCAATGCCTCCTCTACTCCTGCATCCTCGACATGCGATCGCACGGGTTTGTTCACAGGCCCATCGTCGTCCTTGCTCTCAGTTATCTGCTTGCAGAACTGACGGGACCAAGGAGCATAAACAAAGCGTCCTTGCAGAGGAACATGTTCACAAACCAGACACGCAACGAGAAACGTGGAACTCTTTAAACTGCGTGCTGCCCATGCTGGCCATCAAATTTGGTTACAAAATGACTCTGGGCTCGAAGATCAAGCGATATTTTCAATCATTTATACACATTTACTTTTGTAACATGAACAATAGTCGACGCAACTGAAAAACAGTTAAAGGTGCAGCCCGGCAATTACTTGCTTATGCCACTGCTGGTAAGAGGGGCTCTACTAGAGCACCCCTACAGCAGGTATTTGGTCTATGCTGGCCAAAGGTCTGTGAAGGGGAGGGAGTAGCTCACACCGGTGTTCCTCACTGCAAAGCCCGCGGGCCACTGGTGGCCATGGTGGCCTTTAAGTGCGGTCCCTGGCATGCAGCCCCCGACAACACACAAATGTAAAACACCCCCCCCACCCCCCCACCATCGTGCTGTTAAACTCAACGGTTTGATATGTTTGGCGGCCCTCACACTTTTGTCTCATGGGCAAAAGTGGCCCCCTTCTGAAAATGAGTAAGAAAAACTGCACTACATCTTCTTGGTTCTTTCGGTAAAGTCACGTAGAAGGGAAGTAATAAAATAATAAAATAAAACATAATAAAATAAAATATATTATTTTATTATATTATTTTATTATATTATTATATTATTTTATTTTATTATGTTTTATTTTTATTATTTTATTACTTCCCTTCTACGTGACTTTACCGAAAGAACCAAGAAGATGGATCCCTGCAGTCACGAAAGCTTTAAATCGAAATTTAACTGCACTACACTTTACCCCACTGAACGCAACCTGACCATCAATTATCTGTGGTGTACCCATTTATCCTGCTGAGTGGACAGAGGTGGGAGGAATATCGGAAATTCTCCCATTATGAAACAATAAGAAGAGGTTTTGCCCTTTCTGGCAATAAAAAAGCTGTAAAGATGTTCAAACACCAAATAGAAACCTTTTGTAAGGAATCAAGTCTGCATTAACCACACGTGCTTGTGGTAAACATGCAAACAAGCATCCTCTCATAATATATGCAATTGAATGTTCCCATTGTTTGAACCACTGCGTCGGGAGATTATGTGGCGACCTCCGGATCGCAAGTCCAGCGTGTTAATAACACGCACAAGCACCTGTGTGAAATTGTTGATGGCGGTCATCTTGAAGCCCTTGGTGGAAGCCGCCATATCCGCCTTGATGTTGTCCACCCCGGCAACGTCCGGCTGCCGCGCTGTCACTCCCGGCGTCGTCGTCATTCCAGCTGCCCCTGGCGCCGTTACCGAGGTTGTCGTGGTGACTGGAAACTGCGCCGCGGTCGTTGCCGCCACCGCCGCCGCGGCCGCCTGCTGCCGCTGCAGGATGAGCGGGAAGAGTGCGGCAGCCGGGCCAATGGAGTTCATCACGTTCACGCTCACCTTGGGGTTCACCACCGACGCGTTCGCCTTGGCGATCTCCAGCAGCTGAGCCTTGTCTACATGGTGGGGGACAAACAGGGGTTAATTTCTCAAGGTTTTTCGGCATAGCTGGTAGTAGACCGGAGTAGACACATAGATGTGACTATACTGGTTGACACAATAGCAACTTGTAAGCCTATGTCCAGATTAGTAAGCCAGAAATTGGCGTTGTGTGTAATGAGTGCGACTCATTACATACAAAGTGCTTGCCACAAATGAATCACAATACCCTGCTTAACTCTTCAAGGAGCATAAACCACCAAGTAAACTCCGGTCATCCTTGCAGCAGCTTTTGGCTAACCATCGAACAAAGACGGTTACTGCATCGCGCACTTTCAGGTGCGCTTCTGCGGCCATCTGGAATGCTCTTCCTTAAAATATCAGGAAGCCACTGGAGCTATGCACTTTGAATTCTAAATTAAATCTAGATTGAAAACCAATTTCTTTATAACTGCTTTTTGTGTTTCGTTTGTTGTCCTTCTCCTGCACCTCTGATTAGCACAATTGGCTACGTACAACATACGTACAATGATTTGCTGTGGACTGTTTACATAAAAATTTCGGCGTTTCGCTACTAGTAGGTCAATGGCCTAGCCTGTTTCCATAATTGCATGATGGGCCTTCTTTGAATTTCCACTTGCGGAGGTAGCGAGTGGATCTGCCGTGATACTTGGGGATTCGATTTATGGTAGATCACTGTTTTTGAGGGAGATTCATTCCCGGAGGTTCTTGAGTGGAATCTCACCTGTCTCGTCCGGTTTCTCTACCTTGCTCCCCATGCCTCATCAGCGTGCGACGAGACCAGCCATGCCGCGTGACGTCACACCATGGTTGAAGAAGTACATGTAGTTAACGATGAGCTATTTTGATGAATTTTGTCCAACCTTGTGATACAGTTTTCTCAGTCATCTATAGAATTGGTCTCTAAAAGCAACACAACTTAATAATAACCTATTATTACATAAGGCCACCTTTCTGGAGTTATCATGACTCCTTGCCTCAAACAGATGGAAACATAGACAGAGTTAATGCTTTAGCAATTTTAACATGAGTTGGGAAATGTTAAAATAAACTTTCCAGTGCAATTATGGTATAAGGCGATGTGCTACAGGAGACAGTAATGTAACGCACACCACAAACCTGCACCTTACCTAACTCGGTCAGCTTCAGTGGAGATTTGTTATTTCTTCGTTTCCGGGAAGTTGAACGGGACCTCCGCCGCCTCTCACGAGAGCCGCTTCGACCAGCGACATTTGGCGACCTGGAGCGACACTTGTTTTTGTCTTTGCGTGAGAAAGGGCTCAACTTGGATCTGCCTTCGGATACATTCCCGGCAGGTTTCTTTCTATCGGCAGAGTGTGATCTCGACTTCTTGAAATCTGCACGCGAAGCCTTCTTTTCCCCGTCTCGCGAGCGTGGCGGTGACGATGGCTTCGACTGGGCATCGCGGGAGCGAGATCTCTTTTTCGTCTCACGAGAGCGCGATCGTGATCTCTTCCTGCTTTCGTCATGAGAATGTGATGAGGACCTTTTACTTCTGTTGTCGTGAGGAGAGGCTACCTTTCTTCCTCTATCATCACGAGTTCTGGAGCAAGATTTTTTCCGTCTATTATCACGTGAAGATGACTTAATCCTCCGGTCTTCGCGGGAGGAAGATTTTTTCCTTCTTTCTTCATGACGCGAGCGACAAGTCTCATTACGAACATAGGAGGACGAGGTCTTCCTTTGGTCATCAGATGAATGAGACCGGGATCTCCTTCTCTTGTCATAGGAACGAGATCTTCTTCCATCAGACAAAGACCTCTTCCGTCTGTTGTTTTGAGAACATGAACGAGAGCTCCTCCTTCGATCATCACGGGAACGTGACCGAGACCTCTTTTTTCTATCACCAACAGAACGCGAGCGAGATTTCTTCCTCCTATTATCACGGGACCGTGAACGAGACCTCTTTATTCTATCATCGCAAGATCGTGAACGATATCTCCTCTTTCTTTTATCATCACGGGATTGTGAGCGGGACCTCCTCCGCCTCCTGTCACGGGAAAGTGAGCGAGATCTCCTCTTCTTTCTATCATCGTGAGACCGTGAGCGAGACTTTCTCTTCCTATCACCACGGGACCGCGAGCGAGATCTTTTACTTCTATCGTCTGAATGTGAGCGTGATTTCCTCTTCCAATTACGAGATTGTGAGCGAGACTTATTATTTCTGTCATCACGGGAATGTGAGCGGGATCTCCTCCGACTTTCATCGCGTGAATTCGAACGAGACTGCTTTCTAGCATCTTCACGAGAATGGATGTTGTCAGTGCTTCCTGTTTTTTTTACTTCCATTCTATTTGGAAAAGCCTCTTTCTCATCGTTTGCTCGTGAATGGGGTTTCCTTTTAACCCCACACCCCGCACGTAATAGTTTCCTATTGCTACGTGAACGAGAACGGGTCCTTCTCCTGTCACTGTGAGAGGGAGAACAAGATTTTTGTTTTTGGTTTGACGTGCTTGGTGATGAACTTGCATCTCTCTCAGCTTGCCGTGGAGAACTTTTTTGGTGCTCAGGAGAATGAGACCGTTTTTTTTCCACATCCATCTTCAATTTAAAAAGTACATCTTTCGCTTGCTCTTCTGAAACAGTTTTGTTTTCTTTAAGTTCAGAAGCATCCGTATTTGTCTTAGCAGTCACGTCTGTATTTGGAATTCGTTCACGTTCTGGACAGATGTCAGATCCTAAGAGCTTCTCCTTTGCGCCAATTTCTTCCTTCACTTTGGGCGTTTCAAGTTCATCAGTTAAAACGGTCTCAAGAAACCCAATTTTTGTTTGTTCAGCAATTGCTTCTTTCGTTTTTACATCTGAAGATTTTGCTGTCACACTTTCACTATTTGAGGTATGGTCAACAGAATTACTTTTCTCTAAATAAACACTGTCTTCTACTATTTTGGCCTCTGGTAATGTTGCAAGGATATCCTGAGTTGCACCTGCACCGCATAATGCTGACTCGGCATGCTCATCAAAACACTCTGCTTGCTTCACGCTGATCGGAGAAAAAACGCTTCTGCTTTGCAGTGATTTGTCAAATTCTATGTCTGATTGTAACTGCAAAGAAACATCCAGAGATACTATTTTACTGCACTCATTATCAGCCTTGCTTGTGGAAGGCTTCGGTTCTGCAGAACTAGACGAATCTTCCTTTGTAATATCATTCACTATTGTTACACTACTCAAAGGAATGTTGTTAATTTTAGACTCCTCTGTTACCACCACAATGGGCTCATCTACTGTTAAGCCGGGTAGAACCCCTCTCTCCTTCGCATGAGATGCAACTTCTTCGCCAAACCTTATTTTGGAAGACGATCGAGATCGACTACGCCTTTTGTCCAATTTCTCTTCATCCTCTGAAGATGACTTTCCTTTCGACTTCTTTCTCTTTTTTTTACTTTTGTGATGATGTTTCTGTTTGTGCTTTTTGTACTTCCTCTCTTTATGTTTTTTTGGTTTATTGTTGCTTTCATTGTCTGATGACAACTGCTGTCCATCACCGTCTCTCTGGGACATGTCACTTTCTTCGTTGCCTGAAACACACACAGTGCTTCTCGGTTTTTTTACTTCCATTCTATTTGGAGAAGCCTCTCTCTCATCGTTTGCTCGTGAATGGGGTTTCCTTTTAACCCCACACTCCGCACGTAATAGTTTCCTATTGCTACGTGAACGAGAACGGGTCCTTCTCCTGTCACTGTGACAGGGAGAGCAAGATTTTTGTTTTTGGTTTGACGTGCTTAGTGATGAACTTGCATCTCTCTCAGCTTGCCGTGGAGAATTTTTTTGGTGCTCAGGAGAATGAGACCGTTTTTTTTCCACATCCATCTTCAATGTAAAAAGTACATCTTTCACTTGCTCTTCTGAAACAGTTTTGTTTTCTTTAAGTTCAGAAACATCCATATTTCTCTCAGCAGTCACGTCTGTATTTGGAATTCGTTCACGTTCTGGACAGATGTCAGATCCTAGGAGCTTCTCCTTTGCGCCAATTGCTTCCTTCACTTTGGGCGTTTCAAGTTCATCAGTTAAAACGGTCTCAAGAAACCCAATTTTTGTTTGTTCAGCAATTGCTTCTTTCGTTTTTACATCTGAAGATTTTGCTGTCACACTTTCACTATTTGAGGTATGGTCAACAGAATTACTTTTCTCTAAATGAACACTGTCTTCTGCTATTTTTGCCTCTAGTAATGTTGCAAGGATATCCTGAGTTGCACCTGCACCGCATAATGCTGACTCGGCATGCTCATGAAAGCACTCTGCTTGCTTCACGCTGATCGGAGAAAAAACGCTTCTGCTTTGCAGTGATTTGTCAAATTCTATGTCTGATTGTAACTGCAAAGAAACATCCAGAGATACTATTTTACTGCACTCATTATCAGCCTTGCTTGTGGAAGGCTCCGGTTCTGCAGAAGTATTTTGAACAGAACTAGACGAATCTTCCTTTGTAATATCATTCACTATTGTTACACTACTCAAAGGAATGTTGTTAATTTTAGACTCCTCTGTTACCACCACAATGGGCTCATCTACTGTTAAGCTTGGCAGAACCCCTCTCTCCTTCGCATGAGATGCAACTTCTTCACCCAACCTTATTTTGGAAGACGATCGAGATCGACTACACCTTTTGTCCAATTTCTCTTCATCCTCTGAAGATGACTTTCCATTCGACTTCTTTCTCTTTTTTTTACTTTTGTGACGATGTTTCTGTTTGTGCTTTTTGGACTTGCTCTTTTTATGTTGTTTTGGTTTATTGTTGCCTTCATTGTCTGATGACAACTGCTGTCCATCACCGTCTCTCTGGGACATGTCACTTTCTTCTTTGCCTGAAACACACAAAAAAAAAATATACACAAATCGTTTTCAAACTCATCTCCAAAGCATGCAATGATGCTCTGTGAATTAGTACCATGCACTATAAACCGTTGCTTCATGTAATTAACAGATATCTCACAAAAAAAAGTAAACGTTTTTCAAAAACTTTTAGAGGGTACATACAATATATAGATAAATGAACGAGTATGTGTCCTTTACTCAATGCGATATCATGCAATGCAATGCATTGGACTGCATGTAGGTCATACTATTGGTTAAATACACTTGTAGTGGATAAATCAGAACCAGTACACACCTGAAAGATGAACTAGAATTTGATCAACATGAATCATCAACAGTGTTGTTCTCAGGAAGAACGTAATCAACCAGATAGGGTGTTGACTGTTATGTTATCCGACTCTCTGTTGTATTACATTACATTTCTAAGTATACTAGATTTGTGTTTCTATTTAATTTATACCTGATGATTGCTTGTGTTGCAATCGAAACGTATTTAATTTAATTTATTATTTATCTTTATACGTGACTTTACCGAAAGAACCAAAGAATAAGTGTTGTTATATAACGTTTACTTGACTGTAAATGTAACATGCGTGTGCGTTGAAATGCTCAATCGATTCATGCACAGGCAGCATATAACAATACAAAAATGTGAAAAGAGGCAAGGTGAGATACATTATTAAAACTACACTAAGAGAAAGAAATAACATATGGATCAAGGAGCCAAATTAAATCCTAAAACTATTTACTGTTACACATACTGTCGTATTGGTCTTGGATTGAACACTTGGCTATAAGGGATACCAAATGCAGCTTAGTGGAGGAATGGTGATTGTGCTGGGAGAACTTCATCAGTGGATAGACAATGGATGATGCTAATGATTAAGTTGTGGAAATGTGTAAATTAAACTAAATCTATTAACTTATTTTTTTATTTTACCAGGTAAGGCCAACTGAGATATACAGTATAGCTCTTTTTCAGAAGCGACCCAGCCACAAATGATAGCTCAACTCAGTAGTTTATTACGTGGAAATATAAAGCAGACAAATACTCTCAAGGCATGTTTCTAAATGTGGAGGGGAAAACCGGAGTAGAATCCACGCGACCACGGGGAGGACATCAAATTCCAAATATACAGGAGTCAGGGTTGGGATCTAAACCACGACCTCCTTTACACCAGGCGAGGAAGTTAACATCTCCCCACCGTGGCGCCCCAACGTGTAAGCACGTGAGAGGGAGCAAACTGGCTCTACATGTACACGACGCTGCTGATTGAGGAGGGGGTGCCAGGGATGTGTAACTAACACAACCACTCAACTCACCTGTCACTTTCCTCGCAGAAGGGCGACTCACGCAACTCTGAGCAACCACGTTGTCGTCCACGCGTGACACGGCAACGTCCTGCGCACCTTCATCACCAGCCGCATGAGAACTGGAGAGAGGACACAATTACCTCTCAAAATTAAAATCTCAAGCCATGAAATATATTACATTTGTAAAGTCTGCAACCATAAACAGGATGATAAAATTTAGTAAACAAACACATGCAACGAGGAGACTGAGCAATGAAATACGCTCTAGTGGATGTTCTATGCGCTTTGTTAGATCGCAGGATCGTGCGAGATGGCACAAACGGCTTAGGGAGGCTTCCATCCAGCAGTGGAGTGGCCATGCCTGATGCTGAAAGTCTACTGCAGCAAAACATTATAGACCGACTCCGCCCCCCCCCCGTCACCCTGCAGGCTCCGCCGGACATGGCTCGCCTCTTCCGGCAGGGTAGCCTAGGCGAGACGGACGCTTGGCAGCGGCCTAACCGAAGTCGGCTTCGACAGCGATACAACTTTCGCGGTGAGCGCGGGAGATTCGCGTGGGCAACCAGCGCGGAGCACCTTTGTGACTTCTCTTCGCGAATGTCCTTCATCTTCTGCGCGGCGAACGAGCGGAAGATTCCGTCCACGTCCATCGCTGCGCGCCGATCAATCGACTCCACGAGCTGATCGTGGTGCTGCTTGGATCCGGTTACCAGAACCGGGTCCCCAAAGGACTCAAGAGGAACCGGATTCGGATGCTTTGCCCAGCGGCTTGAGAAGTCCGCGTGTCTCTTTGTGCCTCCTAAGTTAACAAATAAAAATAAAGTGTTTCGTGTTTTTGTTATTTAAAGCTTTCGTGACTGCAGGGATTGATATTCTTGGTTCTTTCGGTAAAGTCACGTAGAAGGGAAGTAATAAAATATTAATATAAAAAATTAAAATATATTATTTTATTATTTCCCTTCTACGTGAATTTACCGAAAGAACCAAGAATATAAAAGTGTATTGTTTACTCAGGTGAAACCCCCCCCCCCCACCCCCAAGAGACCAGGACTAGAGCCTCGCTTGCAAGAGTGACCCGAATCACCCAAAACGACAGCAGCAGCAAAACTAATACAGTAAAGTTTACAATTAAGCAAATAGCAATCCTTGCAAAAGCAAGCGCTGCGTCGCATGAGAAATCGAGAATTTTGCACAAACACCAATCAACGTTGAATTAAAGATTCCCTGTCGCGACGTCACAGCGTGCTCTGTGACGTAGCTGACTCTGTTCCCGGGCTCACACCTCGTGAGCTCTGACGTCACAGCCAAGCTCTCGACGCATTGAAATCACCGCGTGCTCTCTGCACTGACGTCGTGAGCATCCTTATCTGTGTGATGATTGCAACTCACTACTCTACGGGACGTCTGGTAAAAAAAGCAACCAGCAAGCTGCAGCGTGTACTAAATACTCTGACACGTGTCGTGACGGCTACTGCAAGAGCCGACCGTGCTGGCTGAACTTCATTGCCCTCCGGTTGCCGAACATTGCAAGCTCGCGCTCGTTACACACAACGGACATGCTACAAATGAACGACAGTGCCTTGTTGATCTCGTCAAGGAGCATCGTGAACCATCGTCACGCCAACTCCGCTCATCCTCGCAGCAGCAGCAGCAGCGGCTTGTGGCTCAGCCATCGAACAAAGGCGGCGGTCACCTCGTCATCATCGCGCGCTTTCAGATGCGCTGCTGTGGCCGTCTGGAACGCTCTTCCTTCCGATATGAGAAAGCCACTGGAGCTATGCACTTTTAAATCGAGTTTGAAAATTAATTTCTTTGGAACTGCTTTGTTGTGTTTAGTTTGTTCCTTTCCCGCACCTCCAATTAGCACGGTTGGCTACGTACGGTGCGAAAGAAGTTCAACATACAGATGTCGAAAGCTAAGTCGAATTTTGAACCTGGGTTATTGTTTTGCTGGGCTTACCACCTTTCCCCATAAGAAGTTATTGGCTGCTGCGAGGCTATGCTGTCTATAAAGGCAGGGCGTCAGTATACGGTACATCTCGCTATGGCTGTAGCTATACTGGTAGGAACCTCCTGGTTACACCAGCCCACAGGGGATTATTGTGTCCGTCCGTCGTGCAGGGAGGGGCTGGGTGGGGAGGGAAAGGCTGGGTGGGGAGGGAGCGGCTGGTTGGGGAGGGGAGGGTGGGGAGGGGCTGGGTGGGGAGGGGAGGGTGGGGAGGGGCTGGGTGGGGATGGGAGGGTGGGGCTGGGTGGGGAGGGGAGGGTGGGGAGGGGCTGGGTGGGGAGGGGCTGGGTGGGGAGGGTGGGGCTGGGTGGGGGGTGGGAGGGGTGGGGCTGGTTGGGGAGGGGCTGGTCACCCCGTGGTGCCCTTATAAAACTCAACGTTTAACCTACTCACGCCGGCTTGTGCCCACCCTCACAGTCGGGCATATTTGCGGAATACACCACGCCGCCGTTGACCCTGGCCATTGACCGAGCAACCCAAAGTTCCTAACCAGCTCCCTCCGCAGAAATGTGTTTGGTAGCCACGTGCTATTACCCGAAAAACATTCAGTGAAAAATTAATCCCTTGGCAAAAGGTAGTTAAATTTTTCGATATAAAGCTTTCGTGACTGCAGGGATTCATCTTCTTGGTTCTTTCGGTAAAGTCACGTAGAATGGAAATAATAAAATAATAAAAATACAAATAAATACAATTATTCTCACGACGTTTCGGCCACAACGCAAGCAGCCGTCCTCAGGTGAAGAACAGGTCTGTCGAGAAGACAGAGTCTGAATGAAACATCCCAGGCTTGGAGCGTTTATTTAGGCTGGGTTGGAGGGGGAAGAACGCCTTGACAACATAATGTGCATATCAAGAGGAATTTAGCATATTTATGGGAAATGCAGATATGGGATTAGTACTACTTCTGAAATGCATTTCACAAGTAGTACTAATCCCATATCTGCATTTCCCATAAATATGCTAAATTCCTCTTGATATGCACATTATGTTGTCAAGGCGTTCTTCCCCCTCCAACCCAGCCTAAATAAACGCTCCAAGCCTGGGATGTTTCATTCAGACTCTGTCTTCTCGACAGACCTGTTCTTCACCTGAGGACGGCTGCTTGCGTTGTGGCCGAAACGTCGTGAGAATTATTTTATAATGTTTTATTTTTATTATTTTATTATTTCCATTATACGTGACTTTACCGAAAGTACCAAGTAGAAAAAGGTAGTTCAGCAAAAACAACTGTTGTACTGTAGTTCTATGCTCCAATGTATTAGTGCTGTATTAGTGCTGGATAAAAATGTGATTTGTAACTTTGATCCTTACCCATAAATCGATAGTTTAATTTCGATGTACAATTTTATTGAGAGACTATGTGTTGTCTTGGTGTGGTCGGGGACTGTTATTGCTGTAGTTTTACTGCCTTTCCGAAGCTTGGGAATTGATGTACAGTACTTATAAAATTTGAACTTATATACTGTTTTATTTAAGGGGCGCAACTGTGCATTATATTATCTTCCTTGCCTGGTATGCAGGAGGTCGCGGGTTCGATCCCGACATTGACACCTGTGTATTTGATGTTTGCGCGTTCCCCTCGTGGTCACGTAGATTTTTCTCCGGGTCCTCCGGTATTTTCCCTCCACATTTATAAATATGTGTTTAGAGTATTTGGTTCATATAAATTTCCACATTAGCCACTTCGTTGAGCTGTCATTTGTGACCAGGTCGCTTCTAAAAAAAAAGATAATAGCTCAGTCGGCTTTACCTGGTAAAATAAAATAGATTTTATTACCATTCCTATATGTACGTTGTACTCCTATTGTATTATTGTACAGATGTAGTGACATAGAGCCGACTGCTGGCCTGCAGCAGCAACTGCATGTGGACACTTAGCGCACACGCCGTTGAGCACATACACGATGGGTGTACTGGCAGGGCGGAGGAACTGGGGCAAGGGTCACGGTAGACCTCATCGGGAAGCCCCTGGAACCCTCTGGTGGGTTCGAGAAGGGAGGCGCGGCCAGGGCAGAGCCAAGCTGCGCCGAGAATAAAAGCAGCGGAGAGCGAGAGCTCTGGGCTGCCGGTGCTGGGACTCGTCTCGTCGTTGCTGTCGCCTTCGCCCCATCATTTCGCGGCCGGGCAGTGGTTGGCTGTCTCGGTCGATGCCGTTGGAGCAACGCGGACAGGGTCGTGTCTGGGCCAGGCTGTAAGAAAGCGTGGTCGTGAGAGAGGAGGCCGGAGTTGGTGACGTGAACGAGATAATAAAGAGAGACGGTGCCTCCTGCAACTACCTCGTCTCCGACTGAGCGTGTGCACGCACGCCACACGCACACACACGCCTCGAGGAAGGAGGACACTACACATATGTGAAAAATAGCTTCGTAGCTCATCGGATTCCTCCAGTATAAATAAATATTCTGATTCTAATATACAGTATATGCGCCCTGCCTTCAACCCTCACTGACCAGTGTGGTGAAGTATGGTCAAATTAATGCCGCCCCCCACACAACCTCACACTTGCTTGTGGGAAGGGCCTCATCCAGCAGTATCAGAATATTTATACTGGAGAAATCCGATGAGCTCTCAAGCTCTTTTTTCACAAATGTCAGGGCAGGTCAGAACGTTACAACAACACACAATACAAAACACGATTGGAGTGCAAAGAATAGGAAAGGTAAGCAAATCACTTACGTATTTATTTTTTACCAGGTAAGGCCAACTGACCTATATCGCTTATTTTTCAGAAGCGACCTGGCCACAAATGATAGCTCAAATAAGTGGCTTATCACGTGGAAATTAATAGCAGCAACATAATCTAAATAATCTAGACGCATGTTTCTAAATGTGGAGGTTAAAAACCCAGAGGACCCGGAGGAAAAAAAATCCAGGCGATTGTCCATAATACAGAGTTCACGTGTAAGGACGAGTTTCATCCCATGCACTTAACCTTAGACAATGCAAGTTTAATCCCAATGAAGCTTGGAGAGCTGAATGGAGTTCAAAATAACTCACAAACACCTTGTTGTGAAAGACTCAACACAGAACATCCCTGGGTCTGTTTTTCCAAGAAGCACATGGTCACAATACTTTATACTGGTAGGAACCCACTGGTTCCACCAGCCCACAGGGGATTATTGTGTCCGTCCGTCCGTCATGTAGGGAGGGGCTGGGTGGGGAGGGGCTGGGTGGGGAGGGTGGGGAGGGGCTGGGTGGGCAGGGTGGGGCTGGGTGGGGAGGGGAGGGTGGGGAGGGGCTGGGTGGGGAGGGTGGGGAGGGGCTGGGTGGGGAGGATGGGGAGGGGCTGGGTGGGGAGGGTGGGGCTGGGTGGGGGGTGGGAGGGGTGAGGGCTGGGTGGGGAGGGGCGGTCACCCCGTGGTGCCCTTATAAATCTCAACGTTTAACCTACTCACGCCGGCTTGTGCCCGCCCTCACAGTCGGGCATTGACCGAGCAACCCAACGTTCCTACCAGCTCCCTCCGCAGGAATGTGTTGGTTGTTCCATCATATTTACTGGGCACTAGTCTGTTTTGCCGAGTTAATTGCATCCCTAGCGTTTGGCATTACTGCTGCAAGAAGATGCATTGGGGTTGTTGGCTTTATTTGTACTGTTGCTGCCCTGTTGTAGCTCCCCCCCCCTCGTGCATCCCCAGCCCTCTCAGCCCCGCCCACTTCCAGCCCCGCCCACTTCTCCCCTCCCCTTGCCCCTCCCCCCTCTCTCACTTATATAACCTCTTACCACGGCATCTCTCTCCCACTTCAGAAAACATTCTATTGCTGTGGTTTTCCCACCTGATGATGATTGCTTGTGTTGCGATCGAAACGTCGTGATTTAATTTATTTTATACCCACGTGACTTTACCGAAAGAACCAAAGAGTAAGCACATGGTCCACCCTAAAACGCATCCACTTCACAAACCGTGACAACAGATGCGGATACCTGATGCACAAATGTAAAATTAAACTCTCCAGTATAATACAGGTGTTTGGGGGGTTAGTTCGCGTAAATATAAATGTCTCGTTAAACCCGCCACCACCCGACACAGCCAATTAGTAAGGTTTGTTACCCGTACCCTACCCGTACCCAGCTGGGTACGGGTAGGGTACGGCCGGGTACGGGTACGGGTACCCGTTTGCGACCCTGGTGCGGCCGAGTACGGGTACGGGTAAGGAATCAAACCCCGTTAGCGACCTCTGTGCTGTGGGCCCCCCTGGGTTTGGCCACTGAACGCGACTCCGCTGGTGCTGTGGCCCCCCTGGGTTTGGCCACTGAACGCGACTCCCCTGGTGCTGTGGGCCCCCTGGGTTTGGCCACTGAACGCGACTCCCCTGGTGCTGTGGGCCCCCTGGGTTTGGCCACTGAACGCGACTCCCCTGGTGCTGTGGCCCCCTGGGTTTGGCCACTGAACGCGACTCCCCTGGTGCTGTGGGCCCCCTGGGTTTGGCCACTGAACGCGACTCCGCTGGTGCTGTGGCCCCCCTGGGTTTGGCCACTGAGCACGACTCCCCTGGTGCTGTGGCCCCCTGGGTTTGGCCACTGAACGCGACTCCCCTGGTGCTGTGGCCCCCCTGGGTTTGGCCACTGAACGCGACTCCCCTGGTGCTGTGGGCCCCCCCTGGGTTTGGCCACTGAACGCGACTCCGCAGTGCTTCTACACCAGCAAGAGCCGTACGTTGAGATGAAGCACTTAGGCGCAAATTTGCTACAACGGATAGGCATAGCGTTCCGATTTCCGCGCCACCGATTGGCCAACTGATCTGGCAGCGACCAATAGGCTGGCAGCACGGCGACCACTCCTGCGCGCCTCGTCCAATCGGAGAGGCGGACGACGGATGGCCGCGTAAGCGCGCTGGGAAATGTGACGGCGCCTGGGTCTTTATTTAATGGCAACAGTGAGTGGCAAAGTTGGGACGCGAAGGAACGGGGATTGTGGTGCCATTATTGTTGTTGTTGATTTATCTCACGGTTAAAAACTAAAAACGGCGTCCGTGTTAAGGACATTTAAAGGGAATGAATTTCGCGCGAGCTCCGGCGGGCGATGCGAATTGTTTGTGAGCGAAAGAGCGGCCGCTGGTTACAATGTAACGGGAGGGTCATCGTCATGGCTACGAAGCCATCATTCATTGTTATGGATAACAACAATAACAACTTGCAACAGCAATAACTACAAAGGATTTCAAGTCTAACACAATTTAGCTGGCGGCTAGCGTGGAGACCGTTCAAAGGTGACTACTTTGTGTTCGCTTTACTTTTGCTCAACTCCTTTGTATCCACCACCCTCTTGGCATTCGTCATTGTATTGTCCACCATTGCATTATCCACCATTGCATTATCCACCATTGTATTATCCACCATTGCATTATCCACCATTGTATTATCCACCATTGCATTATCCACCATTGTATTGTCCACCATTGCATTATCCACCATTGCATTATCCACCATTGCATTATCCACCATTGTATTATCCACCATTGTATTATCCATCATTGCATTATCTACCATTTTATTATCCACCATTACATTATCCACCATTGTATTATCCACCATTGCATTATCCACCATTGTATTATCCACCATTGCATTATCCACCATTGTATAATCCACCATTGCATTATCCACCATTGTATTATCCACCATTGCATTATCCACCATTGTATTGTCCACCATTGTATTATCCACCATTGCATTATCCACCATTGCATTATCCACCATTGTATTATCCACCATTGTATTATCCACCATTGTATTATCCACCATTGTATTGTCCACCATTGTATTATCCACCATTGAATTGTCCACCATATATCCGCCACTCCATCATTCTCCACCGACTGCCGGATGCCGTGTTCTGTGTCAAGCTGAGCGCACTGCCACCCAGGGCAACGCCTCTTGACTTGCAAGCCGCAGCTGAGACGATGTTACTCAAATAGCCTCCCCATCCCTCCTATTGACACCCGTGCGGTGGCTACCGTGGAAGAGTAGGCCAAATACACTCGAGGCCCTTCCACTTGTCAGTGGTGTGAGAGACTTTACCGAAAGAACCAAGGAGTATGGATTCCTGCAGTCACGAACGCTTCAAATCAGGATTGAAATTTCAAGGTTTCACCTTTACCACCATGTAATCTGCCATAATTCTAACCCGTACCATTTACACGGAGGTCTTTGTACTCTCATCGTTTTGATGGCCGATGGATTTAACTGATCAACTGAGTGGCAGCCCCAAAGAAGAGAACAAACCCCCGAGGCGATGACCAACTATGATGGATGTGGAGGGATGAGATAGATTTTGTTGTAGCAGATGGCGGAGGCTTAGACAGGTCTTCGTTCACCAATGGATAGATCATAGTACTGAAGTGGCCCTAATGTGCATACATTATCAGAGTTATGTTTTGTTGCCAGATAGAAGGGTAAAAAAAACAATTATTTTTTTTACTAGCAAATGAGGTTCCAATGGTGTAAATCACTTCGTCTGTTTTATCCTCAAAAAAGAAATATTGTAACTAAATTTTTCCACACTTCCCAATGTGCTATCGACTGCAAACTTGGTATAGGTATGTCATACTGATGACAACACAATATTCTATCATAAAAAATCCAAAACATATATTTTAAAACTTTTTACACGCTTTTATTTAACTTACTGTATCTGTTGTATCCAAAAATCTTGTAACTCAATTTCAACCGTATTCCCAATGTCGTATCGACTGCAAACTTCGTATAGCTATGTCATACTGATGACAATACTATATTCTATCATTAAAAATAAAAAAAAATATTTTTCAACAATCTTTTTAACGGCTTTAATTTTCCACACTCAACTAACGTTGCCTGTAAATCACCACGTGGTCCCTTACATCACGACAAGCCTCGGGGAGCCATGCCCAGGGGCGGGGGATGTGGAAGGAGGTGAGGGGCGATGGGGGAAGGGGGCATGGGGAGGGGCAGCTCGGACAGTACATTTCATTAAAGCGTGTTTTTTTAAAAAAGTATTTGTAAATCTTTTTTGTCTGCAAATATAACTTGTGTGTTGCCTCCTCGCTTTGCCCACTCCAGCTTCATGGCCATGGCTGGAAGTGTGAGCGGAGCGTCCAGAGCGAAAGGGGCCTGGCAGGGCACCCCCCCATCGCAATCTGAGGAGTGCAGTCCGGGTACCTGGTCTGAACGCTGGTCTGGATCTCGAACACCCGATCGTTTGTCCGTCGCACCCAGCCACTACAACGTCAGCACGCCCATCATTGTGCTCCCCAGACGTAAGAATAGTCTTCGTGTGGCTGATGTAGAACAACAACGATAGTTTTACATTGAATGTCGTTTGTGAAGGATGTGCTGCTAGGGCCCTTGTCGTTTTGAGAAAGTGCTCTTACCAATGACATTGAGTCAACCTGAAGCAACTATGACCAAATCAGCTGGAATTCACCTGATCTCATCAGATATCGTAAGCCAAGCAGGCTTGGAGCCTGGTTAGTGTTTTGATGGACGACCACTATGCCCCATCAGGAGTTATTGGCTGCTGTGAGGCTACATTGTCTGTAAAAGCAAGGCATCATCCAGGCTGCGTCTGAGTCATTTATCAGGATGGGTCTGAGCCAGATAAATGTGTCAAGCAAGAGCAGCAGAGGTTATTGCTGTGATGATGCCTCCGTAAATGTAAATCAACAATTGAGTCGTTATATTTTGCATGGTCTGTTCTGGGTCACCACAGTTGAATGCCGGAGAGTTTAAAATTTTACATTCACGTATCAAGTTTCCGCGTCTGCTGTAGTTTGTGCAGATGCGGTTTAGGGTTGTGCCCATAAGCTTTGCAGAAGGTGAAAGCCAGGGATTTCCTGAGTCAGGTCTTTGACGAGGTATAGGAATTGTGTCGGTTATGCATGTCCACACTGGCAGCAGTCAAACTAAATCATGGCCCACCAGTAGTGCGTTTGCCTCTTGTCGCAGTGGTTCGTGGTCTGAGCCCAAAGGCTGTCCCGGTTAATACTTTAGGTGTATTAATCATAGATATAGGCGCTGCCTGCTTCACGGTGGACGTTAAAGATCCTGCGACATGAGTGCTGGCATCATGATCCAAATTGAGTACATTACTTGCTTCATTTGGAAAAGCCACATACCAACATTGCCCACTACTGGCAGACAGATACCTATTGCAGGCCAGTGCTGTCTTCACCATTTGCCACACAGGGACAGCTGCCACTGAGGGCCCCCCTTATCTAGACTGCCACAGGGCACCTGGAGATGTATTGCAAGGAGGTGCACTATAAATATTAAGTGATAATGATGCATGTGTAAGCTTGGTCATGTCAGCTGTATTCAGGTAGGTACTAAGACAGTATTTGCCTCTTTAATCTGTTTGAACTTTTGCGGTTCAAAATGAGTAAATTAAGATATATTTCATGGACAGCGTTCATCCGCGGTGAGTTATGCATATGACACTGTCCCAAGTCTCCTTGATAGTAGAACAAGGGCACCATTGCCATATCATGTACTTTGTAAACTGAACATTGTGGTTCATGTCAATGTAAGGTAAAGGTGCAACATTCTGATTACTTGGTTCGATCACTGCTGGCGGAAGGGCCTGCACTAGAGGGAGCTCTAGAGCACTTCTCTAGAGGGTATTTTGGCCGACTCTTCAAAGCTGGTGTGAGTACTTTATACTTCACCACGTGTGGTCTATTCATAAACTAACTCCGGTGTGCATATTTTTTCGCTGGGTGAACAGAGGCAGGGAGATTTAAGAAACTGGCAACTATGTTTACAACTGCTGCGCCAGGCGATTACAATTAAAATAAGACCTCGGTAAGTTTGCACAGTATGTGTCAAACAATCCCCCCACCACACCACACTGCTGCAGGTAAAAAGAAGGCGTTCACAGTTCTGCCGAACGCTACACCGGGACGATGGGGCCCCCCGCGCGCGGCACGCGTTCTGTATGGCGGCGGCGGCGGTGGCGGCATCAGGGATGCACGAAGACTGGAGCGGCGCGTGCATTCCGCGCGACTGCGAGCGTCGCGGGAGCTACGGGACGAGGCGGTGGCGCTGACGCGGCGTCTGGCCGAAGTTCGCCACGAGAACATCGCACTATGGGGAGCTCAGCGTCGCCACCAGCTCGCCATCAACGCCTTCGAGGTGAGGATGCGGCTATGGGCGACTGCTGTGGGGTGACTCATGCGGGGCGAGCGCTGGGGGAGAGCGCTGCGTGGAGAGCGTTAAGCTGAAGTCGAATGGGTGGCCGAGTGGCCCAAAGTTCAGAGTGCTGAGCTGGCACTGCTGAGATTCTGGGTTCGAGTCCAGGTGGTCACCTGTGATGAAACCAGGTGTTAAAGTGTAGCGATGTGATGGTGTGTATGTATGTATGCTGAGCTTCTTTCGCACCGTACGGAGCCAACTGTGCTAAAAGCAAATGACGAGAAAAAACCCATCACATTAAATTTGGTTGTGCACTTCATTTGGCTAAACTTCAGTTCTGAAAATGAAATTATCAGTTTGACTTTTGGGCGATTTCTAGTGCATAAACAACACAACCACAAAAAAAAACCCTAACAAAGCCAAACTTTAATAAATGAACATCGCAGCACGGGGGCGCAAAACATCGCCCGACCGCGCGACTCCTTCTCGCTCGCCGTGCGCTGCAGGTGCCGGAGGGCGGCCTGGGCCACGCGCTGGACTCGCACGCGCGCGAGTCCCGGCGCCTGCGGGAGGCCACGCGGGTCGCTCGCGAGGCGGAGCGGGGCCACGTGCGCGCCGCCGTGCGCGTCGAGGCGCTGGGGCGGCGCGCGTGCCTCGACCTCGAGGCACTGGCGGCGCTCGCGTCCGACGATGCGCTGCCCGACGAGCCGCGCCTGCGGGCGGCGTTGCTCGACGTCGAGCGCAGGCTGCTGGGGACGCAGCCACGCGTGCAGGTGAGATGCAGCCGCGCGTGCAGGTGAGATGCAGTCCCGCCCCTCGGCGCGGGGGCAGGGGTGTTGACACTGACGCGGCCATAGCTGTGCAGTTCCACCTGGGGTGTTCCCCCCACCCCATCGCCTTTCAAATAGTTGACGTTCTCGTGCTTGCTCCACCATACTTGTCAACAATACCGATCGAAGCAGTTAACTGCTGACTTTGAAGCCCCTTTACCACATTGTGATGGTGAGCACACTGGACATACATTACAAAGTTCCCTGGATTGATTCACTCTCCCGGTGCGGCAGATGAAACGAAGGGCCAGATTCGTAGCCCCCCTCCCGCCCCCCAAATGCCACCTCTGTCCATCCCGCAGCATAAACAGGTGCACCATTTATACTGCCGGATGAGGTGAGTCGTTTGGCAGGTTGTATGTCATAGTGATAAGTGTGGATTCTCCCATTTTTTCACTGTGGAAGAGTAGACCAAATACCCTCCAGAGGGGCTCTCTAGAGCTCCCTCCAGTGGAGGCCCTTCCACCAGCAGTGGCGTGCGAAAGCAATTGTAGGGCTGCACCTTTACCTTGTACCACATACTGATTTTTTTAAGTTAATCCAACATTTTGGGGGGAACAAATATTGACATGTTTTTCTTGCTAACTGGCGTGCGTTAAAAAGCGGCAACCTACCACTTAGATCGCTATGGCTGGCAAGTGCGGCACACCACACCCCTGCTGTTTTGAAGAGTTGTTAGTCCCTTGCGAAAGCGGCGTCCTAAAGCCACCTGACCAGTTGTGTTTATGCTGAAGAATCCCGCTCGAGGAATTCTGCATCGAGAGAGCGTCAGATTGTTGGAATGCACACACACGTTTTTCAAGTACAAACATATCTGCACCAGGTTGTAACGTAAAACGTATAATGTGGGATGCACGAACCGGCCTCGGAGCTATTAAATTGTCTGGCTTCCTCCACCGTAACAATGACACACAAACATGGGCAGCTATGCTCACATCAGGCACAGTGTGTCCACATCCCCGAGTCTCCTTTTGCAAGGAGCCTCAGAGAGTGGCAGCTCTTGACCACCACTTCTTAGGTAAAGCCTGGAATAGGAAGTCATCTGAAAGAAGTAGGCCACAATATAATAGAAAGACGAAATATTGGGCATCCCAAGAGTGAGATTGATTTGTAGTGACACAGGATCCGAGGCGTTCGTTTGAGCATTTTATTTTTAAATCACGGTTGCTAGGTTCAGACACAAAATGCTAAGTGGCCACCAACAAATAGCACACGTTTGTAGGACCCAGGGGAAAGGAGAGGATGTGGGGGAAGAAGCAGAGAGAGAAGTGGTAGTTGAACGCAATTTCAACGAGACAAACCAGTCAGCCTGGTAGACCAAGTCCTCAACATGGGTGGAGAAATCAGTGATTAAAGATCACGTAAACAAATAACCATTGTAGTAGCGATATATGATTGTGAGCAAGTGATTGGAGTGCTGAAGGGACAATCCAAAGTCGAGTGAGAATCACCAGTAATTCTATTGATGATGCATATTGTATAAGTTGCACTCGTTTGCCGGTGACATTTTCAACACGGCACGCAATTATCTCTTTGCATGTGAAATGCAGGAACTGCAGAAAAGTCTGGAGGTGAATGTCAGCAATTTCACACGGCAGTTTCGAGCAGAGCGGCACAGCCTGGCGGAGACACAAAGCCTTCAGAGGGCCCTGCAGGTCCAGGTCGACTGTCTGGCCCAGCAGCTGCGGGTAACATGATGGGTTCAGCCCTCGAAGACATTGCTGCCTCCAGTGTGTTTCCTTTGTCGCTGTGAACGCCAGGTGCTGCCAATGCAGGAAATTAACATGAGCAGTGCTCGTGATGAGGGCCATCGGTTAGCACTTAGGAAAGTTCACTTGGTCCTTCATTCATTTGGGGTATCATAAAATGAGGAACCGTTTTGTGTTCAGGTGGTATTAGTGGTTTCCAGATTATTATTTCGCTTATTTATCCAGGACATTTACACTGAGTTTCAAGACTGTCTTTAAGAGGATCTTGCTCAGTTTAACACAATTGAGCCATTTGAAGCATTGGGATGGTTGGCCAATAGCAGTGACATCGCATGCTTGTAGCTTTTGGAGAGAACCTGAGAACGTGCAAGAAAGCCATGCAGAATAGTGGGAGAACACGCAAATGCCACGCAGGCACCCGAGTTGGGTCCTTCTTACTGCGAGGCACAAGTATTACTACTGTGCTACCTAATCCTAGCCATAGGAATGTGGACTTTCCACTCCTATCAACAGAGATGAATACTGCCCCACCCTATCCTGAACAAGCAAATTCATAACATCTCTAAATGTACCTACCTCTTCTCATCTCCGTCATGTTTATCTCACGTTCATCTCACTGTCAATCTTGTCGTCGTGAACATTCATTGCGTTGTCAATATACGGGTTTGTCTTTTTTTCATTGTTCAGTTTTGGCACGAGAAGCGTGTATATTAACAGATCAATCGAAGGCAAGGCAACTTAGTTGCCTCCGCATTCACGGGCTTATGCCGAACTACAGTTGCGATCGTTTACAACCGCACCCTTTGCACGTTGCTCCTTGTCAATAACACGCCCAGATCTGTCGTTCTAACCCCCCAGCTACGTGACCTTTGGGAACAACACCTGCACCTCGCTCCAGTTCACAATTTCTCTGCAATATCCAATTCGAGGCCCAGGACACAATCATAATACCAAGTGTGCAGGACAACAAAACTCGCTTGTTTATGTAGCCCACTTTGCATTTTTTATGCTTTCCAACTAAGACAGAAAGTGTGTATGCATTAAGTCTGTATTTCTATGCCTTGGTCTATCCGTTTGTAACAGAGGGGGCGGGGAGGGGGGCACGGCATGTTAATGCTCCTAAACATGATGCAATATGAAAACAAAGTTGCGTCGCTATTATGTTTAAGCCTATTTTGTTTGTTACACGGGTAAATTAAAATGTAGATCTGTAGCGCGTGAGCACAGCAACAACAAAAGAGAGACGAACACATCTGTGTCGTAGAGAACGAGTACAGGGTCCTCAATGAATATTGGACAACTAACAAGCGAGGGCTATAACGGTCGTAAACGGAACTCACACGAGTCACAAATAGTGCAAGTCTGAGGTGTGGACTCGAGTCATGTGACTTGGACTCGAGTCAGACTCGAGTCATGAATTTGATGACTTCAGACTCGACTTGGACTTGCATAACAATGACTTTGTCCCACCTCTGGTGCAAGTGTTATGTAAAAAGTGAGGTACAGGTGAATGTAAGAAAATCGAAAAATAGAGTGCAAACGTGGGAGCAGCAGGCGCCTGAGGAAGTTAGCTACAGGTGTAAGCATGCTTTATGTTTTGGTTTATTAGGAAAGTAACGATGGGGAGTGAAGGGAGAGGACCATGCTGTAGATGAGCGGGCAAGGGTTTTCCAGAAACCTGGAGCAGCAACGCACGAATACTTTTTTGCCAAACAAAGTTTGAGCGACTGTAATTCTTAATCGGACTAAGGAGGCACTTCTGAGATTACGGGAGGGAGTTATATGAACTTAATGGTCCTTTAGGTAATTGGACATTTTCTTTAAGAGGATCTTCATGATGAAGGCGTACCCTATAAGAAAGCCGACCAAAATGATCAAGGGTTGAAGACACCCTCACGAGCAGAGCCACCATTGGAGCCCTGTGGTCTCATATTCTTGGTTCTTCCGGTAAAGTCACGTAGAAGGGAAATAATAAAATAATACAAATAAAACAATAAAATAAAATTCTCACGAAATTTCGGCCACAACACAAGCAGCCGTCCTCAGGTGAAGAACAGAGCTGTGGTCTCCTGGCGACCTGTGGATGCCACGCTGCTGCCTGCACACCTGGTGTAAACACTCCCGTTAGCATCACTATAACAAAATAATGGCAATTATTCATTTTTAATATAGCACCCTGCGATGCACCGGGGCATCTCAGATAGCTTGACATCACATCTCATCGCAAAAATTTAAAAGGGCACCCCAATGTCAGCTGTCCCTGCGGGCACAATGTGACTCAGCACCTGGCCTGCCAGTCGGGTGCCGATGATTGCGATGTGTAATCCCAATTGAGTAATTTGTATGAAGCAACACACAAATACTTCTGTTACAATCGCTCATAAATAAACGCAAGTTGGAAAGCGTTCGAGAATCCGTGCAAATATAAATGATGGCAAATATTGTTCAATGTATGTTTCTTTAATGTTGCTTGGATAATGCGTGTACTGTATATATGAAGTTGATCTCTACGTGCAAACTTAGACGAAGTATAATTTGCAAAGGAGAACTGGGGTATATTTTGTGGCGCAAAATACCGCAGTGTAATTTGTTTAAACAAGAAAACAATGTGCCAATGTGTAGCAGATTCCATAACCAAAATACAAAGTTTGGAGCGAGAGAAAAAACACATGCGTTAAAATGTTGCTATTCATTATTACATCAAGTATTCAAGGTATTTTACAAATGTAGACACCATAAAAAAAATGTTACTCTATAAAGTATTTCTAAATAAATAATTGTGTCCAACTCTTTAAACAGCTGTGCGCAAATTGCTTAAATTTCTCTTCAGGAGCACACTGCGTAATACAGTATACACAGGGCCTTTCTGTAAAATATTAAATACACCATTGTCTGCTTCCGGCTTAATGACACTACGAAACTACGAAACTATATATTTTTTATTTTACCAGGTAAGGCCCACAGAGGCGACTTGGCTATCACAAATGATTGCCCAACGAAGTGGCTTGTCGTGCGGAAATTTCAAGCAGCCAAATAATCTAAGCGCACATTTATAAATCTGGAGGGAAAAACCGGAGGCCCCGGAGAAAAATCCACACAACCACGGGGAGAGCATGCCAACTCCAGATATACAGGCGTCAGGGTCGGGATCGAACCCACGAACTCCTGTATACCAGGCGAGGCATATAACATTTAGCAAAATTGTATGCTTTTGTTTATTTACATTTACAGCCCCTTGTCAAACCACTGTTGGCCGAAATCCTCCGCACACCATGTCAGTCATAGGGGTTGTTGACCATTCCTCACCTCGCTGATCGGTATCGGCGTGGCGAAGTCAAGATTGGTGGGGGGTGGCCGACAATGGCTTCAGACGCCACTCGCCAATGGTGACAGCCATCGCCAAAAACAACCGCAGGAGCAGTGAGGTTCACGTTGCATTGCGCTGACTCCTGCACAACCGTTAGTCCAACCTGAACTTAAACACCTGGTAAGATGTTTCTGTATAAAAAAAACAGTGTGAAAGGCCACCCCAATGAGTCATTAGTAACACAATGGAACATTAACTAAATTTTTTTTATTTTATTAATAATTTTATTGACTAAATAATGAAGAATGTCTACGTTCTGGACTCTAAACTGGATTTTCTTGTTCCCGCTTTGTACAGTGCACTGTTTCTAGCAATATGCATTGTATCAAGGGCACTTCCACTTGCCCCGCACCGTAAAAAAATCCCTTCAAAACAATGGCGTGGTCCACAAATGTTTTCCAAAGTCAAAGGACTGCTGTGAAGTACAATGTTGAGTGTTCTCCGATATTGGATGGAGGTGTGTTGTTTGGAAATTTGCTCGTGTTCCACCGACAATTGACACCATGCAGCTGTATTTGACTTGCACGAGCTTGATTTCTGTGTGCGTGGAGCGTTGGTGTGGCATCCCTTTCTTGTGTGTTTGTGCTCATCCTCTCTTTTTGTTTTCCAAGGAAAAGGATCGGGAGCTGGACATCCAAAACATTTACGCGAATCGTTTTCTCAAGGGCTCGTCGAAGAAAGATGATGATTCAGGCAAGCAAAGCTCCTTTGAAGTTTACAGTGGACCAGTTGTATTCCTTGTTTGGCACATAACCCATAGTCAGATAATAATGCAAAGCATGACCACCTACCAAAGAGATTACTAACCTTAATAGACCTTTGAAGATGCTCATTTGCCAAGTGCTTTTTCTGTGGCTCGGATTCTTGGCGAGCGAATATACGCGCTTGCAAATGTATCACCGAATTGAAATTGATCACCAGTGTCTTGAGAACACAAGTTCTACAGTGGGGCTCGTGTAAATGCGTGGCATGAGCCCTAAGTAAGATTGCAAGCGACGTTTTACAGTGAACGGTGTCTGGAATGAGACATCATCGTGTTGTGCAAAGAAGCATACGAACTGCCATTCAAGTGCACGTGTTACTAATTGCATTCACGATAAATTATAGGCTTTGACGTGGGCTCCTATTTTCATACGAAGGTTTGGGATTGTGGTTCCCACCTTTGGCGGCATGATTCCCAGTCATAGTGTAGCGACGTTAAGGGTGTCACCATGGTGGAAGCGCCAGGCACTCTGGGTGAACCCGGGAGGGCACGTGACTGGGACAGGGTAGTGAGGGGGGCACGAGGAGGGCTTGAGGGACACGTGACGCTCCGTCGAGATCCTTCGGGAAAGGTCTCGAAGGGTGCGGGGCCGAAGGCGGAGCGAGGCCACGCTCAGGAGCATAAAGGGGCAGTCCCCAGAGCATTCTCGGCTCGTCTCAGGAATCAACCCTTGGTGCTGCGTCTCGTCGTTTTCGGTCTTCGCTCGGCATCGTGGGTCAGGCAGCGTGTAGGCTGACTGACCCGTTCGTGTAGTTAACCCGTTACTCACTCACATAGTTAACTGTAGCTATCGCTTAGCAGTAGAAACAGTGTACTTTTAGTTAAGTTACCCTATTGGGGAGTTATTAAATAAACGTGTTGCCTCCAGCTCCAGTGTGTGCCTCCGCACAACACACTACAATAGCATTGCGAGTTCAAATCCCGTTGTGCCCACTATAACCCTCTGGGGTTGGCAAAGTTCACATCACTAGTTGCTACGTCCACCGTACGCAGAAGAGAGGTGTGGCAGGAGTCGTGGGTAGTAGAGGGCCCTGCAGCAAAATGCATTGTTGTTCCACACTCACCCCGCCACATTCACCTCCCAGCACCGACCAGCCTGGTGAAATATGGCCAAGCAACCCTCGCGGATTTCAAGGCGCGGGGAGGATAGCGATTCAAAATGTGAATGACGAGAAAAACCCAACACAATAGAAACATTAGTCTGGTGCCGAAAACAGAGTTAACAACCACAAAAATGCGCATTGCCATGTGCAGAGGCTCTCAGCCTTGCACATTATGTGCAATCACCAGTGAAGAAGAAACTGGTGGTGCACTCATTTACTGTTGTGATGGCTTTTCTCGTCACTTATAGATTTGAACTATTGTTGCCGTTAGGCAAGCGAATGGGTCCTCATAGTGTAAAGGAACAAGCCCTCTCCATATGCGAGGCTCCGAGATGCAGATGGCATCGTGGACGTTGATGACTGCGATACTGTGAGTCCAAACAAGGACGAAGCTGGCGTACAGTGGTGTCTTTGTGTGGCTGCTGCCTGTCAACTTTCCACAATGTCTCAATTTATTAATGGTAGGCTCAGACAAAATGACCACATTTCAGTTCCTCATCCATCAGTGGATTAACAAAAGCTGTTGTCCTACGTAGATACTAGCTCTGCCATAAGAATGTGTAATTTCTACTCATGGCTGAAGGCTGCCAATAGAGCACCAAGCTGCCACGTTTGTTATGATCTGTGCGTGTTTTATTTCGTTTGCATTTTCTCCACAGATCAAGCAAACAAAGCAGTGCAAACAGACAGCTACCTGGAGAGAGAGTGGCTCGAGCAACTGCGTAGAGAGAGGGAGAGGAGAGAGGAAGAGGAGAGGGCGACACGCGAGTTGGAGGAGAGGCGCGAGAGGGAGGCGAGGGAGCGGGAGGAGAACGCGAGACGAGAGACAGAGAGGAGAGAGCGGGAGGAGAGAGCACGCAAGGAGAGGAGGGAGAGGCAGCGGAGAGAGAGGCTGGAGAGGGCGAGACTTGCTCTCCTGCGCGTCGAGAGGGAGAGGGACCTCGCCCTGCAGAGGCAGCGCGAACGGCACGAGGAGGAGCAGCAAGCGCTGAGGCTCATCAAAGGTGCCTCCATTATTACAAAGTAAAGCGTTCAGCTAGTTTTTCTTTTATTTCACCAGGTAAGGCTCACTGAGCTGTATCGCTCTCTTTCATAAGCGATCTGGTCACAAATGCTCAACGAAGTGGCTTATGTGGAAATGTATAGCAGCCAAATACTCTAAATGCACGTTTCTAAATGTGGAGGGAAAAAACGGAGGACCCGGAGAAAATCCCACACGACCACGAGGAGAACACGCAAACTTCAAATATACAGCAGCATGCGTCAGGGTAGCGATCGGAACCAACGACCTCCTGTAGACCAGGTGAGGTAGTTAACATCTCGCCATTCCAGCAAATGCACATCAACTCTGTGTGAAATTGTTCCAGGTATATTCGATGATATTTTCTAAACTTCCCATTTATTTTATTTACCATCTCGTGTATTTTTTATTATATTATTTATTCTTAGTCAACTTGGTGTGGATGACATTCTACAACATGGAGCATGAACAGGGACATCGACAAAGATGGAACAAAAGCTGGAATTACAGATGGCACAAAAGCTGGAATTACACCGAGAGACGGAAAGCGAAATGCATGGATCAGAGAACATGTGTGAGTTAGAGATGTAGTTTTCACGTAAGAAGCGTGGAATGGAGCATGACACCCCACCGTTATGAGTGATGATGGACACTGGACAAGACTGGTGAGGGAACTGCAGCCAGAATAGCGATGACCATTGCTGCAACAAACACATTCCTGCGGAGGGAGCTGGTAGGAACGTTGGGTTGCTCGGTCAATGGCCAGGGTCAACGGCGGCATGGTGTATTCCGCAAACATGCCCGACTGTGAGGGTGGGCACAAGCCGGCGTGAGTAGGTTAAACGTTGAGTTTTATAAGGGCACCACGGGGTGACCAACCCCTCCCCACCCAGCCCCACCCTTCCCACCCCCACCAAGCCCCACCCTCCCCACCCAGCCCCTCCCCACCCTCTCCACCCAGCTCCTCCCCACCCTCCCCTCTCCACCCAGCCCCACCCCTCCCATGTTTGGATGCACGACGGACACAATAATCCCCTGTGGGCTGGTGGAACCAGGTGGTTCCTACCAGTATTAGATAGATTGTGGTATCACAGGACTGTAGGGGAGACAGTGCGAGGCCTTCATCCAGCAGTGGATGAAAAATGGTTGATGATAATGAATTGCATATATCTGATGTTGGTCTATTGTTCTGCATGCATTTTACGGACACGTGCCAGCGTTCCTTCTGGTTCTCCACTCATTCATTGATTCGCTGTCCTGCAAACCCGTGAATTTTATGACCATTATTATTACACAGCTCTAACTATAAACTCCATTTACGTTTTCTTTACCCAAGTATTATGTTCAGTAAATGGGGGTTACCTGTGAATGTCACCCAGCTGAATATTTGGTTGATATTAGTCTGTGATGTGTTCTTAAACGTGGCCCATGATGCGCACTGCGTGCATAATCCTGTTCAGAAATGATCTCCTTTACTATCATGGGAAAAAAAAATCGATTTTGTTATCATTTTTGTTGTATTTTTGTAATGTAATTCATAGCAAACTGGACTTAAAAATCCAGAGGTTTCCGATTCGATGAAATCTCCCGGCACAGCAGTATAAATGGATACACTGCAGTCGATCAGTAGATTGCATGTGGTGGGGTAAATTGTGGGACCATTCCTACGTCTTTCAAAACGTTTGGCCAGCGTGGAAGAGTAGGCAAAATACCCTCTATAAAGTTTTCTCCAGAACTCCCTCTGGTGGAGACCCTTCTGCCAGCGGTGGCGTGAACAAGCAATTGCAGGGCAGCACCTTTATTTAGTTGCATCTCAGATCTCCGTTTAACACGTAGGCTCAGATCTCCATTGAATATGGCTATGAACTGGTTCTAAAGAACGGTAATTTATTAATTTTATTTCATAGCTCTTTACCCATTTGTATGCAGCAGCGAAGTTAACCCATTCCCGTTCTGAGACGTCTGCAAGTTGCAGGGTGGGTGTCCTGTTCACTGCTGAATCTCTGAACGCGCAAGCGGCTTCGCATTCATTTTATTTAGAGAGGCAAAGCGCCGTTGTTTTTAAAGACATTGTACCCACTGCAGAAAACTGTAGCGACACGACCGCACCTGATGATAGCTGGCAGCAAACTGTGCCACACGCCCCGCCATATGGCCTTGTAGGAGCCTCGGTACCAATAAAGTTATTATTAAAGTGACTAGCTGTACTACCCGGCTTCGCCCGGGACTTGTATCTACCACGGCCGGCCGCCTTTGTCTCCCCAGTGGCGATGTTAATACGCTACAGTAGTTAAGTTACTCGTTTGAGGCAGAGTCGACCTAGGGGAGGTTCAAATAATCGTCACCGGTGGTGGCCGTGAGCGGGAATCCAACTGGGTTTGCCGGGTTGGTAGCGCAGCGTAGCGTTAAGCACTACACCCACCGCTCCTCACACACCACACACGCACAGACACACACACAGACACACACACAGACACACGCAGACACACACAGACAGAAACACACACACACAGACAGCACGCTAACCACTACACTACCGCTCCCCACACACCACACACGCACACACACAGACACACACACAGACACACACACACAGACACAGGCAGCACGCTAAGCACTACACTACCGTTCCCCCTACACAACACACGCGCGCGCGTCCATAGGTACACATACACGTGCTTGCTGCAGACACACACGACTTTCAGGGTGCATACGGCAGTAAACGACTGAAATAATAAAGCGGCAATGCTGTGTAAGGAACGCCTTAGACCCGCATTATACATTTGTGTAATGCGAGCGTAAACACACAAACACACACAAACACACACAAACACATACACAATACACACACACATACATGCAGACACACAGACAGACACATAACACACATACATACACACACATACAAACACAGAAACACATACACACACATACATAGACACACACATACATACACACAAACACATCCACAGACGTACATACACACATACATACAGGCACGCAGACATACACATAAACACATACAAAAAAACCCACATACATACACACACACATACATACACACAAACACATACACACACATACATACACACATGCATACAGACACACAGACATACACATAAACACATACACATGACCCGGCTTCGCCCGGGACTTGGATCTACCACGCCCAGCCGCCTTTGTCTCCCAAGTGCCGATGTTAATACGCCACACCAGTTACTCGTTTGAGGCTGAGTGGACCTAGGGGAGGTTCAAATAATCGTCACCGGTGGTGGCCGTGAGCGGGAATGGAACTGGGTTCGCCGGGTTGGTAGCGCAGCGTAGCGTTAAGCACTACACCCACCGCTCCTCACACACCACACACGCACAGACACACATACAGACACACGCAGACACACACAGACAGACACAGACAGACACACACACACACAGACACACAGACAGCACGCTAAGCACTACACTACCGCTCCCCACACACCACACACGCACACACACAGACACACACACAGACACACGCAGACACACACAGACAGACAGACAGACACACACACACACAGACACAGACAGCACGCTAAGCACTACACTACCGTTCCCCCTACACAACACACGCGCGCGCGTCCATAGGTACACATACACGCGCTTGCTGCAGACACACACGACTTTCAGGGTGCGTAAGGCAGTAAACGACTGAAATAATAAAGCGGCAATGCTGTGCGAGGAACGCCTTAGACCAGCAACACATTTGTGTAATGCGAGCGTAAACACACAAACACATACAAACACATACACACACATACATACACACACATACACACACATACATAGACACACACATACATAGACACACACATACATACACACAAACACATGCACACACGTACATACACACATACATAGAGACACGCAGACATACACATAAAGACATAAAAAAAACCCACATACATACACACACACATACACACAAACACATACATACACATACATACACACATACATAGAGACACACAGACATACACATAAACACAAACACACATACACATGACCCGGCTTCGCCCGGGACTTGGATCCACGATGCCCCGCCGCCTTTGTCTCCCCAGTGACGATGTTCACACACGACAGCAGTTACGCTTTTGAGGCTGAGTGGACCTAGGGGAGGGCCAGGTCCGTTTCAAATAATCGTCAGCGGTGGTGGGCGTGAGTTGGAATCGAACTGGGGTCGCTCAAGCAGCTTAATGACTGTTTGTACAAAGAACATATAAAGAATCGATTATAATAACCAGGCAAGAGTCCACATTATAGACTGCCAGTACACGCACTCAGCTTCATAAGCAGGCTAGAGTGTACATGATAGAGTGGCAGTACGCTCACCGAGCTTAATAAGCAGGCTACAGTGTACATGATAGACTGGCAGTACGCTCACCCAGCTTAATGAGTATTTGTACAGTGAACATTAAAGTAATCGATTGTTGGCGCGTTGGGTTTAAAAGTAATATTAATAGCACACATTGTGGTGGGGGTGTAGTGAAGAGTAGGAAAAACTTTGATGAATTTACCTCAGAGTGGCGTGGTGGGTGTCGAGGCCTAGTAGCGTGCAAAGCCTGCGGCCTCGCCTAAAATTGTCGGCTTGGAAAAGGCAGGGTACGGGTGGCGTTCCTTCCCCCCCCCCCCCCCCTAGCGCTCCAACAATACTGTGTAATGGCTATTATTTAATTAAATACGGAGCTTATGAAAGTGGCGAAGGCGTGGCTAGCCGTTGGCAGGGGCAACCGCCGTCCAATGAAACTGCAGCCCTTGGCGAAGGCGTGGCTAGCCGTTGCCAGGTCCAATGAATGCGGCGAAGGCGTGGCTAGCCATTGCCAGGGGCAACCGCCGTCCAATGAAAGTGCGTATGGGCCAAAGTCCACACACACAGACAGACAGACATGAACGATTTTATATATATAGATTCTGAAAAGGGTTAATAAACTCTTACATTTGTATTTGTCTCTGCAGAACGAGCAAGACAAGAAGCTGAAAGGAGGGCGCAGGAATTGGCGGCCAAGATGGCGGAGTCACTCAAGGTGCAGGACGGTCCACCAGCCACGTCGCAAAACGGCGACGCCCTCACGGACGACGGTGGCCCCAAGCAACGGCAGCGGCCCACCCAGGCGCGGCGCGTTTACCGCTTCACCGACCCCGTGGAGAACATGTACCGGGGACGGCCGGCCTACGGGATGGGCGGCGCCACCGCCGCCACCCGGCCGCCCGGGGCACGCAACGCCAGCGGTGGCGGCGGCACGGACGCGGCTTCCAACGCAGCCGCGTCGAGACCGCTGATAAACAGAGCCGTCGAGGAGGCGAGAGTCAAGGCCGAGCTCGCCGAACTGATCTTGGGACCGGCCGGCGATAAATCATCGCGCTCCGGATTGGTCAACGGCGGCGTCGGAGGTTGCAGTGCTGCATCCCGTCCAGCGCGGGTGGAAGAGTGTGCGGCGCACGGCTGCAGCAGGAGGTGGCACAGGGTACGGCGTGACGCGGTTGCGAGTGACGGGTCGGCCATGCAGCCCAAGCTACCACCGCAGGACATCAACGAGGATCCGCGATGACGTTGCCCGTGCACATGGACGTTAACTTTCATTGTTAGTTGTTCCGCAATGCCCTGACGGTTTGCACCGGGCATTATTCGGCAATGTCCGACGTTTTTCTCCACATGTCGAGAGCTTCTTTAGGAACGGAATTATCAGAATGTGGAGTGAAGCATCGGACATCATGCCGAATAAAACGTGGTAAAACCCGAAGATGCATTAGAGAGCTATAAAGCGCAAACTGTGAACTTTGAATGTTGAACAGTATTTCTCACACATCGTTTTGATGGTTGCTGTTTTAAAACGGATTTTTTTCTCGAGTAAATTTTTGTTCTCAATGGTAGTGCCAATCAGCGAGTAGATTAAACTTGGATTTGTTTTACTTGATAGACGTCCAACACATACCCCAACGCTAGGTGTGAATGAATTGTGTTGACCCTGTAGTGGTGAGCTTGACCCTGAGCATCAACGCACACTGTTTGAACCAGGTGGTTTTTTTCTGTACTTTTATCAAGTACTATCCTCTCAGATAGGCAAAACCTAACAGTGTGCATGCATATTGTAGCTTTTTTCATGCGGAATACAGGAAAAACAAATACGTGAACTTTCCTTGCAATGCACGTCCCATTAGAACACTTTGTAAGCAAATCAGCTTCGTTTTTACTCGTGTATGTACAAGATACACATGTGTATCAAAGGTGCTGGTATTCTCTGATGTAAGGATTATTGATCATTTTATCTAAACCCGCAGGAAACGTGAAACATTCCATAAGCTTTGATCAAGGCAAATCTAGGTGTAAATTCAGTGGCTACCACATTCACGATTGCATTATTCATTTATTAATACAATTTCTGCATTGGCTTACCTTCGAGTCATCTGCTTCGATGTTGAAATTGGCGCACCATCAACACATGAACATTGACATAACAACAGATGCTAATGCGTACATTATACAAGATCATCAACGAGGCTGGATTGCAGCTGTGGATCGCATCAATGTAGATTCTCAGATTCTCACCACAGTATCACTAAATGGACAATCCAAACCTCAGTGCGCCAGCTCTTCCTTGTATATCCAATTGGGTATTTTATAATAATTTAAATGGATAATCCCTGAGCTGGAGCATCTCATTTGCAATGTTGGAATTCTGAATTTGGTGCATCATGTGTTGTAGATTGAGATGGGAATGCAAGGGCTCAAGCGTAGCCATCGAACAAAGACGGTTTACCGCATCGCGCAGCGCTTTCAGATGCGCTTCTGCGGCCGTCTGGAACGCTCTACCGATATTAGGAAGCCACTGGAGCTATGCACTTTTAAATATATATTGAAAACTCTTTTATAACTGATTGTCGTGTTTAGTGTGTTGTCCTTCCGCACCTCCGATTAGCACGGTTGGCTACGTACGGTGTATACAGAATCAGAAGGGTTGGACTATTTATCCACGCCATGCTAACTACTGCTTACCGTGCACAGTGCCACAACATTTCATTGGCTATTTATACTGAGAAATAAAATGTATTTTTTACATGTATACAAACCACCACTACATGTATTTTTGTAATGTTCGACTAAGTCTTTTAAAAAAATTAGAGAATAGGATACTGCCAGTACAACACAAACTACAACGTTTAAGAAAAATATACATAACTCAGTGGTGAATTCCATTCTTATCTTTATAAACCAAAACATAATGAGATATTTTACTAATTTATTGACACTGCAGTGTTAGAGACTGAAACTGTTACAATACACGTGTGATTGGGCAAAGTAAAATGCACTAGGGTACATCAATATTTAATTTTCTGTCAATTTTGCTCCCTGTTGACACGAGGCAGATGGCTTTTAGACACCGGCCTGGAGAGGTGCCGTGTTGATCCAAGCCACGTGCTTTCAAGGTGCTAGGTTATATATTCGGGCTCAAAATGCGCTGTCGCCTTATTGTGAAGACTGGGTACTTCTAAAGTAAATAAAGTTTGTACCACCAGTTTAATTCTGCAAGGGTGCCTCACCAAGAAATCACACCGTCAGCTTCATAGCGGATGTTACAGATACCATGCCATTCGAAAGCGAGGAGGCCACGTGTGCCAGGTTCACAGTTCAAATCTGCCAGATTTTAAAATCTACCCACAAATTACTTAATTAGGTAAAACCCATATGGCAATATCGCCCCCTACTGGCAGACTCTACCCATCTGTGAAACATATCACCTTCATAATAGCCCCCATGATATGAGAATGGCGTGATTACCAAGTGTACTAATTTGTAAATGTTCTTAAATTAGTTTCAATACCATGGGGAATGCTGTGGGAGTACTTTGGATTTTTTTATTGTACTATCAGTTAAATCTATAATCCATGGGAATTCGGAATAAACAACTAAGCAGCACTGTGTTATAGGAGGATATGGCAGGAAAAGCCCTATTCAATTAAAGTATTGCATCATTCTAACGTTGAGTCGTGAAGTACGTAAAGGTCTTCTTATTTGGTTCTTTTGGTAAAGTCACGTAGATAGAAACAAAAAAGTGTACTGGCAGTCTATAATGTAGACTGTAGCCAGGTTATTAACCTCGGTGAGCATATTGGTAGTCTATAATATAGACTGTAGCCAGGTTATTAACCTGACTGAGCGTACTGGCAGTCTATAATGTAGACTGTAGCCTGGTTCTTAACCTGAGTGAGCGTACTGGCAGTCTATAATGTAGACTTATTCTTGTTTATTTCAGTAAAAAAAACACGACGTTTCGATCGCAACACAAACGGTCGTCATCAGGAAAAGGGAGGTTAGCCTCTAAAGGCAAACTGTTTATAAAGGTTTAGAGATGGGCGTAGCCCAAGGGTGTCAGCAGCATGGGCGGGGCAGCTAATGTTAATGTAGAGAAAACAACGACACTGGCAGTGGGTCTACACCAATCAAAGGGCTGCCAGGCAATAATTGTACCTCGCTCCACACACCCACACTGCTGACGGTGAAAGTTGACACGAAAACACAAATCAAGTAATGACCCAAAGTGATTGATGACAGCTTTCCAATGATTGCTGAGTTTATAACCATCTTCTCGGTTGAAATTGTGTCTGTGTTTGTAAAAAGGATGGCTTCATGAACAAATCTTTGCTAATAACCAGTAGGCTTACAAAGTACCATTGTCTTAGATAAATCTATTTCGTGTGAGTCAGCCGGATTAAAATAATGATCAGCTACGGCAGAAGTATTGTTCCTACCGTGTTTCAAATCTTCCTCGTGTTCACGAACACGGTCCAAGACATGTCGTTTAGTTTCCCCAATGTAACTGCTGCTGCAGATACAGCTTAGTTTGTAGACGCCGGGGTATTGTATGTCAGGAATCTTGTCCTTCACAGATGGGATCGGATCACAAATATCATGTACGCCCCTTTTCCTACCGCTTGTGTTGTGATCGAAACATCGTGGGGTTTTTTTTACTGAAAGAACCAAGAATAAGTATACATTATAGACTGCCAATACGCTCACTCAGGTTAAGAACCAGGATACAGTCTACATTATAGACTGCCAGTACGCTCACTCAGTTTCATAACCATTGCTACAGTCTACATTATAGACTGCCAGTACACTCACCGAGGTTAAAAACCAGGCTACAGTCTACATTAGTGTTTTTTTTTTCTTTTTTTATTATATTTATTCACTTTATTTTTGTTATGTCTCTATCTACGTGACTTTACCGAAAGAACCAAGGACTATGAATCCCTGCAGTCACGAAAGATTGAAGTCAAAATTTACGTAAGGTCTACCAAGAGGCCTGTCTCATTTAATTCTCAAGTTTAGGTGTTTTTGTTGAACCAGGTGAGAACCCCGGAGACCAAGATTGTCTCATTTGCAAGAGTGACCTCACCTGACCATATCAATAAAAAAAAATCTATTTTTGTTCAAGGGCAGTACATACTGACAAACACGTGTCATTCCATTTACGAATTTTACAAGAACTGAAAATATGTTTGGGGTCATGTAACCATTCTGAAAAAATGCATTCTAATGGTTACACAGTCACACAATTAACCAATTCACTTTAACCCCAGTGTTTGAAAAACAATTTCCAAATCTGTGAACACTGTAAATGTTATCTCGCAGATTCTGCAATGAACACGTTTTGGCGCACGGACACAATGTTGAAAGGTACAGTGTACGCGACGTGGAAACGTGAACGCGTACAGGAAAACCGCGTCTCGTTTGAGTGATTTAATCAGTTTTAGTTGGACACCTTCCTTAAACAAGCATTCTGTTGCTCGTGGTTACTAACCCGAGTCGCTCTGCGCCGATTGGCGCCCGTCAGCAATTCAAACGCAAACGACCCCGAGTGACCAATCGCATGCAAGGCCACCAAATGAAACGGACACTGACGCTCACACGCAAAGGGGAAGTGCGCTGGAAACACGCTTATTTAATTATACTCTTAGGTTTTTTCGGTAAAGTCACGTAAAAATAATGGAAAAAATATAGGCATTTATTATTTAATAATCTGTGCCCATTTGAAAATGTGCACGGCAGTGGTTTCATTAAGAATGTGTAAATTGTGTTTGTGGGGGGGGGGGGGAAGTGTCTTTCCGCTTGGTTTTTGGCCACGATTAAAACCAACGTGTTCGTGTGTTTCTTCTTATTCTCTGTGGTCGTTCCATTTGCTCGTGACTCGCAGCACTGATAACGCCCCACCCCGCCCATCAAGGACCCTCACCATGGGATTGCCAATAACAACACCACCACCACGCGCAAGCTGGAAGCGTGGCCCCACACATGCCCTCTTTGCTGCCGTCAACGGCAAAATGATGAAGGGCTTTGAGACCCACAGCCCCAACTATTGAGGCTGGGAAGTGAGCAACACAAACTCGTACAACTGGAGTCAGTTTAAAAAAATTTTTATTATGTTTTATTTTAATTTAATTTTTATTTTATTATGTTTTATTCTCGTACAACTGGAGTCAGTTTTAAAAAAAATTATTATGTTTTATTTTAATTTAATTTTTATTTTATTATGTTTTATTTTATTATTTCCCTTCTACGTGACTTTCCTGAAAGAACCAAGAAGATGGAGTCCGTTTCTACGTCGGTGGTAGATTTATTTTCTTCAGCTGTGTGTGTTTTTTTTTACTTAAAAAAATAAATGTTGGTATGGTATTTATTTTGTACTGTACAGTATTAATAAAAACGACATTAACTAAAGTTAGAACTTGTTTTTGAGGTTTTTTTTTTTAATTTAGACATAGCACTGTTACAACTTCGACCTGCTAGGGTTATGAGACAAGCATTAATTGTAATTGAGTGTATACTCTTAGTAATGTAATTGAGTGTGCCATGTTAACGATGACTACATTTAAAACGGAATGATCGAATCTGAAAAAAAATATTCCATCACTCTCTGCGCAGCTATTAGCGTGTTAAAATGTTCGTCCATTTTTGTTGATCGACTACTGGTTAAAGGCTTCCCCATGCCACATGGGTCACGGGGGTTATTTGACCATATTTCACCATTATGGTCAATGTGGGTTGCTGATATAGGATAAGCAGCAAAGGAACAGTTGAGATCTCCACCAATTTTAGCCAAGCGCATAACGCAGTGGCGCTAACCACTGAAACATGCTGCATCCGCACCGACTGTAGAACAATCACGTACATTTTGACTTAACACTTTTGTGACTGCAGGAATTCATATTCTTGGTTGTTTCGGTAAAGTCACGTAGATAGAAAATAAAAGATAAAATTAAATCAAAAGTACAATTTTTGATTAAACATTTTCTTTTTTATTTTCTATCTCCGTGACTTTACCAAAAGAACCAAGAATATGAACAATCAAATGTTTATAAATACAATGTACTGTTTGCAAACAGCCTAAATAGTGTTATCTCGGGCATCTCGTTATTGCACATAGCTACTACACGTGTTATAAGATATCAACGACAAGCCCTTGACCGCTATATGCTGCTACACCCATGTGGTAATCAGAGATATGGGTCAGCGGAGTTAACTTAAGGACAGGCTGTTGCCTCCGTGAGCAACATTGAATATCCAACCCCAGCAGTGTGTTCATTCACACAGTTGTCCTCAGGCGATGAGGCACGTCCAATTGTATAGACCCTGTATATATACAGACAATAATTGACGTTTTGAAAGTGCCTTTTACCCGGAGGTCACAAGGCACTGTCCACAACACACACCTGTGGAGGCTCACACCAATCAAATCTAAACCCCCCCCCCCCAAAAAAAAACTATGGATTCAAGAAGTAAAAAAATCGTTCAAAATAAGTTGCGTCTTAAGGCGCGATTTGAATGAAGCGAGGGGGGAGTCAGCAGAGCGAACGTCCAGTGGACGTGAATTCCACATTCTGGGGGCCACACGAGAAAAGGCCCGATGGTCACCAACCCTCATCGTAGAGAGATGTGACCACGGCATACAAACACAACACACTACAGGCTAGACTCGGAAGACCGAAGCACACTTGTTGGAACATGGGCGAAGGAGGTTCCTGTATATACGAGGTAGCAGCATCATTGAGGGCCTTGGAGCGGCAGCCAATTGAGATGCCAGCACAGGGTACCATGTCTAGCAGCAGGCGTGCTGCACGTCAGCATTCTGGCAGCCGCATCTTGCACGTGTTGTAGGCGACTTGACAGCGTATGGGGGGGTATGCCAGCAAACCAGTGAGTTACAAGAGCCAACGAGAGAAAATAAATGCAGGAAGCAGCTTCTCAGTGTACGATAGTGAAAGGACGGGGGCGCAGCCTGGCTATGTTTCTTAAGATGATAAAAGGAATCCTTAGTGGTCTTGTTAATGTGCGCTTCAAAGGCTAATGAGGCATAAAGGACAACGCCAAGACTGCAAACCAACTGAGCAGCACCAATATTGTGGGCATCGGTTGTCAGGCAGACCGAAGCAGCCTTCGAAAGTTGAAGTGGGACCCAACAAGCTTCACCTCTGTCGTATCAAAATTCAACTGAAGAAAATTGGATTGCATTCAAGCTTTGATATCAGCATATGCTTGAAGGGAAATTTTTATAACACGGACATATGCAAATGAGATTGGAAGGTAAACCAATGCAGACTTTGATTTTATAAATAACTAGCGGGAAGTACCCAGCGTTGCCCGGGCCAAATTTTTTTTTCAAAACTACTCTTAAAAATCTAACAGCAGTGCGTACTGTGGTGGTACCTGCTATGATTACAGCAGTGCATACTGTGATGTTACCTGCTTTCACTGCAGCAGTGCATACTGTGGTGGTACCTGCTATGATTACAGCAGTGCATACTGACTGTGGTGGTACCTGCTATGATTACAGCAGTGCATACCGACTGGTGGTACCTGCTATCACTACAGTAGTACATGCTGACTATAGCAGTATTCATCGACTCTATAGCACAAAGTACTCACCTGACAGAATGGCGTGGTGAGGCCTAGTTCCGTATAGAGCCTCCGGCCTCGCCTAGATTGTCCAGGCGGCCGAGGTGGCACCTTTGTAGGCTGGGGCTGGGCTGCTACCCCTGACCCCCCCCCCCCCAAGCCACGATCTCCGCGGCCGCTCTACAGAAATCTACGACCTATATTGGTAGCGTATACCGACTGTATAGTAGTAACTGCACACAGTGAAGAATTTACCTCAGCGTTTACTGTATTTTTATAGAATTTTTTACGCGAAAGAAAATGTCCCCCTCACTCCCACCGAAGGCGTGCGACTTGGCATGGGCCGTCCCCGCCACCAAAGGCACGTTAGTTGGTATGGCCGTGCACGCGTCATAAATACATAAACAGAAAGCACACAAAAATCGCACTAAATCGCTAATTAAACGAATTTAAAGTTGACGGATGTGAAAAAGGAATAGCGCTTGCTCATCGCGGGGCTTACGGCGTGGTACCTGGGAATTTTTTTTTACGTAAACCCCGTTGGAGAGCCAAATCCTTCGCAAGCGTGCGAACACACAAACCCACACACAAACAAAAATTTCGACTTTTTTCTATAGAATATTGAGCATGGTCTCCAGGGACTTCACACGTCTATGCCAACATCGATCAAAAAGCTTCTTGTGAAGTGCTTCATGTCTCGTGTGAAAATCGTACAAAACTAGTGTCTTCAGAATAAGGTGAGTGGACATCATGTGTTCCATAATAAAGGTTTTTGGGTTAGATCGCATAAGTATAAATGTGTCATAACCCTCCACCACCCGACACAGACAATTAGTAAGGGATTTGTCACGTAACCAACAGCCAATTAGTTACTAATTCAGCCCACCAGTGTGTTGGAGAGTAAATCCACATTTACAATTTGAGTACCATGACGTTTCTCAGGTAATTATTTTATCTTTATATGTGACTTTACCGAAATAACCAAAGTGTGTTGGAGATTTGCCAGAATAGTGAAGCTACCCACCTGCTTCTGGTCTCAAATAGAGCAGCAGGACACAACGTCATCACTGAACCCATCAGGTGCAGAAATCAGAGGCGAGGGGGGATTGATGAGTAATAATTTAATTAGTTTGTGTTTCCTCTATTTGCAATGTAAGATATCTTCTTCCATGCGTTTGTCCCACTCGTGTGGGGTGTTCCGCGTCCTTGCCACCTTCTCCACACCACCCCGTTCCACGCCAGCTCTCCCTCCGCTCCTCGCGCCACCACGTCCGATCGCACCACATCGCCCCACCTCTTCTTCTGCCTTCCTCTTCATCTCATCTTACAATTACTCAATAATACGCTTATAGGCCGCACTAAGCCTGTAGCTGTCAGAGCGGTTACAATTATTTGTATTTCTCTCAATTTCAATGGATTATCGAATTACATCACTTCAACGTTATCAAACAAATTGAGTGTCCTTGTTGGCAAGCATGTTCTGTAACTGACGACAGTTGTGTTTTAGAGTATTTAATATTTATTTGGTGTTCTTTTAGTCTTACGCCAATGTTTACTTACCGTCTGTTCACTAATTTGACTGGTTTTCACACTCGATATCTAGCACTGCACAACAGACGGTTTGTAACATTAGCGTGAGACTAAAAGGAAACATACTAATTACATCACTAATTATATTACAATAACCCCCCCTTCTGCACCTGATGGGTTCAGTGATGACGTCGTCCTGCTGCTCTATTAAGACCGGACGCAGGTGGATGGCTTCACTATTCTGTAAATCACCCGATCATGCTGGATGTAACTACCAGCGAAACGTCGTACTCAAACTGTAAATGTTGTGGATTTACTCTACAACACACCGGTGGGCTGAAGTAGTAACTAATTGGCGTTTTGTTGATGTGACAAATCCCTTACTAATTGGCTGTCGGGTTATGTGTTAAACTGATCATGTGTTCAGTGACATCGGCTCACCTCCAATTAGCAGGGTTGGGGCTACATACCGTGCGAAAGAAGTTCAAAATATGGCGTTTAATGGGGGAACCCCTAAACATTGCCCTCCTGAAGCTTCACATATTGCAGTGTGAAGAACAATGCTGGCTTAATATTAGCTGAGTATCCTGATGTTAGCCGTGGCTGGGAATGGAACTCGGGTCACTAAGTTTGTAGTTTAGTACACTAACCACGATGCTATCACTCTTCCTTTCAAATTAAGAGTAACGGTTATAATTAACAGTGTGCGTACATTGGCACTTAACAGGACCTCTTAACATGTAATGAGTGGTAAATTATCACACTTTGATCATTCAAAAGGAGTCACCAAACCTGTATTTTTGACGCACATTTATTTTTGATGCAAAGATTTTGTTCACGGCTGATTACTCGCTTACATAATAAATAGTCCAACATGACCTGGGTATTATATATACATCGATCAAGGTCTGCACGTTTAAAAAAACAAAGGGTAACAAAATCAAGTAAACAGCAATACTTAGTCGCAAAGAAGCGAGTCTGCCAGACGTGCGAGTCGCTGTTAAAGGTTTTACTGCGTCCGCCAAAAAAAAGCCGTCGCACAATTAGAGCGACCCGCTGGAGGTAAGGCTGGGCAGGCGGAGCTGTGCCTCGAAGCGCCCTAAGTTGATATAGGAGAGTTTCAGTGATGCAGTCTCAGGTGAACGGCTGGAAGAGTAAGCCTGCAATCTTGTTGCAGACCAGCAGCCAGCACGTGATGCCTATGCCTCCTGCAAGTGGGGACGAAAGATGACAGTGTCAGCTGAACAGATGTCCCTCACTCCTTCACAGTTTCACTCGCTGTACCTTTGTAAAATAAATTGAACACAAACAAATAAGTGTGCAAAGAAGTATGCAGATGCCTGCTTGGAATTGTATCGACAGACATGAAGAGCAACACGTGGATCAGGCAACATGCGCAGGGAAAACAAATAAAAGAAAAAGTAAGTGGGCTTGGACAGGACATGTTGCTAGCAGGCATGATGGCCAATGGACAAGAAAAGTGACAGTGGCAGCCAAGGAATGAAACATATCCGAAAGGATATCCAAGGAGAAGATGGTGTGATGAAATCGGCCTGTGCGCAGGTGCCGGGTGGATTATTACATCACTGGATCGAGAGAGATGACGGCGATTTGGAGAGGCCTTCATCCCGCAATGGATTGACAATAGATAATGATGAATTAACTGTCGAAATTACTATGTCAGTGTGTGACTTTAACCTAAGATTCTGGGCACTGTGTTCATGGCAAGCACACTTACGACTCAGGCTGTGAAGCCAACCATGGCTTGTCAAGTTAACTCATATACTATTGTTGGCGCACTTGAAGACATACACTCTGCAAACAGCAGTTATGATGCGTAACGGTTCACACAAGACGCTCTGACCTGGGACACCTGTGGGAAAAGCCACGAGCTTTTCTAGAGGTGAGACCCACTTGGATGGGAGCATTGCCACCGGTGTAGAGTAGTAGTTCCATATCAGAGTGATCATCACCACTGCCTGTCATTGCCAAACACAACATGCACCGGTAATACTCAAAACATGGAACACACATGAAGATGTTTACGAAGTCCCTCAGGAACCATGTAGACCACTGTATTACTTATTTATGCATGAATGAACTTAGATTAATGAACCTTTAACTCACTACGTAACATCACTCGTGTCGGGATGCAAAGCGAATTACACAATTTCGCATTAAAATAATGATGGTGTGACTGCACACTCACCTGCAGAGTGTAGAAGGAGATGTTTATAACCCACTTCATAGTTGTCAGCTGGGTTGTTCGTGCCTGAACTGTGAACACCAAAAACATAATGTTCAACGGTGGGCCAAAGGGGGTTCTCAATGTAAACCCCACATACAAATAATAAACGGGAATGAATGGATGTTCGCGTGTGTGTAGTGTGGGAACAACACTTAAGTGGTTCGTTCTCCTTTCACACTGCTCAAAAGCATTAATGTGGCAAATGGACAATATGCAATGCTGCTAAACACAAAGGCAACTCCATGAGGACGATTGTCCTGCACAAACGTAATAACTTAAGCACTGTGCATAAAAGCAGAATAAACCCAAAAACAAATCCAACATAATTGTTTTTGGGTTAGGCCATGTGGTAGTTTTAGATCAAAGTTATTGTAAATAACCCTGCACCATCCGACAAGATTGTCACGTTGGCATGAAAGTATCACGTGACCTAAGCAAAAAAAGACACATGGACCATTGTACTGGATTAAAAAATATACGTTTTAAGTTAAACTCAAATGCAGTTACTATCAAACACCTCATCAACTTGAGTAACACTCGGTCTTAAGTGGACCTGGCTGATTCTCACAATTCCTAAAGTGGAATCCCGATTGAATAATTATCATTGAATACAATTCCTAATAAGATCGTGGGAATGGTGGATCTTGACCTCTCCTATTACGTCGATGTTGTCCTTTCCATGTTGTTTTTATGCTAAAAAAACTTTTCCCCCCTCCGATTAAAAAAAATAGTCCCACTACAAACACCACGGAGAGTTGTATAATAGTGCAGATAGGTTAAAAGTGAATATACTGAAAAGTAGATTTAAGATTGCTGTTGGTTTAGCGTTGACCCTGGACTTCTCGCTTTTCTATTTTATTCTTTGTTATTTTATTTGAGAATAAACATTGCTTTTTAATATTTACATTGCTCTTTTTTTTTGTGAACAGTTAACACGAAAAAAACATTGAACATCAGAAAAACATTAAGTTATAATTCCGATATTTTAGTGTACATTGTTTTCATGAAAAAACGAGTGTTTGATATATACATTTTATTTAATTTTGATGTCACTCTTTAGGAATTGGCCATGCATTTGAATGGAAATTCCTGGACTTACGATTTCAATGAACGGGGATCCTACTGGATGATTCTTAGGCGCCCAAGGAATCCCCATTCAGTTGGAGACACATATGAACCTGATGGCGGTACCCCGGGGTCCCATAGTACCCCGGCTCTTGCATAATGTCCGTGATGCAGTCATTTTTAGTCTGTCTATGGTCGGCGATTGCGGCAATCGACTTATCTCGATCTCGATGAGCTGTACACAATCAACTATGGTGCATACGAGCGTTCAGGGTTTCAGTGCAATCGTCCTCGCTGCGTTTCGACATCGTGGAGTAGCACTGATTTCGGATTGATTGCTACAAGTCGCGGCGTTAAGTGCACCCCTGGAAAAAATAGTGTCCCAGAAATAAAATATTTAATTGCCTCGGCCATTTTGTATTATTTGGTAGCCCGGGGTACCGCCATAAGGATCATATATCAACCATTTAAATTAATATGGTTATACACTGCGTGATTCCTCAGCTCTCAAAGAATGTCATTCATTTCAATGGCAATTCCTGTGTCTCCAAGTAAGGGCAATTATATTGAACATTTCCTTCCATGGCATATTTTCCCCATTAGAACTCCATTCCAGTGAATGGACATTTTAACCTGGGAATAATCCAGAGGAATCGCAATCCCTGCAAGGAATTGTAATGGAATTATTGTAAAGTTAAATATGCAGCCCTGCAATTGCTTGCTGCTGGCATAATAGCCTTCATTAGATCGTGGAATTTGGATACAATTTTACAGGAATGGCCCAACACTAGTCTGAAGATATATGAATAAAGTCAAACATCGCATGTAAATGGTCCGATTGACAATATTTGATCATTAAAGTAGTATTATTTTTGTTGCTTTCATCTTAAAACGTCTCTAGTGCTAACTGGGGCGAGTTCCCTTTTTCCTGCGGCCTCCAATCTCGCTGCTGGCAGTGGTGTGAAAGGCGGAACGCACGCGAGGTCTTCAGCTCGTCGCTGGCTTTGTTGATGCGCCGCTCCAAGCGGGCGTAGCGTGCAAACTCGTCCATGACGCTGATGGTGGCAAGCTCCCGCCGCATCTTCCGCAGTTCCTCCCTCAGCTCCAGCTCCCGTCCGGAGTCCGGCTGTGTCAGCCGCACCACCTCCACCATTCACGCAAAAACATGGGAAGGGAACAAGTGCAATTGCTAAGATACACAATTGTCTGCCACTGCAGAGATCGTGGGTTTGAATCCAGGAAAGCTGCCTGTGCTTAAACTGGGTTCTCAAATTCAGCAAGTTGACAGTTCCAGCTTGGTCAGCAATAACTGCACAAAAAGTATATTCTGCACTTCATTTGGTTAAATTCCAGCTCTGAGAAATAAAATATTATTTTTACTCAATGAACATTGCCCTCATGTGGCAGAGCGGGTGGAAAAGTGCTGCCCTGTATTGTGTGGACCAGGTAACTGGAAGGAATCTCAGAGGTTGCTCTGATGTATGCTTCTGTGGGCCATTCTCTAGCATGTGTGATCCAAATGGATACTTTGGTCTCATAACATGACACCAATAGCACAATTGGGATACAATTGAGGAACACCTACAAATTAACTGTTTGCACACCAGTTTATGGCAATGTTAATGCTCCTGGGGAGCATGTGTACTATGTTAACAAAAATACTGAGTCTCACCAACGTCCAGTGCTCAAAGCAACCTCTAAAGAACCACGTTACACATCCACCAGGTTCATTTCACATTTTTGTATCAGCAAAATGATGAATTTAAGATTTTGAAGTGAACAGAAATCCATTTTTTATTAAACGAATATACATACTTGCACATGATGTACTGTGTTTATGCATATGTACAAAGGGTATAACAATAATTAGTTTCAGTCCACTGCTGGATAAAGGCCTCCCTGCATTTTTTTTAATCAAGGGAGTTGAATGATGGTACTGCACCACACTGCTCGGTGTATGATGAAGGGGGAACACAGGGCCTGGAGAGATAATTAAACTAAACTATTTAAACTTTTAATCTTGATTTTAAGCTTTTGTGACTGCAGGAATCCATACTTATTGGTTCTTTCGGTAAAGTCACGTAGGTAGAAATAAAATAATACAAATCACGACGTTTCGATCGCAACACAAGCAATCTTAATCAGGTGGAACCACAGCAAGAAAATTCTGAAGTAGGTGAGAGCTGCCGTGGCAAGAGGTTATATAGGTATTTAAACTTTTTTTATTTGACCAGGTAAGGCTCACTGAGCTATATAGCTCATTTTCAGGAGACCTGGCCTCAAATGATAGCCCAATGAAGTGGCTTATCGTGTGGAAATTCATATCAGCCAAAAACTCGAATCGCATATTTCTAAATATATCTTTCTGATCTCAGCTGCAGCCAATAATCAAATACAGGTCACTGGGTTCATGATGCAATGTGCTTACCACTGTGCCACTCTTCCACCCCATCTAAGGGTAAGAATACTATCTAATTCATAGTGCAATAATGTGTATACATTTTGGAAAACCATGATTGAATCTTTCATTTAGATTCTCACATCGAAACCTCATGGATGGGCTCATGAAGAAACTCACATTTTGTGAGTCTCTTCATATCCTGGGTGTTGACTCGGCCCATCATTTCTCTGGGGTAGATACAATAGGTACCATCTTGTTTGGAATTCAACAGTGGTTGTCCTTCAGATATACAAGCCCCCACCATCGGCATGTGAGAGTTCCACAACAGGCGTAGGACTACAAACAGGAGATGAGCTTATTTAAGGACATCACGAGCACATCTTAGTATGGTGTTGTTAACAGTGGTGGGGTGGTTAGTGCACTGAAAGTTCTATATTGCTAAAGGACCACTGCTGACTTCCTGCACAAGACCACATTGACGTCTCCCACACACCGCTGGATGTTTTATGCACGACACACAACACTTCACGATAATCTTCTTAATTTCTACTGCTGGACGAATGCCTCCCTTGGTTGTTTTTGACCATACTTCACCACGACTACTCAACCTGAAGCACACTTTGTAAACACACACCCAGGCCGTGGTAACAGATGTCCGCCGACGTCCTTAAGCTCGGTGTTTGTACGAAAACAATACTTTAAAGTTTACGATATCTCCACCACGTCACTTCGTCAAATCGTCTACGTGACGACGTCATTGCACCACGAGTGACTTTAGACGCTTTCATGTCGTTATCCAAGCCTCAAACTTACGTCTCCACACAGCTCGAACCACGCAACCGGAGCACCCCTCAGCACGGCGAGAGATAAACAATGCGTTGGGTTTCCCCCCTCTTAGATCAGACTGCACGGTGGGGACGTGACATTGCGTTAGTGCGCAGTCTTAAGGTGCCCGTGGCGCGAACAAAAGGGGGACTTTTTTTTAAAGGAGAGACAACGACGACGGGTCCCTCTCACCAGCAGCGCGAACGCGGGCAGCAGCAGCCTGCACAGGTTACACAGGAAGACGACGAACAGCACCACTGCCCAACCGCACGCGTGCTCCGCCATCGCCCTCGCCGCCTTCCACGCCTCAACACGACCACAACATGGGCGCCAATGGGGCTCTGGATACCGTACAGCGCATAGGCACGCGGCGCGGCACGTTCGCTTCGCCCCCCCCCCCCCCATTCGCGCCAACAACCAATCGGGTGCGAGAACGGCGTTCGTCTCGAGCCGGCGCCAGCCAATTAGAAACGTGCATCTAAATGCAAAGGGCCCGTCTGGCTTATGCGGTGTGGGAATTGCAATAGCGTTGTGGGTTATGGTTGCAACCATCGTTGAACCATTGCAGAGGGGGAGGGGGGTGGGTGCGGTCAAAGTTCTCCTTTTGAGGGCATGGGGATTTTTGGTCGTTCGTTTTTTTGCGCGCGATTTTAAAACGCGACGTTCCTTTAACAACAACAACAACTTGTTTTCCCACCTCAACGGAATTCAACTTGTTTTTGTGTAAAAGTCTTCGCTCGACAGAAGTGGGCGTGACCGCGATGACGTCACCGCGCACACGCCCACCCGGCCGCGTCCAATGGCTGTGGGGGCGGGGTCGCTCCAACAACTACGAGGGGAGGGAGGGGGGGTGTTGCGTGTGCACGGGGCGCGCGCGCCGCTCGTCGCTCATTGGCCAAATCGAATTCAAACCATCCAATGAGAGCAGACGCGAAGCCGGGAAAGGACGGTTGAGAATGTCGTGAGCATAAATTATGCAAATGAGGGCATCGTATTTGTATAGTGGAACTTGAGTTGTGCGCGCGCATTTGTGGCAGAGACGCAGCGCGCGAGGCGGTGCATTGCCGACTTGTGAGATACTACTACGACCACCACCACTACTACAGCAAACATGACCACCAAGAGAAAGGTGAGCCTCGCGCTTAATTATAACACGAGGGTTGTTAAAAAAATACATGAACGCTTTGATGCGCTTAGGTAGAGTTTTTTTTATGTATTTTGTTAAAGAAGAAATAAGTGAGGTCGTGAGGTAAATTTTACGCGCGTCGGGGGGGGGGGGGAGAGGAACGCGAATAAAATGGCGGTAATTGTTGAGTAAATATTTTTTTGTAATTCTGGCATAAATTTCATTGCATTTTAAATAAAATTAACGGCGAGTTAAACTAACGTGCGTGCAAGTTAACTGTTTTTATAAATAAAAATGCTAATGAGCGAAGAAGAGGCGATAGTCGTCCGCCTCTCGTGGTCGTTGTCGTCTTCGTCTCCGACGCCCAACATTTTATGGCCGCGATTAAAATAAAATTAAATAACCATTAATCCGAAGCAACGCTCGATTGCCATTTCCTTCTCCTCCCTTGACAAATAACAAAGTTTAAACTTCGTCGAGGGCTCCAGCGGCTTATAAAGCGGTTTCGTGATGTTTTTTTCCACCTCCGTCGCGATGTCGCAACGCTCGATGGCGGCGGCTCCGCTCGCTCCTTCCCCCCCACCACCACCACCTCTCGTAGCCGTGTGACGCACCACGGAATAAGCGGCACGCGTTTCGTTTTCTCCGCCTCTGCCGAAGCGTTTAGTCGATATTTCTCCGAGGTTTTGTGGTTTAGACGGCGTCTTTGGCGCGGTTTTTCCGCCTCGTCCCGCGCTCCGCGCCGCGTTATTTTTGCGCGCCAAGAGGAGGCGGCGAACAATGGCGGACGCCGAGGGCCGCCTCGTCCCCCCCCCCCCCTCTTGCACTAAACCACGACTCGAGCTGCTAATTTTATCTCGTAACGTTCACACGCAAAAAAAAATTACGCGACTCGTTATTGTCAACTGCGCGTCGTGCTGCTGCAAGACGAAGGCGAGGATTGGGGTTAAATGCGACGGTATAATAATAATACGGAGCCGCATTTGTTGTGGTTTGCTGCTGCACATCGCGCGTGGTGTTTACGCGCGAAAAGGCGAAATGCACATCAGCTAAGCCGCCTTCTATGTTTAGTGTTTTAAAACAATGTGTTTAAGGGGTGGGGGAGGGCTCGGTTGTGATATAAAAAAAATTATCCGATAAAAGTGTTTTTTTATTAACTAATATATTCAATTTAATTGGTCCTCTTCACCGATATCACATCGTTTGTGGTTATTAAACGTACGAAGTTTATAATTATAGAACTCGTTATCCCTCCCTCCCATCTCCCGCTAATTCAAATCGCTAAAGGCGGGAAACCCCAAAACGAGTGACGTCACCCCCAACCGAAATTCGCGCCCAAAATTTGGGGGGGCAGCACATGGCAGCTACAACCACGAGGGGTGGTGGTGGTAGCAGCTACAACCACCATCGTGTGGTGGACGTGGTGGCAGCTACAACCACGAGGGGTGGTGGTAGCAGCTACAACCACCACCGTGTGGTGGACGTGGTGGCAGCTACAACCACGAGGGTGTGGTGGTGGTAGCAGATGCAGCCACGAGGGTGTGGTGGTAGTGGTTGTGGTGGCAGCCACGAGGGGTGGAATGGCGCCATTCCAACTTTTGCAGTCCCGAACGAATACCCGTGCACTTGAGAGCGCGCCTTTGAAACAGTTATGGACGTCGCTTGGCCGTTTTACTTTAAAAATACCTATGGATGTCATTTTTTACCGTCGTGGGGGGGGGGGGGTTTGAAGTTATTTCCTCGAAATAGTTGTCAAATATTTCGGCTGTTGTGCACAAGAAGTTTGCGGTGTGTGTCCCCTCTGACCCCTGCGAGAGGAGGAGGCGAAGGGGGTTTTTGTTTTGAGAGAACCGGCGGGAACTGGAATTGTAACTCGCAAAGAAGAAGATGCAAAGCCCTCGCTATTTGGCCGCTGCCGTTTTTTGAAGGTTATTGTTAATGACCCCCCGTTGGGGGGTGGACAGGTGCCTTTATATATTCGCGGGGTTTTTAGTGCTGCTACGACTACTACTGCGCGTGTACGCGCGCTTTTATGTGTTTGTATTTTTGGCGCGGAGTGGTGTTTGAGCGGGAGTCTGGTCACGTGAATGATTGCAGCTCTCGGGGCGGCGCTATCACAACTAATTGATTATTGCCTTGGCGTTCAGGGTGCTGGTGAGGGAGCTGGAGACGCAAAGAAGGCGAAGAGTGAGGTTTGTATTCTCAGTTTGTTTACACTTGCACACTTTTTTTTATACATGTACTTAAACGTGATTAATTTTTTTGTATTTACATTTTTACTGTTTCTTTACTTTTTTTCAGCCGCAGAGGAGGTCTGTCAGGCTTTCACAAGTAAGACTTGAATGCATTCTCACAAGACATTTTTGATTGCTTATTTTAATTGCAAGTTTTATTAATTAATGTATTATCACGGTTGCTTAGTATTTTTCGAGTTATGGGTAAGTCGACGGGGTGTGACGTCAGCGTTACCTCGTCACAAGCCGTGCTTGGTGTTTTGTTGGTCGCGAAATGGATGGTGGTCTTGTGGTGCATGCGTTGACGTGTGTATTGACTCTCCTCCACAGCGCCCCCAGGCACCAAAGCCCGAGCCCAAACCGAAGAAGGCTGCTGCCCCCAAGGTTAATAATGCTTTTCCTGAACGTCCGTGCTGTTGCCATTTTTATTTAATCTGCCATCATTCCACTTCATCCACTTTCGATGACATTTGTGCTTTGTCAAGTACTAAATTTAGCGTTACGTGGGCTTGACCAGGTGGTTGTGCGTTTCGTTCTTGCTCACAGAAGGAGAAGGCCCCTAAGAAGCCTGCGGAGGAGAAGGCTAAGGGGAAGAAGGGGAAGGGCAAGGCCGACGAGCAGCCCAAGCAGGATGCAGGCAAGGCTGCTTCTGCTGCTGCCGCTACGGCTGATAACGGAGAGGAGGTAACCCCCCCTCTCCACAGCTTGCTTCACTAATCACCTGCTCTCGCTTGCTCGCTGTCCTCTGCATCGACAGAAGAAATCTGAAGGCACTTTTGAACTAAATCCTCTTTACATTACTTTTGGATTCAAGAGATGTGACTGGATAGGTGCAGTGCCTGGCCCTTTGAACTTCTTCAAAGGCAATTCTTCTCCCTGAAGAAGCTGGGTACCTTTTTGGAGTAAAAGTAAACTCATTAGCTAGTTTTGATTCATCACAACTTTATTTACTGAAGGTATGGGGAGGGTGGCGCTGTAGATTTCTCTTGTCCGTGCAAATCATCTGCTTTTGTCGTGTCTCAATCTCGGCCGCATAGCGGCTTCCACACCTTTCTATTCTATTTTTCCGACACATTAAATATCCATTGCATTTCATCAACATGCATTGAGAACTCTTTTATACCATTTAACTATTCTATATCTAATCGATGCTGTTCAAATGTTGCACATGTGCAACACATCACTTAATGTTTTACAAACCGTTTTTACCATTCATTGTCTGAGACTTTGTGTGTGTGTGTGTGCATGTGTTCACAGACAAAAGCCAGTGAGGCAGCGGCAAGCGACTCCAAGTGAAGCTCATTCTCAGCTCGTCCGCTTTAACTAGTCTGTGACATCCCCAGCTTCCTGTACAGTTGTCCTTTTTTTATTATTACAGATTTTAAACCCGCTTTTAGGCTTACCCACCTCATAGTTTGTTCCATTAGTTAAGGCTGCAACAGACCTGAGCATTCCTTGTGAGGAAGCCAGTTTATTACGCCCATCTCCAAGTAGAGTGTCCTCGGCCCAGTGTACATGACGCTATTTTTGGATCCCGCTTTGTATTAGGCCAGTTGGAATGCTCAGGAATGCTTATTATTCAGCCTTCTAAATGTGTTGTACAACAGTTTAGACAACACAGCAGTGGCAACATTCCCACCATGCAGTAGTATTAACCAGTAGTTTCTCATTATAAAGTACATTTTAAGATCGGTACACAACCAATTGGCATGACATCCTTTTTTAACTTTAATAACATTGTGTGTTTTTTGTAAAATTTAAATTTAGCAGTGGGGTGTTTTTAAAAAGAGGATTTTTTTCCTTCCCATTAAGGTGGTGTTGGGATGATAGCTTTATTTTTAGCTGCATTATTGGTCTTGTGTGGTTTAAACGGCAGCTTAGAAATATAATTTGCATAAATTGTGGTTTAAATGCATGTGTGCGCAAGGCAGTTGAGTCTAAAATGAAAGTTACAATTTTACATTTATACGGCTTGGTAATGAATGCATAATTTTACGTGAAATATGATGTAATTTTGTCATTGGAAATAAAATGTCTCTTGACAATGCATTCTTCTCTTAGTCAAATGCCATTCTGTTGTAATGTTAGTTTCAGTAACCTATCATCCCAACACTCAACATAGCTGTTAGAAATGCCTGGAAAATATTTACTGGATCCGTTACAATTATAAATAAAATGTGGATGTTTTCTCTAATGCATTGTTCTGTATTTTTGGTTTAACAAATATTTTTTTCAGTACGCACACAGCAACTTATTAAAGTGCTTCGGGACATGCATGATATGCGGCGTTTTATTTGAACTTTACTTACATCTTAAAAGCGTGAGCAAACTACTTGGTGTATGGAAACAATTGTGATATGGTTATACTTATGTTACTTGAATTTCCATGAGTTCAGGTGTACAAAGCTACATTTTGGTTTCAGGAAACCAGGCTTTAAGCCACTTCAACATGGTTGCATTTGGAGATGTCCTTTTTTTACCATTGCACATCTAGTAATTGTCACGTTTGATAACTTTCCATGTGTATTTTCGTTTTGCGACTTAATGTTGACTGGTTTGAATCAAATATTAGTTTTAAAATAGCTTGTTTGTGGCCTAAAACGGGTCTCCTGGAACTTCGGTTTCAAATTCGTTTTGTGGAATGGTCCTGTTGGTGTAAATGTGTTTTGGGCTTTGCTACTACATTAACAAAAGTGCCATGGTTGATGTACTGTAGGTTACGTTGGCATTCTGATTTGATGACAATCTTAAACGTCAATATGGTAATTGAGGTGGATATAGAAAGATCAATTGAACTTTAATCCAATACAGTAGATTAATCTCAACTCCGGTACTTGACACTTGCCAGCAGTCTTTAATTCTCTGCAAATATATCCAATAAATAACCATCTGACGTTGCAGAAAGCGTTACTGTGGTAGGTTCTGGAACTGGAGTTAAGATGTATTCACATGTTGCTTTGCCATGCACATGACAACTTGCTAAAATGGTGGCTGCATTTTTCTCACCAAGGATGAGTATAAAGTTCAAGTGACTCCACCTTGTGGAATGTGACTGCAAGGACTTGAAGATGTAATGTGGTCAGGTAGTGTATGAAGCTTAATTTTAAATCATTTAAGCAGGTTAACGGTGCTGTAATCCAGCATTTAAAAAGTAATTGGGCCATAGTCCTATTTACTGAATTCTGGGAGGGTGAAACTTTCATTTTATACAAAATTTATGCATGTAACGTGCAATTTTTAAGCACATGGAGAAAGTGCCAACATGTTACACTTGAATGAGTCAAGATACAATGTATTTTTAATTATACGATTGGCGATTTTGACAACGTTATATACATTTAAGCATGCGTTGCTTGTTATTGGTTCATAACGAGGAAAGTTTTGTCGATTGCAAAACCGTACTGTTCTGCATCCCTGAACATTTTGACATTACCTGTTTGAAGTTAGCTACACAATGGTGCTGTTTTTATAGGAACCATTACAATTGTGGCCTTTTTTGCTTTTAAAAATAGTAATGCAGCACTGGTGTTTAGAACAACTTGTCTCAAGGTGGCAATGTGTTGCTTACTGTGGTTTAATTGTGCGCTCAATATTTACAATGTCCTGGTTTCAACGTGGCAATATCTATGTTGCAGTGGTGCATCGGGGGTGTCCAGGCTTTCACTCGTGCACGTGGGAGATAATTTGGTATGTTATGGTGAATTGCACTGCACAAATGTACATTTGTTGGTACTGATGTGACTGACATTTGCCTGCTTAAAAACCATCGGAAAATGTCGAGATATGAGTGAGAATCTGAAAAGGAGAGTGCCGAAGGCATGGATTCCTAGGTTTCCCATCAAACAACCTCTGTGCATAAATTTGAGTGATAATTTACAGGCATCCCGCGATTTACGAACGTTCTGTTGATCAAGTTTTGCATTCATGTACACAAATAGTAAACCCTTCGATTACATCGAGATCGAACCGGGAGCCTGTGTGACGGTATCAGAGGAACAGTAACGCCTCCACATCACCTTTTCATTTATTCCAACATGCAGATCTTTTGGTGAGTTAATTGTAAAGTTAAGTATTTTGGTTTTAAATCCATCATTTTAATGTAACATTCTTTTTTTGTAATATGAAAAATTATATAGGTGTAGATTTTTAGGTTTGGAGCGTCTAGCCAAAAACATCCATAGTTTTTTTTCATTGCTAGGAAAAGCCATTCCGATTTAGTACATTTCATTTCACACATGTATTTTTGTAGAATGCATGCCTTTCGTAAATCGAGGGATACCTGTACGTTGAACTGAGTAATTGTGTCCACACTTGCAGCATTTGTAATTGTTAGAGGGTAGTTTGAAATCACACCTTATGATGAATAATTAAAATATTCTGTTAAAATTGTTAGCTACGGTCACATTACCTTGGTTCCTATTGTTTTTAACCATTGTATGTGGCATCAGGGTTATTGCATATTCTAGGTTAAGCCAAATTATGTTTCTAGAGCACGTGGTCTTGAGTTGTATACAAAAATAAGTTGTTGGCTTCGTGCGACAAAATTATTAATAAGTCAATGCTATATTCTGTGACCCAAGGCATGAAAGCAATTTGTGGAGAACCAGGGTTTCATGGTGGCAGGTGTAAGATCTCTACACTGTAGGACCCATACGCAAGCTGTCTACTGTTATTTCAACAGTCTGTCCATGTTTCATGAATGTCTAGCATGTATCTAAAAATACCCAGGAAGCAATGCAAGGCAACAATTTCAATCCGAAGTAAAATTCATTTATGAGCAAAGGGAATTTACTTGATTAAGTTCATACAAAAATCATGTGATCAGCATAATGTTAAAGTATCAACATTGACAATTACACGCAGTTTCGCATATAGCTACATTTAACATACTGTAAGCAAATATATTAAATGCATCTTATATAAAGTGATGTGGGAATGACCCCAAAAAGCAAACGGCACTATGGCTTCTCTGAACATTTAGCGAAGCACCCTATGTCAAATTAGAAGCTCAAATTGAACCAACTTCATTGCACCCTCCGAACCAACCTAGTCTGTGCAAGTGAATAACAGCCCCCTGATGACCTGTTGTGTATAATGATAAAATATATTCTGCACTTGGATTACATTGCTATTCTTGCTGTGGTTGCTGAATTATTGCACACTGTTTTAGACTTGTTAATCTGCAGATTGCTAATCTGAAAATGCATTTAACCTGGCAAGCCTGGTATTATATAATCCATTGTAATAAAGTAAAGATCTTAACAGTCACGCCTGAGAAGACCACACGATTCAGTGTAATTACCATTAAGAACGCAATTTAGTCGTGGATTGCCATGCTTTCAACACTGGCAGGTCATCAAGCAGCACAGGCTGATTCGATAAGTTCATTAATGGATAATTATAATTAATTAGTTTAGCTCTGATGTATTTTCTGGATGTAGAGCGTGCTGTCCACAATGTCCCAACTGTGTGTGTTCAGCATGTTGTACAACGTGTTGCTCCACGTTTGCTGAGAGCTTTTTCAGAAACTGTCCTTAATAAAAGTTCGTACCTATAGGTTTTTACGGTTGTGCTATATAGTTCTCTGATGCATTTTCATACAGCTCTCTGATGCGTTTGTCTCTCAGATTGTTTACTTCACGTGCGAGGATTTCGATTCCTGAAGTAGCTCCCAGCATGTGGAGAGAAACGTCAGACATGTTGCAGAACATACCGTCCAGCTGAAAACACATTGTAGAACAATACAGCACAGCCGCAAACAATCTCAGTAATTGTTTCATGAGAGCCAATTGTTAATATGAAATGTTTGATCCAAAATATGTGTTTTCCTAGTTCTCAATGGGAGCATTGTATATGCAGTATAGCTTTTGCGGTGACATCCCATTATACCATATTCCTCCATTGGCTAGTAGCAGAATGCCTGCTGACTTTCTAAGAATCACATGAGGGTAGTTTGAATGTGTTCGATTTTACTGGAGTGGCAGCACAGGAGAATGTACCCTGCGCACGCCACTGCCTATTTTTAGATAATGTTTAAATGCAGTGTGCATGCTTGGAGCTTCAGTATTTAGGGGGGCCGTGCTCTCTTGGAAATTCACGATTGTACAACTGTATACAGTGTAGAAGTGACTTTAAGCATAATTGGCTACCGATTTTCATAAGTCCTTTTTTGCAGCATTTATTGTGCTCCACAGCACGGGTTTCCATGAGTCGTTATGTACGTGTGCATTTGAATAGCATTTGAAAGCGTGGACAAAAAATGGTTTAGGAATATGCAGCGCATTGCATCACATGTTGTGTAATTGTGTTTCTGTTTAGTATTTTTTGTTCAAATGTTAATTTGAGTAAATAAGCGTTAAATGTGTGTTTATGTTGAACGTCTCACGTAGCCAACCATGCTAATTGGAGGTGCGGGATAAATCTATAGGATGGAAATGTATGTACATAAATGTTCCACTCAATGTCACGGCATTTGCATGTCCTTGTTTTCCGAATAAGTGCATTTAGAATGCTGCAAATTAGCATATGGTTTTGGAGTAAATGTTCGACGTCTGTTTGAAACTTGGTATAACAGAAAATGTGTAGAATTACTATTGCGTATCACTTAAACCTGTGATAGAGCAAGATAAATTGTCAACATGTTAGATTCCATTTTAACCCCGTGACTTCTTATATGCTTGGAACAAAGTTTGACCCATCAGTTACATAGATTTGTCAGTTTCACAGTGCTATAATGCAGTGCCAATGGGAGTGCGGTTCTGGGTAACAAGCCGAACCATAGTTTAGCCTCTTGCTTTTAGTGGCCTCTTCAACTCCATTAGCAGCAACAACAACTTCTAGGACAAAGGCAGCAGCGGAAAGTCAGACCGGCCCCCATTTTAAAACACAAACTGTAAGGAGCTCTCCGATTGGTAATGTTTACGTATTTTCCTGTCTACCCTCAACGCTGACACGATTGAACTGTGAAAGTGATTTGCTGCTGCACATGAGGAATTTATGCATATCTAATCAAAGAAATAGGATAAGGCGCTGCCGTGAAAGAGTTCATTGCAAGCATTTTTTTTTACTTAGATGTCACAGGGGCATTGAGCAAGAGTACATGAGTGGTCGCAGATGTCCATCTTGCTGGTTCAACCCACAGTATTGCTCCACCGTCCGTTTGATGAAATGTTCTGCACGCTTAGATATCCTTTGACGTTTCTCGCAAGAGGCGGCCACTGTCAGCCCAGTTACATATTCATAGTTAATGATTAATAATCGGTAAGGGGGAGTGAACCCTAACAAAACAAGGCACTTGTGTACACATACTTTCTGCAGATACACTGAACTGCTCTGCAAGGAATTTATTAAAAAGGGAGTAACTTTAGCCGGAAATTGCGTATGAAACCTTTTTTTATTTACAAGTATCCCCCCCCCCCACATCATTAAATGCGGTTATCAATGTTACATTCAGTAATCAAATCGAATCTTTGAATTCAAACTTTAAAGTTTGAGTTGTAATGCTTCAGTATTGCATTAGTATATACACCATATTTAGTGCTATATAATTGGTGACGCGGTCGACATTGTAAACACGCGACACTTGTGAACCTGGTTGAATTACAGACTGCTGAGATCCCGGATTAATACTCCGCATCTCAGCAGTGCCAGCTCAGCGTTTCACCTCTGAGCCACCCGACCACATCCAACACGACACCCACGTTGTGAATTCTTAAACTCCCAAATTCCGAATTGCGGGATAGTTCAAATGAGCTGCGATCGGTTAGTGTGTGGACACGAGAGCCTTGTTTTTGTTACATTTTACAGAGGCTGAATAACGCATTCACATTCATAAGTCTTCTTTAAACCCTTGTCGAGTTGCTTCATTGTGGTTTCACCTGGTTACAGTGTCGTGAATGAATGGAATTTTACTTGGAATTGTGCAGCGTTTCACTTATATTCTTGTCATTCTTGTCAAACTCTCACCTGGATCTGTAATAATCCCTTTTGAGACCAGATCAGTGACTCGTCAACTGAAGTGGCATGTGCTTGGTTTTCATTACGTAGTTCAGCTATAGTATACATCAATGGAATGCCCTTTTATGCAGCCAGGTGAGAAACATTGTGAATCATTACCCAGCAGACGTGGGTACCTGTAGTTACATAATAACGTGTTTATTTTCCTTTAATATGTTATCTGCAGAGCCTAATAAAACGTTCCTACAGGCACGATCGACCATGCTTTGGTGAATCAGGTCTGTACTTACATAATCCCACAGCATGTCTTAAACTCTTAAAGGCGTCTCTTGACTGGAACACCTCATGTATATCTGTGTTTTATAGAATAAGACATTTTCAGGACTTCAAAGCATTATTGTTTTCTGACGGTTCCCAATCCGTGCCCGGTAGATTTTGAGCTTTATTAGGCACCGGGTGTCTGGGTAAATTATGAACTGAGGGATGGCAGTAGCACATGACAGCCTATTTATAGAAGTTATAATGCAATATTCAAAGCACTGGAGGACATCTCTGCAGGAATTAGCGAGCAGTTGTGAGAATTGAACCATTGTCATATAAACTGGCCCGAAGGCAAATGCTGTAACTGCTAAGCTATTTAGCTTTTGCCCACGTATTTGTATTGTGAAATAAAAAGCAATTGTCCCAAGAAACAAACGTTATCCTTTCCTGCTGCTGTAGTATGTGGCAAGCTATGATCGAGTTTAACGTTATTGCTGAAGCTGACCGGATCTTACTAATGTAATGCTAACTGCATTTAGTCTTCCACCTTGCGACTGTTTCCACGTTTTCAATAGAACCACAAGCGTTAATTTCAACAGGCTGCTGAAGTCTTCTGTTACACATCTATGCATACACACATTTCAGAGATTAAAACAAAACTGGTTTGCCCTTGTTCTAGAGTTTCTGCTAGTTCTAACTACCCATTGTTGCTTTTTTTCGTAACGGAAAATCCAGCTTTTATACATTCTTTATTCACGTGATAATGTGTATCTATATTAAAAACCAGTTTCTGTATGCTGAGTAAGTGACGTTTTGGAAAGCCGGACTGGTGAGCAGTAAAACCTGGAGGTGGGACGCTTACTTGGGAGGAATACTAAATTAACTTTTGGAATGTGGGCTGACTATTGCTTCGCTCTGGCAAAAACTGCGATGCCCGCCGACACTGCAGCACAGCCGCACGGTGTGCGTGTCTTTAGTCAGGTGAGCTGCTGTTGCTTTATAAATTGGACTCGCCTCCCAAAGGAAACGCGGAGATCGTGAGAATGAATAGTGAAAGAAAGTCTCCCAGATGCCGCTAGAGGTCATAGAGATACGTGGAACATATAAAGACTTAATATACGAATTTAATTACAAAATGTACCCGACTGGTAATGAAATTCAGTCGCATATCCGACCGTAACATATCCAATTGCACACACCCAGTTCAGTATGGCGTGTGTGGTAGCATTTTCTATAGATGGGCACAAATTCGACCGTTTCACATACAGTAAATTAACACAATATAATATCACGTACAATTTGCTTTTAAAGCACAGTGAAGCATGTACTCATGTGTAACTCAGTATCTCTAGGGTGTTCACATATCTGGCATTTCATGTTCACATACACGCTGATACAGTGTTCTCCAGCAAGTCGGATATGTGACGTACTGTGTTAATAATGCCATCTCATTAAATTATATGCGATCAGGTTGATATGTGTTAATGTCTCAAAATAACTGGCTTCACAATTCGTGACAAAGTTAGTTTAATTCCTAGAGGTTAGAAAAGAGTTTGTTTTATAAGATTACAATTAACGATAACTTGAGCCTCATGACCTATGCTCACCTATTATTTTACCTCCACAAAGGGCAATCCTCCAAATAAATGAGTTCATATGCATGTGCGGTCTGTTGAAATCTCGAATGTTCTGTGCACTGCTGCTTGAAAATCTCGGAAAGTTGTTTGCATCCCTCAATCTCATGATGAACTTTGATCGCCATCGAACAAAGACTCACTGCATCGCGGTCTTTGGAGATGCGCGTCTGCGTCCATCTGCAACGCTCTTGCTTCCAATATTAGGAAGTCACTGGAGCTATGCAATTTAAAATCATAGATTTTAAACATTTATTGGGAATATATTGTTGTGTTTAGTTTGTTGTCCTTCCCCCGCCCCTCATACGTACGGTGCGAAAGAAGTTCAACATACTTGCGTACAACTTCTACACATGGGCTGATCTCATTGCTCCACTTCCGAGGTGGTTTCTGTATTTGGCTGCCACTCGACAGGCGGTCCCCACCACCAGTCGTCATCTATAGAACATTTACTGTTCTTAACATGTCTTTAATTCGTGCCATCTGATGTGCGTTTTTCCGTCTCTCAGTTGAATCCAAATCGTGCACCTCTCCATGCTTCTCTGATCCATGTCGTAGGAGGTCACGTGTCCTGATTGAAAACTTTCTTATTTAGGTTATTCACTATTTCACTGTTGTCTTTTGTTATCACGTTCAATGCTTTTTAAAAGAGCTCCAACCTGCTCTCGCGTGCCTCTTTATCTCAACATTAGCGTATGCTTGGACCTCTCTCCACCAGGAGACTTTAGCTTGGTATATCAATCTCTAATAATTGAACACTAATAATAAAACTGATGACTGTGCTCATGCCTGTGCACACATGACCTCAGCGCTCCATAAAGGATGGGTACCTTTCACTTTTCAAATAAAAACTGAACATGCATCGCTCCAGGTGCACGTATGAATATGCAGCATTGCACCGTGCAAGGGTGACATAAAATCAACTAAAAATACAGTTCCACGTCTATCTATGACTCCTGATTGCAACTTTAGGGCAGATATAATGCGTCAGTCCTCATGAAGCATCCAGGGTTAAGCGTTCCATGTCTACCACTCTTTTTGCACACCAGAATGGCATTAATGTGCAGGTCAGTCCGCAAAAGGTTCCAAAGTAGTGTACCCACTTAGATTGTGAAGGCATTTCATCACTCTCTTCTCTACTAATAATTATAATTTGTGGTGTATCAACAGTGCTAATACAACCACCACCCATTTTTTCTTATGTTTAAAATGATCTCACTCTTCACTATCTTACCACCCGGTAAAACATAAATCACAGGCATAGCGCTGTGCCATGCACTTGACGACCAGAGTCCAATTCCTGGCCATGGCTAACATCACTGTCAAGTGATTGACGGGCGTAAAGAAGCATGGCCACGTGGCATGGGGGGAGCCCTAATCCAGCAGGTGAATGTCAAGGGGCTGTACAATTAGTTAAAAACGAGTCACCTTTATTTTATTGTGGTTGACTCTCAACAGCTAAGCAATCAAAAACACTCACTTTGGGTACCTCACTGACTCATGTTCATTCAAGTACCCGCCCTGCTTGCACATGAATCAGAAACGGCATCAATGAAATGCACGCGTTGGTAGACATGGAAATCTTTAACACGGATGAGGGGGGCATCGCGGTGGTGACCAGAACTGGTGGGGGGGGGGGGGGCCTTCGCCTGGCTCTGCGTGGTTGGTGGTGGTTGGGGGGGGACCCTGCCCCTCGCCGCCGCCCCGTCGCGCCCGTCGACAACTCACAGCAGCGCCCGAGCGGTGGCGGCCACAAGTAGGAGCGTGGCGGCGTGGCCGGGCGCCCCGAGGAGGGCCTCGGGGCGCGGGCCGCCGCTCACGTCGTAGAGCTTGCCGTCCAGCTTCAGGCAGCTGGTGCTACCCGCGCAGCACTCCTGGAAGCACTCGGGCTGCGAGGCGCACGACGCCACCTTGCCCTTGCAGCGAGAGCTGCAGCCGGCCGTGAACGAGATCTGCGAGTGTTCCATGTGGCTCACCAGCTGCGTGCGTGCGCGCGGGAGGGAGGGAGGGACACCGTTAGTTGCCGGTGCTGCGTGGCTGCGTGTGAACGCTGAGCTTCATAACCTGAGAATGAAGGGGGTTGCCGCCAGGGTGGCCACCTCGGAGGTGGAAAAACAATCAGTACAGGAAGAGGGGGGAGGTAATACACGTAAAATGTGTTGTATTATTAGGCACGATTTTTTATGTCCTGGGGTGACTTGTATGTATGTAGAACTTATTTCGCGCCGTATGTACTTAACCGTGCTAATCGGAGGTTTCCAAAGATAGCTTTGCCTGGAGTGTGACTGCTGGACTGGATATGACTGCTCACATCAGTTTGTTGACTGTTCCATCTCCAGCAGCGTGTGAGTAGCACTACTGCGAGGGGTTTCACGATTGTGCTGTAGCTCTCCGATGTGTTTGTTGTTTGATTGCATCGTGCAGTGTTCAGCACGATGTCCGACGTTTTGCTCCACGTTTTGGGAAGCTACCAGGGCTAAACGAGGATGTGGAGCGTAACGTCGGACATCATGCCGAACACAACATGGCTACGACCCATAGTCATGGGTTTTCTCGCCGGCACAATGTAAAAACAGATCGGAAAGTGGGTGGAAAACCACTGTACACACGTGTGTGTATGTTGAACTTCTTTTGCACTGTACATAGCCAACCGGGCTAATCAGAGGTGCGGGAGAAGGACACCAAGCTAAACACAACAAAGCAGTTCTAAATAAATTAGTTTTAAAATCTAGATTTAAAAGTGCATAGCTCCAGTGGCTTCCTAATATCGGAAGGGAGAGCGTTCCAGACGACCGCGGAAGCGCATCTGAAAGCGCGCGACGATGACGCGGTGACCGCCGCCTTTGTTCGATGGCTGAGCCAGAAGCTGCTGCTGCTACCGCTGCTGCTTCTGCTGCTACTGCCGCTGCTGCCACTGCTGCTGCTGCTACTGCTGCTGCTGCTGCGAGGATGAGCGGAGGAGTTGGCGTGACGATGGTTCACGATGCTCCTTGAGAGAAACTAACGGGTTGTTGCCTTGTGGATCGCATGGCGGAGCCGACATTTGGTTAATGGTTTATTAATGGCCCCGATACAAGCAAAATAGACCTTTGGTTACATCACCAGAGGGACAACAACAACCAACGCACGTTTTACAACGACGCTTGATTGCCTTGTGCGCACCGCTATGTGAAACGTGAAAACATCGTGCATCCCACTCACACACTCTCTAAACAAAAACGGCAATAAAACCGTTAGCCACCTGCCATTTGTGAGCCATTACTGCCTAAACCAACAATTGTTTCTTTTTATCTTTAACATTCACAAGTGAAAGTCGTGAAATGGCGCCTGTGAAATGTCAAGCATACAAAATGTGGCCGTTGTACAATATCAAAGATACACTTCGGAGAGCTGCACTGTACAGAAACTCACGTGGTTTTTATTTTTTTTCTTTCCACGGCATAATCGACGTGAAGTTTGCTTCCACCCACATGATATGTGGGTGGCAAATGAGTCAAAAAGGCAAGCGAAATTCCTGCTCATGAGAATTGTGGAGTTGCTCTTCTCCAGTTTAAACCCCTTCAGAGCCAGTGGTGGAAATTACAAATGTCTATGGCAGGGGCGAGTCTCTCTATCGGAGAGCTACCGTTGTCTTCGCCACAACGTGGTACCTATTTTCTCAACCTCGGAAGGACGATGGGCTCAGTCAACCCCCACCGAACGTTTGAATTCACAAACTTCGGATTTCGAGCCACCCTATCGTACTGCTGAGTGATCTGGACAGATGGTGAATAAAATACATCGATATTTTCAGCGGTAGATTGGAAATCAGGGCACGTGTGTCTCTTGCAGTACGTGTTCGCATGCTGCCATGTGTAACGAGATTTCTGAACATTGCCTGCTACTGATTGAAATGAATTGAGCTGGCAATGCCTGCACCCCCCTCCGATGTGTTTGGTTAGAACGAATTGTTATGAGTTTACGGCATGATGTTTGTTGTTACCCGAATACTGAGATTGTTTTTTGTAGAAATTATATTTAAAATTTGGATTTTAATATGTGATTTTGTTAAGTCAATATAAATCGTTACCTGCATCGTTATCAACCATTCTCAAGCCAGATGGCCACTGCCACTGCCACGATTGACACTGATCAGCTTTGTGCCCGATTAGCAAGGTTAGGTACTTAGGGTGCGAAAGAAGATCAACATATATCATGCTGAAAGAATAAAAACATTCTTTGTTTTCGATTGAAAGCTTTCGTGACTGCAGGGATTCATCTTCTTGATTCTTTCGGTAAAGTCACGTAGAAGGGAAATAATAAAATAATAAAAATAAAACATAATAAAATACAATTCTCACGACGTTTCGGCCACAACGCAAGCAGCCGTTCTCAGGTGAAGAAGCCGTCCTCAGGTGAAGAAAGATTCTTCACCTGAGGACGGCTGCTTGCGTTGTGGCCGAAACGTCGTGAGAATTGTATTTTATTATGTTTTATTTTTATTATTTTATTATTTCCCTTCTACGTGACTTTACCGAAAGAACCAAGAAGATGCTTTGTTTTGCAACACAAATCTTCCACCATTTAAATCATAAATATAGTCTAAAACAACATCAAATGCCACCGGTGCCAATTCTATCGCCAATTCTGGGCACACGAACAGTGTCTAACTGGTCCACGGGGAGATGGCTGCTGTGGTGTCATGGGTGGAGGTTGCCAGTATTCGAGCCCAGGGTGCAATGATTGGGGCCAACCTGGAAACTGGCACGTCGGTTGAACTAATAGTGCGAGTTTCTTAAATCTACTCTCCTGTGTTCACTCAGCAGCGTAAATGGGCACACACATCGCAGTTAGCGGATCGGCAGGTCACGCGTGTCGGGATAGAGTGTGGGGACTCCTGCCAAGACATCTGGCCAGCATGAAAGAGTAGGCCAAATACTCTGGAGGGCGGGGGGGGCGGCTGTTTTGAGCTCCCTCCAGTGGAGGCCCTTCTGCCAGCAGTGACATGCGCAAGTCATTGCGTTGCTGCACCTCTTGTGCTACATGACCCCATTCCGACAGAATGGACAGTTCTGTATCCTCTGCCAAGCGGTATCACGCGGACTGCACTGGGAAGCAGACATTGCCAATTTTGGGTGGCATCACCATCATCTTCAATCATCACGGCTCCATCCTTGCCCTAACAGGAGGCTTTGAGAGCGCAGAGGTGACTGATATATTTCGGCGATGTCCTGTATGTTGCACTTCTTTCCCACCGTACGTAGCCAACCGTGCTAATCGGAGGTGTGGTGGAAGGACAACAAACTAAACACATTCCTGGGGAATGGCAGTCACGGTCTTAGTCTGTGGATTGCATTTAGTCATTATCTTCGTGTCGCTGACTAAAGCAGTCAAGAAATTAGTTCACTCTTAGTTATTAAATGTTGGTCTAAGGGATGTGCAATTTCGCCCCACAACACATATTCAGATCAGGCAATCAGCGAACTGAGTATATGTATTGTACGCGTATATATTAGGGCTGTGCTCCCGATTTCTCGATTAATTGGAATAAAAAATCAGGCCAAGACAACATTTTGGACGATCCCTAACCTTTGATTCTTTCGGCTTGACCCGAACACAGGAAATGATGTCACCAATTTACGCAACCACTTCCGCCATTTTCCTCATAACGATTTATTATCGTGAGCAAATGATGTAAATGATAAAAAAATAATCGAAGAAAGATGTGAAATTGTTGTTAAATATCGGAACTTTTTTATTCTAATTTATTCAGCCATGATACTTAACCAATCACAAGTGTGTGCCTTCACCGATGCACCACTACTATCTCTAAATGATGGTAATACATTAATCTATTTAAAAAACCGATTAACTACTTCTTATTTCACCAGGTAAGGCCCACTGAGCTATATCACTCTTTTTCAGAAGTGACCTGGCCACAAAATGATAGCTCAACAAAGTGGCTTATCATATGGAAATGTATAGCAGCCAAATACTCGAAGCGCATGTTCATTATAAATGTGGAGGGAAAACTGAAGAACCCGGAGAAAAATCCATGCAACTACAAGGAGAGAGACACACACACACTAACTCCAAATATACAGCAGGCGTCAGTGTCAGGATCGAACCCACGACCTCCTGTACACCAGGCGAGGTAGTTCACATCTCTCCAGCGTGGTACCCCAATCATCTCATTCAGACACGCGGATTCCGTTCGTCTCATCTGCGTGGCGCTGCAATCTCTGGCAGGCAGTCGCAGCCATCGTAACGACGCTTGGCGATTGGAGTACACACCTCACAGTACAGCTGGCTTTTGTAGCAGCGCTGTGGAGCAGGTATAACCTTGATGAAGCAGTCAGCTCCGCTGCAGGTAAACATCTGGCAGACACGCTGCTCACAAAAAGACAAACAATCCCCCATGTAGCCTTTTTAACAGACTGTTGAGGTGAGTGCTGTTAGCGAGCAACCATGAAGGCCGGCACAGTAAGGTGGGTGGGTCGCCTGTACCACGCCCGGCCGCATTTGTCTCCCCAGTGCTGATGTTTGCACCCAGGACTGCTTCAGACATTCGTCACTGATGTTGGCCGTGAGTGGGAATCGAACGTGGGCCTCCCGGTTCAAAGCACAGCTTGGCAACCAAAATAACCAGATGAGCCATTGTTTTCGAATTCGGTAAAACTCAATATTTGAAGAGTCACAATGCGTGTGAATCCGAGACGGATGGTGGTCCTTAATAAATGGCGTCACGAAGCAGTCCCGAAAGATATTCTTAGGTTTTTTCGGTAAAGTCACGTAGGTAAAAAATTTAAATTCATAAAAGTAAAATAAAATAAAAATCACGACGTTTCGGAGGCAACACAAGCTTCCGCCAATGAAACGTCGTGATTTTTATTTTATTTAACTTTTATTAATTTTTATTTTTTACCTACGTGACTTTACCGAAAAACCTAACAATATGAATCATTGCAGTCACGAAAGCTTCAAATCTAGTCCCTAAAGAGCCACCGCATGCGGCTCCAGAGCCGCGGGCTGCCCACGCTGCAGTCGGGGCGAGCCCCCTCCTCACCCGCTCTGACCCCTGAGCGTAACGTTGGTCGCACGAAAAGTCCTACTGACATTTTAATTTTCTCATCGAGAGAATTTAGCCAAACATGAGATCATCAGCTCACTGCACTCAGTATAACTCGGTACAATCACAGACGTCGGTTGCCTGGATTCGAGCCCAGGATCTCACACGTGGCACAATCAACACGCACCATTCCCCCCACAACACCATCCACAAAAGTGCTAAAAACAGCTGCGTGCAAACGGGTGTGGATTCAGTGTACTCACGTCGGACATCGGCTCGCTGGTGGTGGTGACTGCAGTCGTTGCTGAAGAACACAAACTCATGTCAAGTGGTGAACCGTCGCAGAGCAAACGATGTTGTCAAACGTTAGCCAACGACCCAAATCACCCGCAATGCTACCAGCCTCGTCGCATCTCGCAAGCTAAGCAGTGAGACTGGAGACTGCTCGCATGTCTGATGAGTGAGCCACCGATATGCACAAGGGGGCTACGCTGTTGGCAACGACATGATTTGCCATCCTGTGCCGTGCTCTCCGGCCTCCCCGCTTTCACACCGACCCGCATTGTGAATTACGGTGAAGCGATAGTACTCTCTACCTGCAGTGGGTTGACAAAGGGACTGTACATGTGTAACACGTGTGACATGTTAAGTGCGAGAGCAGAATCGACGATGCAAGACGGCTGTAACCGCGACATCAGTGACGGTGGAGAAAACGCTGCCACCGGCCACGCGCCATCACTGCGGCCAGGGTGAGGTCAGAGCTGAGATCCCCCCACTTGTGTGCAAGGGATTAAACGGGGCTTGCTCCACTACACATCCAGGAGTTGATGGCGACACACGCTCCACCGAGATCTCCGAGGTCCACCGAGCGTGCCCGACTCGGCGTGGCCGTGGTCCAGGCTCCGACCCTCCGCTGTGATCCCCACCGGGATTGTGTCCACACGGCGCCCCAGGCTCTGGAGTTGCCTGCCCTAGGAGGTGAGGAACTCGCAGTCCCTGCAGACTGAAGTTCCAGGCCCACTGAACTATAGAGCTCTTTGTACAGTAGCGACCTGGCCGTATATTCTAGCTCAACAAAGCGGCTTATCGTGTGGAAATGTATAGCAGCAAAATAATCCAAATACTGTCATCTAAATGCACGTTTATAAATGCTGAGATTAAAATAAAAATTCTGATTTTGATGATCCCGCAAGAACGCACGACGAGTTTCTCTTACTGGTGGTGGCTGCGGTGGTGGGTGGTGCCGGGAAGTTGAGACACAGGCTGGTGTTGCAGCACTCCACGATGCACCTGGACGCTGTGCCTGACGCGGTGCACCACGTGGCGTTGATGTTGTTGGACACGCAGCCCGAGGTGTAGTTCACAGCAGTTCCCTCCGTCGAGCGCAAAAACTGCGTTGAAATGAGGAGCGTAATGAGGAGGCGTCGATTTAAGACCGAGATGTCGTGGCCAAAGCAGACGATGTATGCGTGTTTAACTTTTTTCGCACCGTACGTATACAAAACAATGATAATCTGTGGTGCTGCGCAAGGAAAACAAACTAATCACAAAAGTCAGTTCTAAAGAAACTAGTTTTCAATACGATGACACCACCACTACTACCACGACCCATCGCCAACGTTGATCACCCCCAGCCTCACCGCCCCCGCCCGATCCCAGACGTATCGTCACGGTCGGGCACGCTCCGCTCGGCGCTGCGGGGTCATCGACGTCGTCGTCGTCGTCAACACCGTCGACTCAACCGGAGGAGGGCACTTTGTTCATAGCGTCCAACAAAGGCGATCACCGCAACGCGCACTTTCAGATGCGGTTCTGCGGCCGTCTGGAACGCTCTTCCTTCTGATATTAGGAAGCCACTGGAGTTATGCACTTTTAAATAATCAAGATTGAAGAACTAATATAATGTGAACTGCTTTTAGTGTTTACTTTGTAGTCATTCGTCCTGCACCTCCAATTCTTGTTATTCGACTAATCGACTATTCGGTATTGTTTTTCGTTGTAATAATTATATTTGAAAAATGTATTTGAATTATTGGTTTAGAGTTAACTCAATATAAATCATCGTTACCTGCATCCTTATCAACCATTCTCAAGCCAGGTGGCCATTACCACTTTCACTATTGTCCCTGATCAGCTTTGTGTCCGATTAGCACGGTGGGGTACGTACGGTGGGAAATAAGTTCAGCATACGTGCGTACAAACATTCACGCGGCTGATTTCGTTCACAAAATCAATGCTGGAGGTGACGATTGGGTTAGGAGGTGCGCGTTGGTTGCGTTCACTGCACTCACCCAGCACATGGGATTTGAACTCATGCACGTCTCGTTGTGTTGTAGAAACGTCTTGTTCTGGTAGCAGTTCTCTCCAGCGCAGGACATCTTCTGGCAATAGAATCCAGCGCTTCCGTTTGAACCTGGAAGGCAAGCGCAGCACGTGCCGTGTTGGAGAGACGAAACCAAGGCAGTGTCACGTGCACCACGCTGTGCTCGCTTGTTTCAACAGCACTGGCCAGGAATCGAACCTCGGTGTTCTGAGCCAAGAGTCGACACGATCGCACACGGACACTCACGTGTCGGGGTTGTTGCGACATTGTATGCGGGGATCGTTGCTCGTTACACTTTGAACCTCGTGTTATGTCCTGGCAAAATATTTCTGAAATAATCATGAGCAAGAAGTAGAGTTCTGCTAAAATAAGTACGTAGTTTATTATCCATTTGTGCTTTACTTGTTTTTTAGACCAATTGGTCGCGTGGCATGTGACCGCGATATTTTTCAATGTTTCTTTGATGAACTGTTTATTCTCCGTGTCTATTACCGCAGGTGTCCGTTATTATACGTTAAGGGGTTGGCTACATTGGAATAATGGGAATGCATATGACAGGCTAACGTTGAGTGAGCTGCAGTTGAACAACTATTCAGCCATGTTAATGAGTACTGGGGGTAGAGCAAAAGCACAAATACTAGGCAAACACAATTTTGTTCGTCTAGTAATTAATTTAGAAAGTTATGGAACACTGACATGGCGATAATTGTCATCATCAAAATAAATATATATTTTAACTACTAAACATTTTTTTATTTTACCGGGTAAGACCCACTGAGCAATATAACTCTTTTTCAGAAGCGACCTGGCCACAAATGATACCTCAACGAAGTGGCTCATGATTTAAAAATGTGCCAGAGAAAAATCACCTAAAAGCTTGTTTCTAAATGAATAAAAAATCCACGCAGCCAAGGGGAGAACACGCAAACACCAAACATACGGCAGGCGGCAGGGTTGGGGTTGAACCCAGGACCTCCTGTATACCAGACGAGGTAGTCAACATCTCGCCACCATGAGATGTTGTACTGTATCATGAAAAAACATTTCGCAGCAACCCCTACTTAATACTAATGATTTGTTTTACACTACGTGGGGAGTAATATGCAAACACATCCAACATAAACTCCACACATTAATCAAAAAGGAAAACTATATATGTATATGTAATAAAGAGTTGGAGCTTTCGTGACTGCAGGAATTCATATTTTTGGGTCTTTCGGTAAATTCACGTATATAAGTTAAAAAAATTCGATTTAAAGCTTTCGTGACTACAGGGATTCATCTTCTTGGTTCTTTCGGTAAAGTCACGTAGAAGGGAAATAATAAAATATTGTATTTTATAATGTTTTATTTTTATTATTTTATTATTTCCCTTCTACGTGACTTTACCGAAAGAACCAAGTAGATATATCAATAATAGCAGACGTTTTGGGCAATGGGCTCTCTGTGAGTTGTTGATATTTTATCTTGCAGGGCAAGCGCGCTCACAATGATTTCCCTGCGGTCGCGTGGATTTTTCTCCGGGTCCTCCAGTTTTTCCCTCCGTGTTTACAATCAGCACGCGCTTACACTAGTTGGCTGCTGCTGCTGCTATAGATTGCCACGTGAATACCAAGCTTGTATTTGTAGCCAGGTCGCTTCTAGAATAGGGGCTGTATAGCTCAGTGGGCCTTACCTGGTAAAATAAAAAATACTGTTGTTGAGTTTAGCTGAGCAACACTGAACATTTTTCAAATGCATGTATTTCCCAGTACGGACAGCTAGAGGGCAATGCAGGCGAACGCAAACCGATGTGTACAGGTTCCGTTGGCTATTCAACGCTGCAATGGGACGCGTCGTCATCAGATTAGCGTTGACCTTGAGTAATCGTATTGATGATGCTAGGGATGATAATTGTTTTTTTACCCTTTTATCTGACAACAATACTGACACCTTTTTTTTTACAAGGAGTCATGTTTGCATTGACCACAATACCTTTTGGTGTCATCTGGTCCAACACCAGGGTGAGACTATGCTCTAAGGAAAGCTGTCTCGGGTGTGGACCAATCAATTTCAAGGACAGTGCATACATTATCAGAGTTATGTTTTTTGTTTGCATTCCGACTGCAGGTATTGCGGTCAATGCAAACATGACTCCTTGTAAAAAAAAGTGTCAGTTTTGTTGCCAGATTAAAGGGTAAAAACCATTATAATATTTTGCTACTGGCAAATGAGGTTCCAATGGTGATGCCAGGGATGTGTGTGCGGGAGCACGAGTGCCTACACTTGACCACGATGTTTACTGAGTCAGACATCCCCCGTGCCGCCCTCTCATTGGGAACGAGCCCAAGAGAACCTGAAAACGGACACATCAATACACTGCTGGATGAAGGCCTTCCCGCGCCTTGTCGGTCATGGCCCGTTTGACCATACTTCACCACGCCGGTCAGTGCGGGTTAGTGAAGAGCGTCGCCCAGTTTTAAACGCTAAGAGTTTACACCAAAGACAGAAATGTTCATCATTTTAAATGTACCCGCATCGCACTTTTGGGGTCATTTCATTTATTTCACTGGACCTGCAAATCCAGAGGTGGCTGGTTCGGTCTCCGGGCGCGGCAGCTGAACAACAGACCACTGCCTCCGTCCATCCAGCAGTGAACGGGTGGGTAGAGCAGTTGGTTGATTGGCAGGTCGTGGTGTGGTGGGACACAGTGAGGCGCTACTACCACCTCGTCCAGAACGTCTGGCCAGCATGGAAGAGGAGACCAAACACCTCCCAGTGGGACCATCTCAAGCTCTCTCTGCAGGAGGCCCTTCCTCCAGCAGCAGGCGTGAGTGGGCGATTGCAGCGCTGCACCTTTAGCCCTCACAGCTGTGTCTCATCCACACTGCGGTCAACCACTACGCTGCAGGTCAAAACGCATCTCTTTCTGTCTTTTAGCAATTTGAGAGCACTCGACGACGGGAGCCTTGAGCAGACACCGCGGAGAGGTTGGATTGAGAGTGGAGGCGGCCACAAGGGAGGGAATGCCGCGGATCAACCCCCCGTGGCACGGCCGCCGTCGGCCTTCCCGAAAATTAAACAAATCGGCACTCGTTCCATCGAGCGCCGCAGAAGGGAGACGATTGACTGCGTCGGAGAGCAACGCGAGCAATAACCTCGCAGGGCCACCGACGCCGTGGCATTTCAAACGAGAAAGCATGAATTAATTAAATAACAATTAAATGAATACATTCACGAAGCGATGAATGTACGCGTGTGTATGTCGAACTTATTTCTCACCGTACGTGGCCGACCGTGCAAATCGGAGGTGCGGGGGGGGGACAACAAACGACAAATCACTGTCAGTCGTGGCACCCACCTCCTGCAGATCCAGAGGCGGTGTTCGCGCCGGGAGCCACAGGCGCCGTCACGGCGGTGGTGGCGTTCGTGGCGGCGGCGACGGCGGCGACGGCGGTGGCGTTGGTGGCCGTGGCGACGGTGGTGGCGTTCGTGGCGACGGTGGCGACAGTGGCGGCGGTGGTGGTGGTCGTGGTTGCGTTCCCGCCGGAGCCAGCGGTGGTCGAGGCCGTGTTCGGGGCCAGGCCGCTGGGAGTGGTCGTAGGGGTTCCCCCGGCCACTGAGGACCAGCTGCTTCCAATCGTGGTCCAGGCGGTGTCCGTGACTACCACTGCCGTTGTTTGATTTGAGGTACAGCTCACCCTGCCCATCATGATGGGCGCTGCGGGGGGCGGGTGGGGGGGTGCGACACGTTTAGAGCGTCGGGTCGGTAACCCACATTACAAGAAGTGACATTTTTTTCGAATTCTGTAAAAACAAAACTCAATATTTCAAGAGCTGCCGTGCACGTGAATACGAGACGATGGCCCCTTACAAAAACCGTCACGAAGCGGCTCTTAGGGGTTTCCGCACGCGGCTCCGGAGCCGCAGGCTGTCGACCCTGGGCGAGGAGGAGCACCACGTGTGGCGCACAGCCGGCCCGACTCGCCGCACAGCGGCACCGCAAGAGAACTTGTGGACATCATCTCCAAGTGTTTCATCATCATCATCATCTTCTTTACAACGCAGATTCGAAGTTGAGTCGGAGGTCCTCCGAGAGGCAACCCAGGTTGTGCACCAGGGATGTGCTCTTGATTTTTGGATTAATCCGCAAAAACCCGAAGGAAAAAATTGGGCCCAGATGTCAAATGTGCGATCGTTATGTGATCGCACGACACGACGTGGCACCAGGGGCGGTTTCTTCATTAGGGCGGTTGGGCGACGCACCACCAATGTCATTCAACCACAGAGTCACGCTAGCCGTCACTGTGCCTCTGGATATAGTCCAATCAGCGTCATGCTACGTTCTGTGGAGTACCGCCTCTTTTGGGGCGATTTCACTCCGGCTGAGAATCGCCCCGAGTGGCCCCATAGACTTACATTCAAAGATGTTTTTTTTCGAACGGGGGCGCTCCAATGCATTCTCTATGGCTCCGGGAGGGCAAGCCCCAACGTGCTTACGTCATCATACGTGCTTACGTCATCATACGTAAGCACGTTTCATCCAACAATATAATTTGTCGCTACCTAGTGGAATCTTTAATAAAATAAACTTGAGTGGTTTGTTTTAATAGTGAGTATATAAACAAACAAGATGTATTGTAAGAGTCACTTTATTTTTCATTAATATTAAATAAGTGAAGTTTCCTTTCCATGCTTAAGCTGTTAATGTATCCATTGCATGGGTGGACCTTATCCTTATCAATCATCCAGACATTTGCCCCCCCTGAGAGATTTTGCAGGAGCCACCACTGCGTGGCACACGGATGACGACACTTTTGTTTGCACGAAGACACATTCGATAACTAAATAACGTCAACGGATCCGAAACATTCGTCAAAAGATGAAACATTATAACACAAAATCCGAAATATGTAATAAAAAACTCGTCCCAATAGTACGCGTGTACAATTGTGCGTGAATGTTCAAGTTGATTAGCTATAGGCAGAAGTAAAGCGATGTTCCTGAACGAGGCATATCGATACAATGTTCACCCAGCAATTTAACTGGGTACACCGCTGGTCAGTCGACCGGTGTGCCACGTGTGTGGTGGGGTAAAGTGTGGGTACTGCCACCTCTTCCAAGACATGCGGCCAGCATGGGGAAGAGTAGGCCAACATACGCAGGGGCACAACCACCTATTGCAGTGGGGGACTGTGCAAGATCCGACTGTGGACTCCCACTGCTTTCTCCAGACTCACGTTTACTGAAATAGCTCAGGATGTTTGAAATCGTGAATAATAATAATATTAGTAACATGTAGGCTGTACCATCTATAATATTTTAGTTGCAGCGTGTATTGGGCTTAGAGAAAGACAGTCTTCACCAGTGACAATATTATTCGTAAAAATATGTAAAGGTATAATACTCACAATCAAGTTACCGTGCGTCTTGCTTTCATGTCAGTTAGCAAACAATCTCGCTTGTGTCCAGTAGCAAACAGCAGCAGTAGCGCTACGAGATTTGACGCGAGGTATTTAACGCGGCTATATTTTACACCATCTATTTTAGGCTGTGTATTTTTGGGAAACATTGTTTTCCATTTGTAACAATGTTTTTTTGTTGCCATTTATCGTTAATTGTTGGAAATAAAAAAAAAAAATCTTAATTTGTTTATCTGTTGATTCGTGGCCCCCTCGTGACCGACCGGGCCCCTGTGCCTCTCAGAACGCTGCGACTGACCCCCAACCAGAATTGTAGTGGCGACCCTTCCACCAGCAGTGGCGTGATGAAGCAATGGCAGGGCTGCGCCTTGACATTTTTGTAAAGTCGTGCACCCACTAATCAACCAAGGTACAATTACGCCTCCCTAATCTTACGACTCTGAGCTTAAATGCAACTTGTGTTATATTACAAGCGGCAGACGAACTATAATTCACGTCTCTACAGACTGCGGTTGAGTGGGGACTGCTCGGATGACGCTCGTGCGAATTCCAAATGCAAAGACCAAAAAAAGACAAAGATCCCCCGTATAGCCTGAACCGATTGTTGGGGTAAGTGCTGTTAGCGAGTAGCACCTATCACCTATAAAGGCCGGCAAGGCACACGAGGGGGTGGGTGGCCAGCACCATGTCCGGCCGCTTTTTCTCTCCCTAGTGTCGATGTTAACTGCACACTGCACCAGGTACTCATTTTAGCCTGAGTCGACCTAGAGGAGGCCCAAGATTGGTTCAGATAATTGTCACCGGTGTTGGCCGTGAGCGGGAATCGAACTCGGGTCACCTGGTTCGTAACGCAGCGCGCTAATCCTCCACCACCTTCCACACACGCACACACGCATCGGTCTCCACGTATTCTCTTTGCCATTTTATTTCAATGGACAAATACCCAAACAAAGCGTGCGACACCCAGAATGCTGCGGGGAAAGGAACGAGGAAAGAAATTCGAGTGCACAACGCAAAAGCGATTGAAGCTGCCAGGATTAAAACAAAAAGGGCACATTCACACAGGAGAGAGAGAAAGAGAGCGAAAAGGGGAAGATGACGGACGTACATCTTACAATAGTCGTGCCCCGCAGTGCAAGATGGAGCCGGTGCTCGTGATGTATGCGGGTTTAACTTATTTCGCACCCTACGGAGCCAACCGTGCCAACAGATACATGATAAAAAGGTCGCGCACTCATTATACACAAAGTGCTTGCCGCAAGTGGACTGCGATACCTTGCTGATATCGCCAACAAACATAAAGCACCACCATCATCAACGCAGCAGCAGCGGCTTCTGGCTCAGCCAGTCACCGCATCATCGCCGCGCGCTTCCAGATGCGCTTCGGCGGCCGTCTGGAACGCTCTTCCAATATTGGGAAGCCACTGGAGCTATGCGCTTTAAAATCTCGATCGAGAACTAATTTAATTACAGCTGCTTGTAGCGTTTAGTTTGTTGTCCTTCACCCGGTGGTGGCTTTGCTGCAGCAGCAGTAGCAGCAGCAGCAAATCCACCACCACCACAACCACCACCACAACCACCACCACGTTGCAAGCGAGCGGTGAAGGCCAATGGATCTGTGTCCTCGGGGCTATGAGGTAGGTGAGATGTTATCGCCCTCGCCTCGTATGCAGGAGGTCGTAGGTTCGCTCCTTGCCCTGACGATTGCTGTGTATTTGCAGTTTGCGGTGTCTCTCTCCCCGTGGGCGTGTGGATGTTTCTCCAGGTCCTCCGGTTTACGCCCCTCTGTATTTAGAATCGACATGCGTTTCGAAGATTTGGCTGCTATAAATGCGCACGTGATAAGCCACTTCGTTGGGATATAATTTGTGGCCAGGTGGCTTCTGAAAAAGAGTTATATGGCTCATTGGGCTTTATCTGGTAAAATGTAAAGTGTATTTTTAGTAAAGTTAACCTAAGCCTGTCTCCGCACAACCCCCGAGTCTCGACTGGAAGTTGACTTATTTCCTGTTCGTGGAAACGTGTGCTTGATAAATGTATGCCTATTAATATAATTAATTCCACGTAAATCTACATATCAGAAACACATCTATATTCATGTATCCCGGGAAACGAATCATCGTTTTTTTCAGGTTAGCAGCAGGAGGTTCCTGATGTCACACCTGGATGGGGTAAACTAAAACCCTTCAGCGTGAAAACATGAAAATATTTCCTGGGCCATATGGAATAGGTGTGTGGACGTCATCGACAAAGCGTGACCCCGCTGCTGGATCATATGAGAAGGACCCATTGGCTAAACGTTGACACGAAAATAGAATCTCTCTGCTGTGGAGTGATGCCTCAATCGTTCGTCTGTGTCCCAGGGGGTACGGGAGGTGATCGATAAATGCGTGAAATTATATCACACACGAGTCATTGGTGAATAATCGTGTATGAATCTGCCAAATATAAATAGCTACGATAACGTTTTAAGTCCATACGTTAACCGAGAACGATATGAAAGACCTTTCTAAACTCGCTCATCGTAAGCAACGTGGTTGCCAAGAGTAACCGGCGAGCGTAAACAAATGACGTCACGCGTGCAAGAGCGTTGCGTAGATTTTATTTTATTCGCTTGCAAGGTACTCGCTGGGAAGGACAAAATTAACAATTGGTAAAAAATATTGATGTTCATTACCCATAGATGTATTTCTCAGAACCATGTTGGGTCAGGCAAGGGGGTAATTTGGTTGAAACTAAATTCAACAAGGGGGGGAGAGGTTTGGTAGCTAAGAAAGTTTGCGAACCACTGAGTCTATTGATACACAAGGGAGACAAAACGGATGTCTCAAGACGTCCAGACCACCTCCTGGTCCTTCACTGTTGACAAAGATCAGTGGGGAATCCAACTAATGGACAACCCAGAGGCCAATCACCGACATCTCCTGAGCAATCCGGCTTAAACCCAGCATCTTTATATGGACCGCCATACATATTCTCAAACCTGTTCTGGAAAATGTGAATGCCTTATCGAATACTGCAAGCCAGTTCGAAGACTTACGCAGGGGCATTTGGTTCGATGGAAATTCACGCAGTCATCCAAGCACTCACAAGCCAAGGTCTTAAAACAAACTGTATATAGAAATGATATTAAAATAAATGTATTTAAAGATGCAACAGCTGCACTGGGATTGCGGAACAAGAGCCACAAGACACAAAATGGGGGAGAGAGTCATCACGCACGAGACGTGTGCTCGCCAATGCAACTTCAAACATACTGCGCACGTTCAACATTCAGACGATTGCTGGTGGAGAAACG